CGACTTTCGACATCGATCGAGGCAGATGCCAGCTGCACCTCCTTTGAATGTCCCAAGGCGAGATGGGATTGGGGGGGGGGCGATGTTTGTGGCCCCATGACTTCCCAAGGTAGGGAAAATCTAAGCTGCATATGGGGGGTGTCCTTCTATGATGGTACGCTTTTTGGGGCTGGTTTTCAAAGGAAATCAAAAGGACAGCTCATTTCTGGGGTTCCCCCATTTTGAGACAAACCCAAAAACGGTGAATGCCCCAAGTGTTGGAAGTGGCGAGCAAGGACACCCTCTAATTTACAGCGATCTACTAGGATTTTGTGTTTTTTTGGTGTGCTTGGTTCACCAATATTTAGGGCATCCACCGCAGCACAACATGTCGAGCCATTTTGGTAAATGTGAAGGGGCAGCCCCAGCCGGAAATTGGTGCGGACATCCGCCATTTGGTTTCCTGACATGGAGTTGGGTAGACCATGTTGATACCAGGTTGTGATTGTGACTCATTTATGGTTTCACTTTCTCTTCTGGGAAGACTAGAGAAATGGAATTGGGGCACCCCCTCTGGGCCCCCCCCCCTCAAGGTCGGGGGATATTGGGACTCTGTTGTCAGAACCTGGAGTCGGTGACCACTAGAAGTTAGATTCTCAGCAGGTCTGGGGGCGGCCCGGTACCTTCAAAGCCTTCTCCAGCAAACTTGGACCCCTTTTTGAGACGGGGTCAAGAGCACCAGGTCTCTCTACAGATGGGCTCCCCAGTTTTGGGCCGAGCATGCCAGGTAGCCCTGGCGTGGATTTTGGTGTGGATTCGGAGTTCAACCCCTGGTTCTTGTAGAGGCTTCATGGGTTTCCCCCCCCCCCCCCGGTTTGGAGCCTCCAAGCCGATCCCAGCCGGCCCTTTTTCGGAAGCTGGGCAGGGTCCTGAAAAGGCTCCCATGTACGCCTTTTTCCTGATCGCCTGGTTATGAAGCTCCTGAAAAGAGGCTCGATCCTTATAGTTCTTTAAGTAATGGGAATCCTTAAGACAAGAGCATACTGTTCCCTTTGAGGCGTTTCAAAGGAGCCGAGCTAAGGTCCGGGACTTCCGGGTTTGGGAAGGCCATTTGCGGGGCTTCCCGATCCGTTTGGCGAGCCTTGCGGGTCGCTTTTTTGCTCCCGGGTTTGGAGCGAGCCCTTGGGCGGCATTGGGAAAGGTAGGTTTCTGGGGTAGACTTAGGTTACATTTTACATTTTACCAGTGACTCAAAGGGAAGCAAACAATCGAATATACATTCTATAACTGGGCCTAAGTCTAATCATGGTTTGAGAGTGGTTGATCCAGGCTTGGTATATACGATAGGGGCTGAGGAGGAGGAGGAAGCCCAAATGAGGCCTTAAGGCTTAGTAAGCCGCCTTACTTGGGCTCCCTCCCCCTCTTGTCCTCCCAGCCCCCAATCAGTATAGTTTGGAGGGGGCCAGTATCTCACTAAGCCAATCGACCGGATCTGGACCTTCCACTTTGATGGCCCCAGTTTTGCCCTTTGAATTCCAGGCCCCTAAAGCATCTGAGTTATGTGGTCCTGCAGATATAACGAGCTCACCGTGCTAAAAGTCCCATTTTCTGGGCAATCCAAGTCTGAAAATCAGCTTTTGAACATTTTATGGTACAATTTCCCGAGGTCTTTTAGCTGGTACCGTGATAAAGGTCCCTCTACTGGGGGATCCAATTCTGAAAATCAGCTTAACCATAACTTTATGGTTAAAAGACATGCAGATGTCTTTCGGCTGGTTTGACGCCTTGCGATTTTTGTTTATTGAGACGTCAGGAGGTGGGTCCCGAGCTCTCCGGCACCTGCTGCCCCGGGAGCTCTGGCGGCAGATTTCCACGTCTCGGCGCGTTACGGGGAAAGCCCACCAGGGGAGCTGTGGCTAGGTCCCCCAGCCAGGTGCCCTTCTCTCTCCTTTTTGGGTTGGGAGGGTTCCCCTTCTAAAATAGACTACAGAAAAAAGTTGGTACCCTTATTCTAACCTCTCTAGTGCCCGTTTACCCTTTTTGGGTTGGGAGGGTTCCCCTTCTAAAATAGACGTCCAGAAAACAAAGTTGGTACCCTAACCTCTAACCTCTCGACTGGAGGACCTAGGTGGAGCTGCAGGTGGGGTGACAAATATATACCCAAAATGGAACCCTGGTAAGTGGAAACATGGACCCAAACTTGCGGTCCCCTGGTGGTGATATTTTAACCCATACCCAATTTGGGGCCCCAATGTGACTACACACAAAGCAACAGCAAGCTGCTTAGTCTTGGAGGGTATGCTGAAATTGAGGGGTCCATGGCGATTCGTCACCACTGCCAAGTACTGGGGTGTTCGCTTCGAGTTAGTCAGTTGTAACCTTCGATTATGACCCACCTCTAAGTAGTCCCCCGTGAGTGCGGAGTGAACCTTGTCCTCAGTGGGTGAAAAACCGCAAGTGGCGAGCCCAACATACTAACTTGGCGAATCGAATACCCAAGTACCCCCCCCCGCTCCCTTTTGCGCTCTTCACGGAGAACCGAACATTGGGAACACCACCAGTTGGGGAGTTCCCTAAAGAAGACGCGCCACCCTATAAAATGACCCCCAAAATGGCAACGGCATGTGCTTTTTCCTCTGCTGGCTTCAGTCTGTGAAATCCGGCCCTTTTGAGGCGGTTCCCAAGAGAGGCTCACAACAATAATATGGCTTTCGCGCTTTCGCGCATGAATGAAATACGTAGCACCCCAGAATGCTCTTCCTGCCATTGGAGGACCCAGGTCGGTGAAGGGAAGAGCAGCTGGGAAGAGCAGCAAAAGGATTTATGTACTAACCCCAGAGCTTCAACCCACCCCCCATTAAAAGATGATGGACAGTACTGAACGGTAAGCAAAGGTTTTATTGACCCAACCATTAGGAACACCCCCTATTGAGAAGGATGGGTTCCAATTCGATCCGGGGTCAACATTACGGACTGATCGTGCTGGCACATGGGTCACGCGTGTTGTTTTGCACCGTGGTTCAGTTTTGTCATTTGGGGATTGTCTTTGGGTCATGTGAAGAGTGTTTCTTCTCCATTTTTTTGTTTTGGCGGGGGGGGGGGGTTGGCAAGGGGAAGTAGGAGCAGTCCGCCCCCGTCAAAACCTGCAAAAACATGGACGCGACAGCTCAAAACGTTTCTTGCACCCGCCAAGCCTCAAAGGGCTTGGCCCTTGTTGTCGGGTTTTCCGAGCCATTTCCCTTTGCGGAACCACCAAAAGTGGAATCGGCACCAGGTGGGATTGGGGGTTTATCCACCAGTATTTTTATTGGGTTTCATCCATCCAACCGGTGCGAAATGGATCGACTGTCCACCCACAGCACCTTCTCTACAGTGGATTCACGAAATCCTGCACTCGGTTGAAACCATTGTTTGTTGCTATTTACACAGGCATCATCAAACACCAGGGCTGCTGAACGGTGGTGCGAAATGGATCTCGCAACCATCCACAGTATGTTGACCCGCCTACACGCCACCCTTTGCCCCTGGGTTGTGGGATGGGTTTATCATGGTTTATCCAACCACTTCTATGATATCTTCGGGAATCTCCCCTGCTTGGCTCTCCGAACGCAATCCGTGTTCATTCGAGGCTGCTGTTCACCGCTCCGGACGGGTGCAACACCTGCCGCTGTGCCACCAGCGGCATGAAGAACGCGTCCCACTGCACGCGCATGGCCTGCCCTTTGCAAGCCACGCCCCAGGCCCTTGTTTTTGTGGGCGAAGCCGAAAGTGTTCAAACCAAGCACGGAAAATTAGAGACTGAGAGCGGAAAAGAGGGATACTAAGAGAGGAACAAATGAATACTAAGACGAAAAATAGATACCGATGCCAGAAACGCCAGAATGCAGGTGGTTCTACTACCGGGTTTTTCCATGGGGCGATAGTGAGGCCTAAGTTTCAACAAGGGTGTCTTGGAACAACAATGGTTTGGGTGGCTAGGGTAGTCCTTTTCGGACCTTGGAAACCGGATTCACTTCCGACCCGTTTTGCTTTTTTCGTCATTTTCAATGCCAAGGCCCCTGCATTTTACGTGGAAAGAACAGTGTTTTTAATGTGCGGTTTGGAGATTGCACCACCTGGAACATCCTGGAACCTGTTCCTAGCATTTGCATCCGACATGTGCATCTGTCATCTGTTTGCCTCGCAGCTTTGCTCTACAACACATCCTGTCATGGCTTGGAAGCCGAGAAGATGACCTACGATGACCTCAAAGATGTGGACGGGCTTGCAGACCCTGCGGTGCGGTCGCCAGTCCGGAGTTCCGACAGCACACATGGACTACCGCGCTGAGTGCCGGATCTCGGGCCGTGGGCCCGGTGTCCAGCGCCCGGTGGCAGCTCGTGATCATGAAGTGTAATGAGGACTCGAGCGCTGTCTTGAAGCGCTTCGCCTTCAATGTGTCCATGATGACCTGGCCCGCGTCCCGCGGGCCAACTGCATGTCTGGCAACCCCAAGTGGCAGAAAGATCCTTCAATATTGCCTCGGCAACTTAGGGGGCCACGCGCTCAAGCGCTTCAAGCTCACTGCCTAGGCCTGCGCTAAGAAATCCAAGCCAGCATCGGATTTGTGGAGAAAGAATACGAAGAGATTGGCTGCGACTATATGTTGAAGCATGGCCCAAGGTCGTCGGGCGAGAACCAGCAACTCAGGTGGCAGACGAAACCCTACCGAAATGTCAACTCTCCGATCTACGGCTGGCCGATTGCCCTTGTGGACAAGTCCCTGCGCAACCTTGCTTCCGACGGTGGCCTCGCACACAAAGAATTCAACTGGCCCATTCCGCTCACCACACAGTACTACAGCTCCTGGCTTGTGAAGTTGCTTGAGGAGATCTGGGACTTCGACCACTCCGCCTTGGTGATGCTCGGCGCGGCCAGCACGGCGTCTTGATGGCACGGTGTCGCAACAACAAGGAGCAATTTCAGCTGGAGCAAGAGACATGTATTTGATGCACTCCTGAGATTGATTTCTTTCGGTCGTCATGGGTGACTTCCTCGATGACACCAACCTCAGTGCCCTGAGTGCAAAGACCGTGAAGGCGTTCCTCGACTTGGACTTGTTGAGAGCATGTTGTGGGCTGCTACAAAGTGAGCCCCGCGCACTAGCGGACAACCCGTACGACTTGAACGTGGAGCTGCCGGGAGGCTTCGTGGGCGAGGTCTCCTTCCAGTCGGCCTGCCTTTGCGGTCAGCGCAAAGAAGCATGTGTACTTCCGCATGGCTGGCATTAACGAAGAGAGGATTGAATCCAGTCTCTCTGTTTTCCAACAAGGAGTACCTCACTGAGGACGGCCTATGTCATGTTCAAGACAGGCATCAAGGGTGTCCCATCCGATTTTGCGCAGAACGTGCGCAAGGAGCAGGAGCGGGTGAAAGAGGTGACGCATAGGCGACGCCCTCTGCGCAAAGAGAACAAGCAAGAGGAGCAGAAGCGGGCCAAGATGCGCGAGGCCTTGTTCGGCGATAGGCCTCAAAAGAATCATTGTGTGTTTTTGTCGCAAGAAACAGGCCTAGGCCTTAATTAAACTTAGATGCAACACACCCCCATCCTCTCCATCAATAAATACCATCAGGCCAACATAATGTAGCTTGATACAGTAAAGGCAGGAAGTCGTTTGAGGAACATCCTGCTCCAAGAGCACTTCGTCGCAGCCATCTTCAAGAGCCCTGCCTCCGCAGTCGGCCTAGATATGGGCTGCAATTGGCAACCACACTGTGCACAGCTTGCGGTCACTCTTTGGCCAAATCTGCAGCCTTTTTGCGCAATGTCTGAGTTTGCGGCGCCAGGGATCAGAAAATTCCAACAGACTTCAAGACAACCAAAATATACAAAGCCTCAGACAAAGGGTCATGGACTCAACTCCTACATGTGCCGAGACGACTTGGGGCCGGGGCTTTTTGTCTGGGGCTTTGGTTTGCTTGTTTTTTGGTTTTCTCGAGTTGTTTTTTGGCTTTAGTTAGTTCTCTTACAAACACCTCGAGAAAACCCCCAAAAAAACCAACCCCCTGAGGCAAACGTCGTCGTGCCATTAGCTTTCACCTTGGGGAGTTGGTTTCTCTTGTGACAACTTGTCCCCCGAAACTGGCATAAGGATGGTTCAAGGGAACCCCCTTTGTCGTTTGTTATGGTTGGTGTCACCCTTAGTTGGTGTGCGTTTGGATTTCAACCTGTGGTTCTTGTAGAGGGTACGTGGGGTTTCACACCCGGAAGCATCTCCAAACCACCGATTCAGCTCCCCACCATCTTTTTCAAGGCAAGCTGACAGTTTCACTCCCCGAGTTCCATTTCGGACTTTAGCAGCCACTCTTTGGGTTTGTACGTGTCCTTTGATCGGGCAGTTTCGATAGAAATAGATGGTGGAAGTTCTCAAAGGTCACCCATGTTTCTACCTTTCAGCAGCCAGCGCAGAGACAGGTGTTGTGCGGGTTCCTTGGCAAGGCTTTGCCGCCAACCCAGAGAAAACTTCCAGCCCTACCTGCCAGAAGGAAAGCGTCTTCACCAAGAAGACTTTTGACCCTAACCCTAAACCCACAATAACCCACCTATAAGTCCCCCCTCAATGTGGGGTGACTGTAACCTTGTCATGAGGGGTGAAAAACCGCAAGTGATCACCACTTATGAACCGGGCCGAACATCCAGTCATTGGAACAAAAAACGCAGAAGGATTCATTTCACAGAATTGAGTTCCGTTTTGGACTGTAGGTCACTCTTTTGGGGTCGCTTTTGGGTTCTCCTTGTTTGATGCAGTTTTAGTCATGGCCCCAGAAGGTTCACCTTTGACTCTGGGTCCTTTGGGAGAACAAGTTTGGACTTGTTTTGGCAACTCCACTCGGTTGGACGTGAATTTTATTTTTGGCGAGCTTCCTGTAGCGGATGAGTTTGGATTGAACGTTGTAACCCCAGGGCTGAAGGACAAGGCTTTCGTGAGACTCCCCTTGAAAATTTTTAAACAAATCCGTTTGCGCCAGAACATTCTTTTCCTCGGATGGTTTTAAGGCCATGAACAAAAACTCGGAACCACCTCAAAAGTGACCACGACTCCCCGCCTAAATGATGTCCGCCATTTCGGGACCATTTGGACAGGGGGGGGGTCTTGAGGTGTGGGAGCCTGGAGGGCTGACGTCCCTTTTTGGGTTGGGAATCGACTTGGGTTCTCGAGTCGCCAAGTTCGTGTTTCCCTCACCGTTCGGTTACACCCGTTACACCCCAATTATAAGTCCCCTGTGAATGTGGGGTTCGCCTTGTTTCCAATAGAGCAGGTGTCCGGCCAAAGGACTTTGTTCCCTAGCGCTGCTTCCCAAGCGCAGAGATACATTTTCGGTGGAGCATGTCCGGTGTCATGGTTGTCCCATCCCGAGAACGTGGTTCTGTTGATGCATGTTTTCCTAACTGATGTGTTTTCTTGCCTGGGTCTTCAAAACCACTTGTGTACCCTTTGTCCGACAATCATGGACGTGGAAAATCAGATTCTCCGGAAGGAAGGCATTCATCCAAGACCTCAGATGTCGGTGTACCCTCCACGTCGCGTCATAGGTGTCCTTTTTGGCGGGTTTGGTTGAAAAATCGAGGGCCCTGGTTTACCTGGTGGTTCAATCATCTACCCGGGAAACCCATCTACAGTATTGTCCCTACCCCCAGAAGGAAGGCCTTCATCCAAGGGTCTTCCATGTGGGCGTGTCGCACCCTGCGCGCTATGCTCCGCGTGCTTCGCTTCCGGTCGTTGCCAGGGCTGGTGTGCGCCTTTTAGCGTCTTCCCCAAGGGCGACGGCCTGAACAGCTGCACCTGCTCATCCAGCGGCAGCAAGGACCAGGCCCCTTGGGAGCCGTTCCTTTTTCAGGACTCGGGGCCCCAAAACGGCGTAACAGATGTTCCCGTTCAGCCGCTGAGAAAGCCGACTCGCTCCGTAGAAATGCAGTGTTCTCATTGTCCTTTTGATCGGTTAGTTTGGTTCGAAATGGATGGCACTGATTTTTCCAAAATGCCACCTAGGTTGTTCCTGGACCCGTTTTGGGTTCCATGTTTAGAGGAAGCTGTGTTCAAACCATCCACAATTCTAAACAGATTCTGGACATTAATCACGTGGATCGAGGCGCTTGCCCCTGCTATAGATAACCTGGGCCTGGGTATTTCTCTGATGTGAAATCCTGAGGAATTATCCTGGTTACCTACCCCCTGCCCCAAACCCCCACCAATTTTTCTGGGCATTCTGTCAGGGGTTGACAACAAAATGTGGGTATTGGGGGGGACTATAGTGCTAAATGGATCCACCCCCTACTTGCTCAACCGCTTTGTGTTTTTGGAGCCAAGTCGGTTCTTTGATCACGAATGGGCGGTCACAAGTTGCGAACATGGGATTGACATGTCCCACCTTGGTGCCCCGGATCTAGATGAGTTTGATCCAGGGGGTTCGTAAGCCGAAAATTCCCATTCACAAAGACTCCCCCACTCTTCGCTGACCCCCCGAAACCCCAAGCCCCAGAGAAGAAATATGACAGTTGAGCCTGGGCTTGTTTACCCCCAGCCTTTGAGTTTTTGTTTGGAAAGCCCGGCTCTTTCATGGTGATGTTGACCCCTGATTGCATCAACCCTAGGGCTCCTAGAACAAAGGAATTCCAACTAGACAGGGGCTTAAAATCAGCTTTTCGAATCCTTTTTCGCTCGGTGATACTGTGGATGGACGAAATCCTGCACCACTTTGAAACCATGGGCAACCATTGTTTGCTGGTATTTACAGAGGAATCCTCCTTCCAGGTGCGTTTTATGGATTTCGCAACCATCCACGGTGCCAACTCTGGGGCGACTGGACTTCCGCTCGCCCTGCCGTGACCGCGAAGGCCCAATGCACCGAGCTGGCGTGTCCCAAGGCGGGCGGCGAAGGCGGAGAAGGCATCTTAGGAAGATGGGGTGCGGCTCACAGGACACTTTCTAGGGGTAGCTGTCATTTCCATTCCTTCCAGGGACCCTTCTTTTCTAGAAAGCCACCAAAGAAACCCAGGGAAACTGGTTTTTGAAAAGAACCATGGTTGAAAAGAATGGAATCGGAATCAACCCCAAGGAAAATGGCTGGAGTCCTTTTCCTTTTGACCCTCAAAAGTGGATACACTGAAATGAATTCGTCTCTTTCAAAGCTTTTTAGACTCTTAGGATAGACGAAAGCTATGAAATAGAATCGGGACACCTTCTTCTTGGAGTATTTCAGAGGGCCAGGTGTCTAGAAGGGAAAACCTCAAACTGGGGTCCCCTGTGCAGGGTTGGGCTTTTCAACCAAGGGTCATCGAAAACGCCCCGAAATACTCAGAGGGCCCCTTTGAAAAGGGCGTGAAAGTGCAACTGATCTGGAGTCATGAAAGCGGGCAAGCGATCCTGCTTTTTGGAGCTTCATGTGGGCGTGATTGTTGGTTTTGAGCTTCTTGTTTTTTTCTCTCTCGGGAAACCAAGAGGAAAACCACCACTTTGGGTTTCCGATATCTATTTCTGACCCATTTAGTTCGCTTTAAGGCATAGTACGAGTCCTGTTTGGGCTTTGGAAACATGGGGGGCTTGATCAAGATTCTTTTCGGCCCCACATGGCCATGACATTTTTTTCCCATTGTGGATGGACGTGGTCCGCGAGCAAGGTGGTTCTCCCACCGGGGCCAAACCCGCGACCTGTGGAGGAAGGCGATTGGGCGGGTTCCATGTCGATATGTCCGCGTTGCCGTTGTGGGATGGTTACGCGAAATCGACTGAGCAGGTGGACAGAAGGAGAATCAACCACTGGAACCGTGAATGAGAATCATACTTGTTGACGGACACAATCCATTCGCACCACGAAATGAAGCCATGGGAAATCATAACGTTCGCTTGCATACAAAGCTTCTCAGGTGGTGCAGGATTTCGTCCTTTCACAGTACAACCTTCTGGTTGCCACTTTCAGATGAGTTCCCTCGTGATTCAAAAGACAGTTGTTTGGATGGGCCTGGGTCCGATGATTCTTTGTGACCAAAGAACAAAGTTGTTTGCTAGCATACCCAAGGCTTGGAAAGCCTATTGAGGGAATGGCTGCAATCTCCGGGAAAGTGTCGAAACTCGACACAAAACAAGAATCACAAACCGCTGATCAGTAATGTTAATCCCAGAATCCCAGATTAAGAAACCCCTGCTTATTCATATGGGGGTGGGGGTAGTCCCCTCCAAAAGTGGTCTCTATAACCGGGACTAAGCACCCGCAGAGGAGTCCCAGATGGACCCTTCTGGAGGGTCCGCCTCCCCTCTGAATGTGACACTCACAAAAGGCCTTTAAAAGCCGCGCGTCGAGATATGGTTGAGAGTATAGTTCGAGGTCGCTCTCCGCGCCACGGAAATCTGCGTCAAAGTGATAGAGTAAGCATGGCAATGGTCCATGGTATCAAAGAACGGTAATATTTTTGGGGGGTTGATCCATATTCTCTTCGGCCCCAAACCAGCCCATACAGTGTCCTGTCGGCGGACTCGGTCATTCCCTACCAGCAAGTAAAGGACATTTTGATGGTTTCCCCCACTTGCCACGGGTCATCCTATTTGGGAGACCAGAGCTGATTTGGGATTCGCAAGAATCCGGGGACCCACTGCGAAGTTCGGACGGGCAAAATCGGAGCCAGCAAACGGACGCGCCAGTTGGTATGGGTAAAGTAAACCACCGGCGAACTGGCGCGAAGTCCACAGTAGGTAACCAACTTAGGGTGGTTCTACCTGTTTTAGTTGTGGTTGAAACGCAAAAGCCTATATAGCAAAAGCCCCTTTTGGTAACCTCTTATAGTAAGCCATGGGGTTTACTTGTGGTTATAACCTTTTGGGTCTTTCTTTGCCAGAATCGGAAAACCACAAGGTTACAAGGTCGATTCGCTTTGGGCAACTCAGTTTTGGAACCCCGTAAAACCCTAAACCCCGATACACACCAAAAAGCCATCCGCAGAATGTTGAGAAACATCAAAATAGCGATGACCCCTGATTCATAACCCCCCCCCTCCCCGAGTTGTTAATCAGGAGGGTCTTGGAAGAACGGATTCACCGACACCCGTGAAATGACTGAGGTCCCTTCATGGTTTCCCAATAGCGAGCATGGAACAAAAAAGCAATTCCAAACCACTGAAAAGCCCATGTTTCTCTGACCCCCTAAATACCCGCCCCCCCTCCCCCCTTGTTCCCCAGATAAACAAAAGCGATGAACCCTGAGTCACAATCTCCCCTCCCTCCCCCCCCGGTTCCCCAGTTATTAATCAGGAGGGTCTCAAACAAACAATTCCAGACCACTGAAAAGTCCAGGTATCTCTAACCCCCCCCTTCCCCAGTTATGAATCCCACTCAAGAGGGTCTTGGAAGAGAGGATTCACACCAAAAAGGGACCCCCGCGAAATACGTGGAGCCTCTGACCCCTAAATCCCCCCACCCACCCACCCACCCACCCACCCACCCACCCACCCACCCACCCACCCACCCACCCACCCACCCACCCACCCACCCACCCACCCACCCACCCCCCCACCCACCCACCCACCCACCCACCCACCCACCCACCCACCCACCCACCCACCCACCCACCCACCCACCCACACCCACCCACCCACAGCCACCCACCCACCCACCCACCCACCCACACCACACACACCCACCCACCCACCCACCCACCCACCCACCCACCCACCCACCCACCCACCCACCCACCCACCCACCCACCCACCCACCCACCCACCCACCCACCCGCAGTTCCCCAGTTATTAATCAGGAGGGTCTTGCATTAGAAAGGATTCCCCCCCAAAAAGGGACCCCTGTATACCTGGAGCCCAACATGTCTCGCGTCTTGAGGCGCCTGCTGCCCCGGCAGGAGCTTCACCGCCTCCGACGGCTGCAACACCTGCCCGGAGCTCAGGTGGGCAGCGCCGGCCAGGATGCTCTCTGCCTGAAATGGCCATACGAGCCGCCCGTTTCCACATATGCCGTGCATGTATATGTATATTATATATATATATAGATATATACATACACAAATATAGATATGTAAATATATGGTCAACTCCCCAAATGTGGACCATGGGGGGGGGGGGTGAGCATATGTATATATATATATATACACATACAAATATGGTCCCGTCCTCCGCCCTCCTTCCCCCCCCAAAAGAATACACAACAAATCACATGGAACGTGACAAAGGCCTGGGCCCTTTAAAAGGAAAATGGTCCAAAGCAGGACCCCGAATCTCAGGTTCCATGTTAATTGGTTGGAGGGTAACTATGGACCAGAATTAAACATTTCTTTTGTTGGACGGCGAACGCCGTTGCACTGTTGGATCGTGTTTCATGGCTTTACCCTTCTTGGCACCAGGGCGAAGGAGCAGGGGCTCACGCACTGCAAAGGCCTGTGACCCTTACTCTGCCAATGAACGGAAGGAACCCAAAAAGAAAGCCAGCCCCCCCCCCCCCCAAAGATGAAAAATAGTGTAAGCGGCTCTCTGCTTTTAAACACGCGCTTTTTGGCTATGTTTGGGGGTTCCATGAGAATTTTTGCAGGCAACCATATCTGGAGGGCGCACCCGTGACTTCAGGAGCCGAGAGCCCCCCCCCGATGAAACCACCGCCATGCTTTTGGCTTGGTGGGGGTCCAAGAGATTCTCCTTAGCGACGAGCTAGTAGGGGCGGCCCGCTTTGGTATCATGGCACTGTGTGTAAAATGTCCATTTGGGGCTACGCAGGACCTTAGATTTCAGATATGAACATTGGTCAGCGATTTCCTTTGGTTTCCCCCCTCGAAAGCGCCGCTCGGGGTTTCGGAGCAACACGCATAGGGTAAATGGCGGGGAGGGGGGTGTCTTGTTCTCGGGAGACCCACAAAATGGCTTCGGTCTTCCTTTTGGTTCCCCTGCAAAACCACCAAAAGGAGTACCAACTCCAAAACATGACACAGGGTCTGCACTATTTTTAGTGAGCTCACTGAGCAAAAACACCGAATGTCCCTTGCTTCGGGAGTTTTATTATTGTTGTTTATTCCGGTTTGTGAATGATAGTAAATCCGCTAGTGTTGACCCCAGATGAATAAATTATTTTTCTTAACATGGGGGTGTCCCTGCATTTAGTGGGGGGTTCATCACTTCTGGAGGGGAACACTCCCGAAACAAAGGCCACCAGGGCTCCCTGAAGCCCCCAGGCCTGATTCTTTCCGGCGGAAAAATCATCAATCCACCAACCAGCTTGCCAATACTGGGCTCCTTGCCGTTCTTAACCCTTTTGCCTTTGTCTTGCGTGTTTTTCTTTTTTTTTTTTTCCAGAAGAAAGTTTAACTGATGCCGACCCCGGATGAATCCAATAAGCCGGTGCGATTAGGTGGGTGTTCCCTCCAAAAGTCCCACCAAAAAAGGGATTTCTGAAAATCCACCAGGGGTTGATGACTCCCGGGGTTCTCGATTGGGGGCTGGCGATCGATCCCGGCATCAATCCCGAATTCCGAGGCAGGTGCGCGGGCAGCGGTCTCAAGAAGCTCGGGTCGGTCGGGCGGGGAGACTTCACCTGGACCCCATGCCCAAGGGTCCATCCCAGCGACATGTCGCGATCCGCAAATTCTGCAAGCCCAAAGCCTGGAAAAAATAATCTGAATTGGACCCCCAAGTAAAGGACCTCAGTCAACACCTGGTAAAGTGGTCTACCCAAAACTCAATGCAAAGAGTAAAAATGACGCTGGGAGGGGGGGTAGGGCTTAAGACAGACCCCAGGAACATAGGCATGTAAGGGTGGATAGGTGGGGATTGCCGAGTTGGTCAATTGGAATTCCGCATCCATGGCCAACCCGGGCTATGTTCCTTTTGGGGAAAGTAGGACTTGAGATGAGCCACAATCAAAACCCGGGTAGATGAAGGTTAGCAAGGACAATCCCAACCAGAAATAGCTGCGGCCGCCGTCTTAATTCTTTACATGGTTCTGGGTTCACCATTTTAACACCGGGTTTTGATTCTGACTGAGACGAGTTGGTTTCGCGGACACGAATGGGCACCCTCAATCAAGGATGGGCCTTCTCACTTGGAAGCCCAGGTGTTTCCGTTCGGATTTGGTTTAACCATATGAGCGATTAGATCAGGATCGAGAAAAAACCGAGAACTCACCCGTTTGCCTTTCCGTCGTTTCTCTTCTTGACCAGCAAAAGGTCATCTTGTTGGGTGGCCAAGGAGTGAGGACCACTTTGGGATGAGGTTCAAAAGATAAGCAGAAGGGACACTATTGCACTGCTGGAAGCATCCAGATGTGACAGTTGAGAAGTCTTGCTTGTCTCTAACGGACATCTTGGGGGCAAGTTACAACGAGTTTCTATGTAGGTGACCAAAGGAGAACCACCCTCAACCCTGGGGAAAATGGGCTTGTGGCCTATGTATCCAGTCCGGGTCAAAGGGCGAAGCAGTTGGGTGCATTGGACTGGCCCCAAGAAGTGGTTCGGTTGCAGGGAAGCCGCCCCCAGCTTCTGACTTTGTCAAGCTCCACAGTCAACATCATCTTGGCTCCCGAAGGCCATCCGGCTTCTCAGATCTGTTTAGATCTTTTAAGTGGGTTTAGGTGGTTGGGTGTCTATTGAACCCACCAATTGAACATTTAGCGGATCCGAACACGGACAGCCCAGTCACACCACTTGGAGCTCAGGAACGAGTCCGTGTGCACTCGGATGGCCTGCCCCCCCTGGATGGCTATCACAGAGAACTGCACGGCCTTCAGCACCTACCCGGCAGGCGCTTCGCGGCGACGCGCTTCGCGGCGAAGGGACTTCCAAATGGAGGGCCTGACTTTCTGGGCCCCCAAACATTGGCCCAAACATATTTTTTCTCGGTTTTCCTTTTGGCTTCCCACCTTTTGAAAGGATGACTTGGGGGCCCCAAAAAATGGTTAACGATTATCCTTTTGGCTTCCCAAAAAAATAACTCCTTTTGACTGGATGACTCGGGGGCCCCCCCCAAATGAATGCGGTTTCCTTTCGGCTCCCAAAAAGCAAACGCCCGAAGGGGTTTGTTGCTGGAAAAAAGGATGGGCCGCCGCGAATTGGCGGGAAGGCCTACTGGAAAGGAAGGGAAGGGTGAACCCTTGTTTGTCGCTTTTTCCCGGGCGAGATTTGGCAACCAGGCTCCAGGTTCACCAAAATTCATTAAAGGGGTAGCTTGTAGCAAGTGACAATCACTGGGCATCATAGTTGTGGACCACAGATTCCCTATGTGTATTCTAACTCTAACTGTACCCGTTGTCACTCACTCATTGCATCCCCATTCTTTCCATACATCCGTCTTTCTGAACTTTTTGTTTTTAAAGAAGGATGGTTGAGTTTCATAGAGAACCAACCCCATAGAATCCTGTAATTTCGCCCAGCATGTGTGGATTTTGTGGTTGTACTTGACTGGTTCACACCTGCACTCGGAATCCAGCGTGCTCCACCTACATACCAACTTTGTAAATGACCTCTAAAAGTGGCATGGTCTACGTATTCTACCCAACATGTCTCAGTGTCACCCTCGACAACCGCAAAGTAGAAGCATGGCAGCAGCCTTGGGCCTTGTGTGCGAGGAAACCCTACTTTGTGCTCGGCCAAGTTAGGACGTGGTTATACCCGGACCCCGATCCAGACCAAAACGTAAGTGATCCAAACCGATCTAGACGTCAGGTTCACCCGGAACGATCCATACCCGTTATTTTGAGCTAGCCCTATATTCATAGGTGTCCTTTTTGGTTGTTTTGGTAGAAAAGTATAGATGACCCTGGTTTACCTGGTGGTTTAATCATCTACCAGGGCCATCTATTTGCCCTAAAAGGACACCTCTGCCTTGTCTGGGGCTTGCCTGTGCCCCCGAAAACAAATCTGTCTGGGCTGATTCAGTAATATTTCTGTTTTTTCGAGCCTTTGTCATTTTCAGGTTGGTCTCAAAATACGGTCTCGGCCCTCAAGATTCCCCCTTGTTCCCTTTTGTTCCCCTTAAAAGCGCCCCAAAGAAGAGTACCGTCCGCAAACAACGAACAAACCGATCCCCAGTTGGACAAACCCGGCCAGGGGACGGCTTGAACACCTGCGTCTGCCCGGCGGACGGGAAGAAGAGCGAAGAGTTCTGTACCAGCTTGAAGTGCCCCGAGCCAAAAGAGGAAGAGGAAGGCCAGCCCCTCCAGCCGTCGCTTGCGTGCCCCTCACGTGTTTTTCGATGTTCACCGACCAGAGAGGAAAAACCACTGCAAGTTAAGAGAAGGAGCACCAAAAAGGGGGTGTCCGGGTCCCAAGAGAAGGTTCCTCTACACGTGGGTGCTTTGGGTTCCGGGTCAAATTCTGTGGGAGAGGAGACTTGTGGGAGACACCATGGTCAGGGGTCCAGTTCCCGGTGAAATTCAGTGGATGCACAGGTTCCATTTTGCAGAATCTGCTATCCACATGTCCCGCATAAAACAAGCTCACCCGGCCTTCGCTGGCCGAATGCCGTAAACAAAGTGATGGAACCCCCCGCTACTCAACCACAAGTTTTTGTATTCCTGGGCTCCCATGAATCAATGGACCAAACGTATACAGCCCTTTTTTGTTGACTTACCCAGTTGCCCAGTGGTTCCTTTTTTCAGGAAGGGTTCCCCCTTAAAGTCAACCAATAAAAAAATCGGATGTCCTTTTGCCCCATGGCCACTGGGCCTCTGAGCTGTTTGGAGAAACCGCTCTAGCATCATATTTTTTAGCCCAGCGTGGCCAGCTCGATTTTTGCCAGACCGCTGCTGCCCGGGTGTGTCCTTCCCCGCCAGCGACGGCTGCAACACCTGCGTTTGCCCCGGCTCGGGCCTGATGTCGGACCGGCCGCCCGCCCTCCGCTTCTTAGAAACGGCGCGGTTTCCGTTTCTTCGTTGTGTGTGGCGAGTGGGGACATTTCCCGTCCACTGCGTTTACAACCTGTATGTTTTGCGCTTCACCTTTTCAATGCCTTCCAAGTGGCGCTTGAAGGGAAGCCAAAGGGAAACACCTAATTCGAGTCTGGCATGATTGTGGAAACATTAGTTCTAGGGCATTTCATCCGAATCAGGTGAGTGAGTGAGCAGCTCTTGGTGCGGGTTCCTTTCCGTAGAATCCCTTATTTGCAGGTCGATGAATTGTGGTTCACCCAGAACAAACTGGGTATGCGTCACAACGCCGCGGGGGCGCCAACAATTCTGTGGTGTGTCCGTCCGGGAAAAGGGTCCACACGAGCAAAGCACTGGAGCCGAGTGAGGACGAAATCGGCTCATTCTTGTGGGGTGGGCGAAGGGTGCCATAGGGTAGGGTATTTTTTGAAGGGAAACAACAAGGACACAGAGCCCCTTCAAAAATGTGGGGTCCCAGTCCCCTATTTAGGTGCGTCTTAACATAGGAGACAGGGGCCCCCAAAGTGGCTTCGGTTTTTCCGTTTGGTTGCCCTTCAAACAAAGAGACGCCCCCAAAGAATGGTTTTTACATGGCGGAACCCACTTTTGTGGCTTGAGCTTTTGGTTTGGTTAGACAAACAAAATCCCAATCGTGGACCCTGGGTAACTTTTTTTGCATTTATAGTTGGTTAAAGTCCGTGGATTATTTTTTTCCCAATGGTCACCCCATGTTCATCGGACCTTGTGATCAACCCCCACATGTTGGGATCCACGAAATAGCTTCGGCTTTCCGTTTGGTTACTCGCAAAGAAAATAGGTTTTCCGGTTGGTTGCCCACAAAAAAAGGTCTGCCGATTGGTTGCCCACAAAAAAGTGTTTTCCGGTTGGTTACCCACACAAGAATGTTTTCCGGTTGGTTACCCACAAAAAAAGAGTTTTTTCCGGTTGGTTACCCACAAAAAAGAGTTTTTTCCGGCTGGTCACCCACAAAAAGAACAGGTTTTCCGGCTGCTTGCCCAAAAAAAACAGCCCAAAAGCGGGTCTTGGCCGTGGTGCTGCCGGAGTCAGTCGGCGCCTGAAACATGACGCAATTTCCCTTGCATGATACCAACGTGGACCGTCCCCATAACTACTTTGTAACTTGAAAGGAGGAGTCCCTTGGTATGACAGAGCATCGCTTTCTCACTTCCGATCGAGTGGATTGGCCAAAGCAAGTCACCATTTTGTTATTTAACACTACAGCTGGCGACTAACTGGTGCTTCCAGGAGGCCGCGTGCACGCTTATGGCCTGCCCGCCCCGGCCCACCATTCTGCCGCCAGGCGTGGGGCGGAGGGCGGGGGCTGGGGCTCGGCTTCGGCGGTGGGACAAGGGAAGTAAATATGGGGCCTCAGACATTTTTTTTTCATGCCTATCATTAGTATTTGTACTGTTATTGTTATGTAAATGTATATATGTATATGTAAATTCATACCACCATATGAATCAGAGAAGCTAATTTCTGGTCTCCTTTCTTTGTGTGAGACATGTTCAGGGTACAGTGGTCACCCAGACGCGTTGCCGTTGCGGGCAGTCTCTTTGTTCCGGCGCGGCTATGGTCGAAAGGCTTTTGAGTTTTCTCAAGGGCTCACAATTTGAGAATGTGTTCTTTTTTTACCATAAATCATGCGAATTTTTAATTGGTGGTTTCGATTGGTGGTTTGGATTTGGATCTGAACCCTTGCTTCTTGTAGAGGGTAAAAGGGCTTCTCCCCTCCTTAACCACCAAACCAACGGGCTCCAAACCACCAATTAGCGAGGGAAGCTGAAAAGGCGCAGCAAATCAAAAGATGAGCCGCCCATATGGATTGGAGCGGCCTCTACGAATCGCCGTGGGTTGATTGAGTTTGGTTACGTTGCCACGGCAGCTCGCAGTGGGTCCCCCAGTAGTGCCCTTCTCTCCCCTTTTTTGGTTGGGAGGGTTCCCCTACCAAAATCGACTACGGAAAAAGGTTGGTACCCTGATTCTAACCTCTCTACTGGAGGACCCAGTCGCAGTGGGTCCCTACAATGTTACAACGGGTAATCTATTTTTGAGGACCCTCCCGCAGGTGCCTTTGGTTTGTGGGAGGGAGGGTATAGCTCACAGGCAGTTACAACGGCTGTGGGGAGCAGCCAGGGTTACCACGTAGCTTTGTCCAGGGTGTTGGGAATGAACTGGAAGGGGATTCCCGAATAGAGGAAACCACATCCGGGATGGTTCTTCTTGGGGTCATTCCATTTCTCATTCCCTGCCTGAACCAGCAAGTTGGAGGGGCATAAAAGGAACCCTTCATGGACCTCAAGGGCGAGCTGCCGGAAAACTCTCCCGATGTTTGGTTTGGCTTTCGTGCTTTCTTCCAAAATTCTACTCTTGTTGAAGGGTTTCGGAGGAGTCCATTGTAGAATGTTTTAGTTGTTCTATCTTTTCAGGTCCAGCTGTGTTCTGCTCGTTTGAGGCAGCTTGCCACTTGACCGTCGTTTCCTTTGACAAGCTGGCCCAAATCAAATGGCCCCCTTGGGCTTTACAAGGGTCCCACCTACTCCAAGTGCCCGTTTCTGTCGGGCGTGGTTTTTGAAAAATCTGGTTCTCCAGGTCAAATATCCATCCCGGTTTTGGGCAAGGGTACACGAAGAAATGGCCTACAGTGGAGAAACGAAGTCCATTTCGCACCACCCAAGAAGCCATGGGAAACCATTGTTTGTTGGTATTTAATGGGGAATCGCCATTCTAGGGTTTCTTAAGTGGTGCAGGATTTGGTCGATCCACAGTATTACCCTGCAAGAAGCGGCCGGGTACTTGGTGTGGCACCGGACATGGCACAGGAAAAGCCCAACACATGCATCGGCAAGGGCCAAAAACAAGAACACGAGCCAGGATGGCCATGTGGGGTGTGTCTTTTTTGAGGCTTGCCCCCTGTTTTACTGCGTTTTAAAGGGGGAACAAAGGGAACACCCACGGATTTTTTTGGGGGGTTCCCGCCAAGTTTGGGACAAAGTTCTAGGGGTTGATTCCGATTCCATTCTTTTCAACCATCGTTCTTTTCAAAAACCGGCTGTTTCCCCGGGGTTTGGATAGTTTCCTGAAAAGAAGGATCCCTGGAAAGAATGGAAATGGAAGCTACCCCTAGAAAAGCCACGTGGCGTGTTGGAGTCATGTCCCGGATTTCTAGCCGAGCCATCCCAGCCCTTCGGCGCGATTTGAAGGCCGGTGCACTCCCTTCGTGGCCTTCCCCAAGGGCGACGGCGCCTTGGGGTGAAGTGGAAAAACTGGTGGCTGCGAGAGGTGCAGCTGGCCATGAGAAAGGGACCCACCTACAAGGCTAAACTCTCTGGTGGAGAGAGAATGTCTTCGGTGATAAGACGATCACTTCCTTTTCTAGGTCCCCCAGCTAGGTGCCAACTTGTTAACCCCTTTGTTGGTTGGGAGAGGTTCCCCTAAAATAGACGACAGAAAAAGGTTGGTACCCCAACCTCTAAGCTCTCTACTGGAGGACCGAGGAATGGCACACTTTTTCTGTTGGTGTTTTCATCGGGAACCCCCGGATTTGGAATTTCTTCCAGGTTCATTCCCGTTGATTCCATCCCCAAGTTCATTCCCTAGGTTTCTTCGCTCAGTTGTTCAGTGGCACCGATTCTTTTTCCCTTTTTTTCGGTGGCTGCCCCACTAAAAAATCGGTCTTCCTCAAAAAGGGTTCCAATTCTTTTTTTCCCAGGGTCGCGGAACAAGTGAGCACAACAACCACTTCGCTCCAGTTGGTAGCTGGTTTATCTGGGCAACCGGCAGGGACAATCAACACGAGGCCCTGCGGAGCCACAGCTCGGATCCGAAAATTTGGTGGACGGACCGCAAACCCCCACGAGAAAAAGGTCCCCCGTAGGAATCCGTGGGACATGAGCCAGAGAAGACCTGAGTTTGGTCGTTTCGAAGGGGGATTTGCCGGTTCATTCCCGAAACCCTTAGCAAAACCTCATTGAGAACCGGGTGGGTTTTTTGGGTTGGACACTTCGGGGTCGGTTTACCCAACAAGAGACCACATCATGATCCTCGGGAAGGGCCATGGATGTATGGATGTCGACACCGCGACTTGTTCCACCAACAGATCAAGATGCCAAGAATTTGCAGAGTTCAGGAGTGGCAAGCGTTTTGATACTGGAAAGCTTAGAGCCTGCAAAAAAGGCAACCATGTTTGCTTCCGCATACATGGGTGTGTCTTTCTTTAGGGAGCCCCCCAAAATGTGGTTGTCCTTTTGATTTCTCTTTAAAGCCACCAAACCATGGGTACCCCTTCAACCAAAAAGCAATACACCAGAGAAACACATATGGTCTGAAATGACGCCGGTGAAAGGCCTCAACTTGCTCGGGAACCCAAAGTTCGGCAGTGGTCGGCGGTTGTTCGCCAAACCTTACGTTAGGCATGGGGATTCATGGGGGAGTCTGGCTAGAAAGCCAGGAATGGGGGCCTAATGAGAATGTCTCAAAATTAGGGGATCCCCAAATTGGTTGATTTCCTGTTGGTTTCCTCTCAACACCAGCCAAAAGGCAAGACAAAGACACACCCGAACAGACCGCGCGCGTGGTTGAGGGGGACACCCATTGAGCGAGTTTCACTGGGGAAACATCTTGGCTTAACTAATCAGGATGGTTAGACCAAAGAGGATGAGATCAATGTTAAAATATCATTCAAATTAACATAAATAAATTCATTCAACATAAATACATAGTACTTAATCCCTTAACAATCAATTTCATAACCCAATCCAAAAGACCCTGGCGCAACCCCTGATTGTGAAATTTCGGATCTACCTGGGACCGTACAAACCTAGTGCAGTTCCCTTGTGAGGAAAGAAGCAGTATTGCAGCCCTGACGAGAGTCCGGATGAATCCGCATTCACCCAAGTTGTTTGTGGGAGGGGAGCCCCGTTTAAATCAGTCAAGTCTAAGAAACAAATTTAACACCAAAACCCCTGTTTTTGGGTGGTTGGCTAACTTGATGGAGATTTTCCTGGACACGGCAACCAGTACTTGGGTGCTCGATTCGCCAAGTGAAGTGCTTCGCCACTTAGGCGTTTACCTACTTATGAGTGAGCTGGGCCGGTTGGCGAGTAATGTTGACCCCGGACGAATAGAAACCCTACTTATTAATATGCTGATGTTCCTTTCCAGTTCTGAATCCCACACCTCATTAAGAAACTGGGGTTGATAAATCCGTTCCCACTAGGCCTTCACCCAGAACGTGTTGGAGCTTCGCTTCTGATTCTGCCCAAGCCAAAAAACCCGGCACTTCACTTGGCGGAACTTCCGGGTGTTGGTTGAAGGAACCGGGTTTGGGGATTCCCAAATAAAGGAAGCCAATTCGGGAATGTTCTGGGGCATGCCATTTCTCCTTCCCCGAAAAGGGATCCCCCTAAATAGTGGCCTTTTTCCTTTGGTTTCCCCTTAGAACAACAGAAAAAACTGGGGGATGAGGGAATGAACCTGGTTTCTTCCTTTCTATTTTTGGGAAGGGTGTCCCTTTAAAGTCAACCAACCAAAAACAACGGATGCCTTTTTGTTTCTTCACTGAAATGCTTTTCGCGTTGTTTGGTTCGGATCATTCTTAGTGTCAGGCAACAAGATCACAGATTTGGTTTGAAATCAAGGGGTGGAACAGCCGATTGAAGGAATGGCCACGCCCCAAATGAGGTTTCTTCGGACAAAAGGCATGGGGGGGAGGAGGCAGGTCGTGTTGGAATCAATCCGAAGGTCCTAATGTTATGACATCTAAAGTATCGCAAGATGGGCCTGATTCCAAATGTGTGTTCTTCTTTTTTGTTGTAAACGCTTTGTTTGCAGATTATTTACAACACCAAGCTCCTATTGTTTTGACCTTGGCTCCTGTGTTGCTCTTTTTTAAGCATGGTTTGATTTTGACATGTGTATAAACTACCTGTTAAACAAACCCTTTCGAAACATACATCTCAAAAGCGGGCTCCTAGAGGGTAAGCCTAATCCACTGTGGGAGCTTCTGCATCTTAATGGTTCTTTGGTCCACATGAATCCCACCTGAAGTAAAGAACATCCCATCAAAAAAGGGAACCTCTAGGGGTATCTTCCCCATTTTTTCCTGGGATCCTCCTTAGAAAAACTTCAGCATTGGTTTTGAACAGACCAATGGTTGAGAATCAACCCGGTTAAATTGGGTTGTTGATGGAAGAACAACTTTTAGGAGTCCTTTTTGTAGATGGGTGAAATGGGCCACGTGAACGTGGACTTCCTTCCCATAAAAAATGGGGAACGTCATGCGACGATGCGAGTCGTCTCAGGCACATTGGTGTCCTTTTTGGGTCTGTTTTGTATAGAAATAGATGGGTTCTACTGGTTGACATGGGTTTTATGCTATCCTCTTACCAGGGGAACCCATTCCATTTCCCAGGTGTGTTTTTAGGCCATCCGTTTACCAGAGGTGAGACGACACCCATCGGTTTTTTGTCTCAAAAGAAGCTCTAAGGCACCAACACCTGCACCTGCCCTGCCAGCGGCCTCAGCAGCGAGGCGCGCTGCACCCACCTGCCGTGCCAGGCGCCCCCCGGAGTCGCTCGCGCGGAGTCGGTGGCGCTCAGTCGGTGGCGCGGAGTCGCACTTTTCGTCGGCCCCGGCAGGTTGGCGGGGGTTCCTCGGTTTCCACTCACGGAACGGAGTTCCGGGTTTTTTTCGGACGAAAGGTCGCTTTTTTGGGTTTGGACTGGCCAGTTTAGTGGGCACAAACAGTTTGGCAGCTTTTTCGAGCGGCCAGTCCACGCAGGAAGTGAGGTTTGGTGGTTTTATACATCACCAATTGGAGGCCAATGGGAACTGAGTTCCCTTTTGGGGTGATATTTGTTCAGGGGAAATATAGGGAGCCCACATTTCTACTTGGGGATCTCTTCCTTTATGGCACCACTTCATTTTGCCTTTTTCGTGGTTGTTGTTGGGCCACTTTTTACTTTTTTGCTTATTACGGTTTAGTGGTTGAACTCCAAATCCACTTTACCGCTAAGAAAAATGATAATTGTTGCTCCCCAAACCCAACGTCAACTTCAAGTTTTGGTGGCTTTCCCACAGTCAACCCCCAACAGCTTTTTCCCCTTTCCATGGGTCGTCAACAACTAGGTTCCCAGCTGACGAGGTCATGGGAGCTTGAAATTGCCATGACTCGACATCAGGGTCCGTCCCCCTAAAAGGCGAAACCAGCAGTGGGTGGTTTCTTGAGGGTGGGTATATCTTTGTTTCTTGCCGTCCTGCACTGGGGCATTCCCAGGATATCTTCATCAACTTACTGGCGGGTTCTAATGAAACGTTCTGTCAGGGGGTCCCCTTTTCAAAAAGGGTGGCAAACGGCAACCGGTTTTTTCCCTAGGCCCCTGAACGCCTATGACTTTGGAATGGAGGGGTCGTAATAAGGTACCCTTTTCGGACTGGTTCGGTTTGCCTGCGTTGGGAACGCACTGGTTCCGAGCATACGTCGCATCCAATCCGTACGCTGAGGAGGACCTTGCACATCTGCAGAACCCATACGGGTGTGGTGCTGTGAGCTGGTTTTTCAAAACAACTCACCCTTGATCAGGGCTCCTTAACAGATACATTTTGCAACATGTTGCTTTTTCAACACCAAAATAAAGGGACACCACCATTTACAAGTTGCAATGTTCAGGTGTTTCATGCATCCGGATCCCTGTTGATTCGGCACCTTTCAGTCGGTGGCTTGGATTGGTTTGGGGCTTTGATGAGAACCCCTAGCTCTTGCAGAGGGCAACTTGGAAACCCCCCCCCAGGAACACCTCCAAGCCAATCCAAAGCACCGAAATGAAGGGGAAGCTGCAAAGGTTGCACTCGAGCGAGGGGAGGGGGGAGGGAGCCCAAACAAGCCCTAAATAAGGCCTTATTAAGGGCTCAGTACGTTAAGGGCTCAGTACGGGCTTATTTGGGCTCCCTCCCCCTCCCCTCTCTTCCCCCCAGCCCCCATCTTAAAAAGGCAAGAAACGAGGCATCATTTCGTCCTAGGTTTTTCAATACATCTTTGTCAGAGGCCTATTTCGAAAGTGTTTTATTGAAGAATTGCATATGCGACATTTCTAGGTGCCTTTTGGTGTCCCGGCCGTGCAGGCGACACTCTTGCCCTGAAGCCTGAAGCGCGCAGCCTGAGGCGGGGACAGGTGACGGAGGGCACGTAGCCAGTTTTCCGTTTTCCTCACCTCGATGGTTGAGAGGTTCAACCGTCTCTGTCCCAACCAGTTTCCAGACTCATGGGTTTTGTGCAAGGGGAGCCCCCCCCAAAAATGGTCCGCCTTTGCGGTTCCCTTTAAGCCAAGCAAGCAGTACCAAGCAACATTTTGCACCAATCCGGTGGCTTTCAGCTGCCGGTGGGCTTACATGGCTTTTGGTGGATTCCACCCGCTCTCCCTTGACCTTGCTCCTGTAACATACAAGGGTGGATCCACAAAATACTGAGTCTCCAAACATATTCTTTATTCTCTTGGTGGCTCCCAGGCCGTCCGGTTCCTTAGCTTTTTAGCCTTTTGGTGTTTAGTGGTAGTTCCCATTTGACCCACTAAAAGTTAAACTTTTAGCCTGGGATCTGAGGGCAGCCCAGCTTTCTGGTAGATGCAGAATCTGAACATCTTATTTTCTGTGTACCATGAAGATCAGAAATCAAGACATGGGTACGGGGGTCCTTCTATTTCCCCACAGAGAGGGGGTCGAAAGGCGAACCCGAATTGGACGTGGTTAGCTTCAGTACGGATGTATCCCGGTAATGGGTCGCAGAGCTTTGCACGATGAACAGCCCAATCTAAGTAGGTGTTTAGTCTACCCAAGGCTATGCCTATGACTCCTATTGGTGGCTTTCAACATCACCTGTTTGACCCATAGTGAGTTTGCCTTGCTAGACGTGATGTTTTAGGGAACCCTGATCTAGCCTGGGGTTGACTTGGGTGTTCGACCAAATTAGTTAGTTGTTGGCATCCTAGCTTGCAACTCACTTGTAAGTCACCAAAAGGCTAGCCACTTACTAACTTGGCCGAACATCCGAGTACTACAAATGATCGCCCACCTGGTGAAGATTCTGAACCACCACTATGTGACGACTCCTATCAAGAGTTTGGCCCATGGAACAGAATGGACCTGGAATCCGCGAAATGTATTTCGCGGGTTGCATTCTCTCCGCGCAGTTTTTAGGCCAAGCCGGATGATGGATGACGGGCCGCGATGAAGGTCCTTCACGAGGGGGTTTGATGAGTGTTGGTTTGTTTTCCAGCATGTTGTCGACAATTAATTTGAGCTATTTGAGGATGGCCGTAACTTGTAGTATGTAGTATTTTGTTGTTAGTGCAATCTCAAATCTCAACAACCACACGCTCAACTGCTGCCCAACCACAAATAAGCGGCGGCTTGTCACTCTTTTCGCTTCTTGACAAGCACCAGCCTGAGTCGGTTTCCTAAAAGGCAGCGTCAAACACTCCCTTTTGCCATAAAAGTACTTGTAAGTGTCAGGTTTCAATATGGCACATCAACTGCTGACGTGCCGTTTTCGCGTTCCGGGCCTTTGATTTGTCCGACCCGTTCGTGCCTCGGAGCGGAACCGCGGTGGGTTTCGTTTCGGGCGGCTGACGCCATGGGCGACTCGCGGAGCTCGCTGAATTTGGGGAATGACGAGGAGAGCCCCAGCAGCCGGAGGCCCTGCCATGAGAGGCGTGGGGTTTGGGGCCCGAGGAGTCTTGCAGCACAACTTGGCGGTTTGTTCCGAGTTATTCGGTTTGTTAGGTGTTTAGGTTTTTAGTTGGGTTTGTGAGGACTTCAATTTATCCCCACTAAAAGTTGCAAGAAAGGTGTTTAGGTTCGGAGTTAGGTTTTTTTGGTTGGGTTCGTGCGGAGTTCGATTTGACCCACGAAAAGTTAAGCAACTTTTAGCAGGGGATCTGAGGACACACGAGGCAAGAATGGGGAAAAACAAGGTCACTGATCAAGGATTGAGACAAGCCCCCCCCCCCCACAGTGAATGAACAATTGGCAGGGCACTGATTAAAGGCCCCTGCAAGATAAGCCACATTTCGTTGCCATGTCACAAGATCAGCGATATTTAGTCATGTCACGTCACAATGTTATTTAGCCCGTTATATTGGCAGTGTAGTGTTACAATCGCTCTAGATTCTTAGATGCCCCCAAGTGGAGCCTCTCCCGCAACGCGCCCCCGGCTCCAACCTCCCCACTTCCGCCGTCCTTAGGTACTCCTTAGAGGTTCTGGTTCTTGTAGAGGGTTTGCATGGGGTTCACCACCCAAGTCCGACGCCTCCAACCTCCAAATTCCACGGATTCGCCTCCCAAAATTCGAGTTTATGACAAAACTGAAGTTGGAAGCTTCCAGGTGGCTGTCCCCGCTGACCGAGAACGGTTTCCGGAGCGGGATGCTCACTTTGACCACCACCGCCCTTGGGGGCGGCGTGCTGAGCGTGGCATACGCCACCCGATCGCGAAGCCGCCGAAGGGTTTATGATTTTCTTCGAGGGCCGGGGGTTTGTCTCAGCCTGGGCTTTCCGGTCGCTTTTTCGGGAAACATCTTCTTGGGTTGGCTTTCAGGGAAGAATGAACTGGAAAAAGCCGAAGCGAAGTTGTGGGGTCAACAAAAAAAAGCAATCTACCTATGGAATCGGACTCGGAGGCCCCAAAATGGGGCAAAAAAAACGGCATCCGTTTCGCTTCCCTTTTAATGTTTTTTTTTGGTTGGGTGGTAGTGTCCACTCGATGGTTGTCGTTGAGAAACATTTTACATTTGGTTTTATTGCAGTTTAGTGGTTGAAATCCAACCACTTAATTGCTAAGACATATATTTTTGATCCCCTTCCAACGTCAACCAAGACTCAACCCCAAAAGTGGTCGACTTTGGGGGGAATCTGAGAACACAGGTAAAACCATCCCAAACACAGGGTAGCAACTCCGATGAAATCTCCTGGCAGAGCCTCGAGTTGTCGTCTCTTCCGCCCGGCTTCTCTTTGGATCGTAGTTCAACGCTCCCCGAAGCTGGACTATGGCCCCTAAGGAGACTCATGTTTCATGGTTTCACCTATGTGGCCGTGGCTCAAAATTAAAGAGCTAGGGTTACGCAGGTTTTGGTCCATGTTTCCACTTACCAGGGGTCAAAACCGTTTTGGTACCCTTGTGGGTAGGTGAATTCACGAATTTAAGAACCTATTTTGGTGGGGATTGAATCGGATGTTCACTCGGGGTACGGGATTTTGACCCATGGCCATATGAAACCAACAAAGGGCTTCGATTCCCAAAGTCTGCGAATGATGGCTGGGTTCCAATATGGTTGGCCTCATTTCAGGTCTCTCTCTTCCAAGACCAAGGGACAATTCGAAAAAGGTCTGCCATTTGTTCGGTACCAGTCTTGGGATGTTGGTGGACACTACCACTAAACCACATTAAAGGCCATGATAGAAATTCCAAAGTCGCGAGCCCTTGGGCTCCGAGGCTGCGAAGACATGTTCGGGTTGCAATTCGTTGCAATTCAGCAGCCTGTTTTTTTCTTCACCAAAACGAGTTCTTCTGTGTGGGTAGACCAATGAAGCAGAATCCAAACATATTATTTGCTGTGTGGGCCTAGTTGAGGAGGGGGGGTTGAGCAATGCTGGCGAAAAAACTCGAAAACTGTGACTGCTCAAAAACTTGTTGTCTCCAAATGAGGGGGGTACCCCCTAAAATATGAGATTCACCCATCATTAACGAGATTCTTTTTGATTTTGCCCTTTTGGCTGTCCTTCTTTTCCCGTGCAACTAGCCAACAGATTATCTTGTGTGCGAATCAAGTCAAGCCATTGGGGGGCACCCCGAAGAGATATACATGTATTTACATATATAATATAAGTGTCTGATTTTCCTCCACGCAAAAAGGGTTCCCTCCCCCACACAAAAGACAAGCAAAAAAAGAAAAGGAATAATAGGGCTACAAATAGCACAACAAGAAACACAAGAGGGCGCACCCGTTTGCTCGAAGCAGAAAAACAAGACGAAATCCAACGAGAGACAAGGTGATGAACATGTGCGGCATGGTGCTCGGCTGCTTGATGCTGGCACTGGGCGCGCTGCGACTTGGCTGCGTTCCTTTCGTTTCCGTCGCTGGACGGATCCGGTGTTTTGTTTCCCCCAATTGTTTTTTTTTACTGGGGCTGGTCCCCTGGTTGGTTGGCAATAGGCAACCCCAGGTCCACGTGATGCTGATGATGCTGGGGATGTTGCCAGCCCTGCGGAAAACCAGCCCGCAAAAAAAAAAACAAAACACTAGACAAAAACATGCCTCGCCGGACCGCCCCCGAAGTGCACCTGGGCCAGCAAGATACTTTGGAGGACTTACCCCCTTGACTTGGACCCGACTGAAAATCCGGTTGGGAAACTGCCCGGTGAAAAGAAGGGGGCCTCAAAAACACCATCCTTTTCTCAACTTTTTCACCTGAGTGGGTTAGACTCCTCTCTCCCACTTGGCTCTAAAAGGCTGGTATTTCTAAGTCCCTACTTGGGTGCGCATCCAAGTCCTCCCTTAGCTTTTCAGCTTTTTGTTGGTTTAGTGGTTGGGTTTCCATTTGACACACACACACAAGTTTTACAACTTTTAGCGGGGGATGAGAAAACGGATAGTCCAGCTTAGGTAATTTGGGTATGGGTCAAAAGTATACCACCAGGAATTCAACCGCAGAGTTTAGTCCTTGTTTCACTTACCAGGGCAACCCGTTTTGGGATTACCCTATTTTTGACCCACACCCAGCTTAGGTTGGCATACCTGGGCCTACTTACTAAGTAGGTTTTATTTCCTAGGTTGCTACCGTTGCTAAACCGCTTACTGATTTTTCGCGAATCGAGCACAGGGACAAGCTGATGAACAGTTGGCATACCTTGGCACCCAAGAAGCTGATCTTAGGTGCAGGTTCAAGAAGCCGATATCTTAGGTTGGCGTATCTGGGCCCGCTTACTAAGTAGGTTACAACCTAGGTTGCTTACTGCTTACTTATTTTTGGCGAATCGAGCCCAACAACCTGATCTGAACCCCCTCCCAAACTCGCAAACAAACAACTAGTCCCCCTGTGCTCACCCCCCCCCACACGCCCCACCCCACACGCCCCACCCCACACACCCCACTCCACACAAGGGGCGAATCGAGCACGTTCAAGAAGCTGATTGCAGGTTGGCTTTTCCCGAATCGAGTGCCCACGGGGCTGATCCTAGGATGGCGGATCTGGGCTAATATCAAAACCGTTTCGGGATCCCATGGTGGGGTAGGTGAATTCACCCACTCAAGAACCTATGTTAGTGGTTGGATTGAATCGGACGTTCACTAGGGGGCTAACCGATTTGGATTTTGACCCATGGCCATATCTTAGGCTGGCATATCTGGGCATGTCGGCCTTGATGGAGATGAGCACCAAGACCAACTGCAACTCCTACGCCGCCCTCTTCTCCCACTGCGCCGGGCCCGCCGCAGGGCCCATCCTGGAGCTTCGGAAGCGAAAAGAAGCGAGCGAAGAGCCGGTGATTTGCTTTTTTTTGGTTCGGGGGAGCCACTTCTCTCGTGATGATCCCCATTTTTCCCATGGATGTCACCTCAAGATTCCCCCCGCCCCCCCTAATTAGTGGTTTGGATTCGTGCTGTGCGGAAAACCCCTGGCTCTTGTCGAGGGTAAATGGGAAACCACTCCAACACCTCCAACTCACCAATCCAAACCACCCTTTGTTGGGAGCTGCTTCAGGGTACCAATTTTCAATGTTTCTTCTTCTTCTGCTTCTTCTTCTTGTTTTCGAGGGTAGCCATGAACTTGGTGCGTTCTTCTTTTCCGGGAGCCCCCTAAAGGAAGCCCACCCAATTTTGTCGGGTGGCTGCCTATGAGCCCGCGGCCGCGTTGGTGAGTTTTCAAGCCTGGCAGCCAGAAGCCTAAGGGTCTGTGGTGCCCCGAAAACGGCTGGGTGCTTCAAAGAGAACGGGGGACGCCCCCCCCCCCCCCTTTTGTTGGGGAGGCCTTTATTTTGGGGTTGCTTTAAAGCAAAGTACGTTGTTGTTTTTTTGTTGGGGGGCCCCTATTTTTGGGGTTGCTTCAAAGCAAAGTACTTTTTTTTTGGGGGGGGGCCTATTTTGGGGTTGCTTCAAAGGACATTGGAGGACGCCCCACCCATGTTCAGCGCCCTTAGGATTTTAGGACACGAAACCAAGCGATTTGTTTTGGCTGGGTGCTTCAAAAGGGAAACATCGGGTTTCCCCCTTATGGTTTTGGGGCACCCTACTGTGGATGGACAAAATCCTGCACCACTTTGAAACTATGGGAAACCATTGTTTGTTGGTATGTACAGGGGAGTCATCATTCCAGGGTTTCTTGGGTGGTGCAGGATTTCGCAACCATCCACAGTAATTATTTTAGGACACGCCCAAGTGGCTATGAGTTTCCAGAGCGAATCGTCCGGTTCCTTGGGGTTTTAGTTGCTTCCAGGTTGGATTGTTTTAGTTCCTAAGGATTTTAGTTTTTTAGGTTGGGTTTAGTGGTTGGGTTTAGTGGTTGGGTTTCCATTTAGCGCGCAAGTTTAAGAACTGTTCGCAGGGGATTAGTTTTGACAGCCCGGTTATTTGGTGGTTTTGGGAGATTTGAACCCAAGGGACTCCTTGCAGGTGGGTTTTTCTGGACGAACCACTTGCGTGCTGGTCCGAAAGCATCGTCCAACAGGTAAGAAAGGCGTAGGGATGGGCATCAAGCTGGGTCAGTGTTCCTATCAAGCGAAGAATGGCTACATAAGGAGTTTCATTGTTTGAGCCAAGTTTCGTGAAGATGTTCCTGGCCTTGGTTCTTGTGGCGGGCAAAGAGGAAACCACCCCCGAATCTCCAAACCATCAAACCACCAATTAGAGTAGCCCGACCCCAGAACCAAAGACATTTCGCGCAACTTGTTCGCAGTGCCCAAACCTGAAATGACTTCTGGTTCTTCACACACACACATCAAAGTCCTTTATGTACGCATGTAAGATATTGTTCTGCCAGTGGGTTGCAAAGGTATGAAGGTCCTGACTGGTACACTCCTGATAATTGTCGTGGCAGCCACAAACCCCCCCTCTGCTTGGAAGGCTTTTTTTTGGTCTCCCCGGATTTGGCACCCCTTCGGTGTATGCTAGTGAACAGCTCGTATTCGGTGGCACTGATGCACATTCAGGGTACGGTGTGGATTGGCTGTGGATCCTTACTGTAGGTGTGTCTTTTAGGGGAAATGGTAGGCGTCCTTTTCTTCCTTTTGCTGAAATGTTTTGTGTTTTTTTCCCCTAAGGGAATATATCACTACTGGACATTGCTCATTTCTTGCAGGAGGCTTAAGCCAATGGAAGCTTTGGCGTTCCTTTCTAGCCACAGATAAAGCGCTACCCTAAAGAAGACAGACCCGTCTTTTCTCAGGGTGTTTGTATTGCACCCTGAAAAATACACCCACTGGGTATTGACCACATTTAGGCACATGTCCGGACAATACCGTGTTATCTTGAACCATTATGGGTCATTTCCCCATGGTTGTTGTTGGGAAACAATTTGCATTTTTGCTTATTGTGGTTTAGTGGGAAATCCCCCACTTGACTGCTAAAATTTATTTTTGTTGCTCCCCTTCCAACGTCAACCAAGTCCCAAGGGTGCAATCCCAGGGTGTAAGACAAAACCCCTCAGACCTCTGGAGCCACGAAGGATGCCATGCTCTTTGTGTACGGCAACGGCGCGTGCGTGGGCTACATGGTCTTCATCGGGGACTTCATCCCGGCGATCATTGCGCTGATGCTTCCCGAGGTGGGACCTTTGGTCGAAGCCAGTTTTGCCCCAGGTTCTGTGCAGTCCAGAGTCCAGTAGTCGCAACATGCTGATTTCGAGGCATGGGGAGAGCCATAGCCTAGGACTCCGCCGGCCGGCTCTCAGAGAAGGATGCGCCATTTCCATTTAGGGATCTTCCTTAAGTGGGCAAAGACCTGTTGAGTGGCTCTTGCAGAGAATGATGGGTAGGAAATCAAGGCTTGGAGTCAATGCGCAAGGGGGGTTGTCAAAATATGCGTTTTTGTGGTATCTCCTTCAAAAGGCGGCACCAAGATCCAAAAAGCCCAAATTGGTTCACGCCAGACCATCCACTAGTTCACGAACAATAAGCAAGCTCCCCCCGACTTGTGTCCAAGCTACTGTGGATGGACAAAATCCTGCAGCACTTTGAAGCCATGGTTGAAACCATTGTTTGTTGGTATTACATGGGGAGTCATCATTCCAGGGTTTCTTAGGTGGTGCGAAATGGATTTCGCAACCATCCACAGTAGTTCCTCAGGGCGAAGGTACATAGCCCTTATTCATAGCATACCTCTTGGCTTCCCTGGTGACCAACACACTTTACAAGGGGAGATTTGTTTTGGGGAAGAGAGGCACGAACATAGAGCCACAACCACCACGGATGCCCAAAATATTGCAAGTGATGGAAGAAGGGAACCATGGTTGTGTGGTTGGTTTACTTGCAATATTTAGGGCATCCACCGTAATGTTGACCCAGAATCCCCACTAAAAGGGGACCCCCCTATTAATCAACCATGCAGGGGTTTATTAATCCGGGGTGAACATCAGCGCATGGGCCCCACCCTGAGGAGGCTTGGGCCCAAAACACCACGGGCATCACGCGCACGGTGTCCATTGGTGTGGCGGCTGCGCTCTTGATCCCGATGATGCTCGGCTCTCTCAGTTGCCCAAAGCTGAGCTTGTCTTGGTGGCTCCCAGCCATCCGGTTCCTTAGCTTTTTGGGCCCGTGCAAAGTTTGTTCAAAGGGATCTTGGTTCTTTGTGGGGTCCACATGGGTGTGGGTCAAAACCCCGTACCCCCTGTGAACATCCCAATCCCCACTCAAGTCCCGACTGAAATGGAGGTGCACCTTCCCCAAAATGGTACCAAAACGGTTTTGACCCACAGCCACATATCGAGAAACATGTGACAGGGGTAGGTCCACTCCATAGGTGCAGAGGAGGGGAAGGCCGTCCACATTTGGGGGTCACCGTCCACGCATAGGGGGTCCACGTATAGGAGGCGCGAGTTCATGAATTTATGTGCAGAATCTGCCCATCACATGTGGGATCCACATGAGCCAAGGCGTCCACGTTTATGAAGGGTGTAGAAAGGGATGCGCTGGAAGGGGGCCACGCACAGATGACCACGCATAGGAGGTGTCCGCGCACGCAACAGGGGTCTTTCTGACTTACACTGAAATGGCTCCAGGTCCACACAAATGTAGGGGATCCTTTGCTGAAACTGTAGCCTTGAGAGCGCATCTGTCTATTTAAGCCATCCCCCAAACATCCGCCAGAATCATCCCTCACATCATCCCCCTTGTGCAACAACATCCCGCGCATCAAGCGCCAAATCATCACCCCCGGGCCAAGCCATCCTCAGAATTATCCCCCCTGCCCAGAACCATCCCTTGAATCATCCCCCTTGCCCAGAACCATCCTCAGAATCATCCCCCTTGCCCAGAACCATCCTCAGAATCATCCCCCCTGCCCAGAACCATCCTCAGAATCATCCCCCTTGCCCAGAATCATCCCCTGAATCATCCCCCCTGCCCAAAACCATCCCCTGAATCATCCCCCCTGCCCAAAACCATCCCCTGAATCATCCCCTGAATCATCCGCAGGCACTTAGCCTCGCTAAGCCACGTCAAGCCATGGCCACCTGCCCTGGAGGGGTGTTGGCTTGCTCCTGAGATTTCAGGGTTGGCTTTGGTGAGACCAAAGCTTGACGAAGGTTTGGATTGGATTACTGCTTCGGAGTGGGTTGCCGGTTTTTCCTGCGTTTTGGAGCTTCCTTGGCTTGAAGTTGTTTTTCGGGCAGGCCGCCGTCGGGCATGCCGTCGGGCAAGCCGTCGGGCACGCCGTCGGGCACGCCGTCGGGCAAACGCCCCGGTTGTTGGGCGCGGTGATTGGGGCTGGGCGGGCCAGGGCTCTTGGCTGGGTTGCGCCGGCGTGGCGTTGGGTGAGCTCAGATGTGAGGAGTTTGAGGAGTTGCTTACTGGGTCTTTTTGTGGTTTGGCGTGGCTGCGAGTGGCGCGGAGTCGTTTATAGTGCATTTCCATGGTTCGGAGTGGCTGCGTGCGGTTTGGAATCAGTGCTTCGGAATGGGCTGGCTGGCGGTTTTTCCTCAGCTTTGGAGTGGTTTGGAAGTGCTTGTAGTTCTTCCTATGTGACTTTTGGTCGTTGTGAGCGGTTGTCGGGCACGCCGTCGGGCACGCCGTGGGGCACGCGCCCCGGCTGTTGGGCACGGCGAAAAAGCTTGGCGTCGTGCACGTTGTCGAGCACACCGTTGGGCAAGCGCTCCAGCTGTTGGGCGCGGCGCGCGTTAGGCACGCTGTCGGCCGTCGGGCAAGCGCCCCGGCTGTTCGGCGCGGTGTCATTTAAAGCTTGACGTCGGGCACGCCGTCGGGCACGCTGTCGAGCACACCGTCGGGCTAGCGAGTCGGCTGTTGGGCACGGCGCAAAAAGCTTGGTGTCGGGCACCCCGTCGGACACGCTGTCGGGCGGGCCGCTGCGCGCATCTTTAAAAGCTTGGCGTCGGGCACGCCGTCGGGCACGCCGTCGGGCACGCTGTCGGGCACGCCGTTGGGCACTCGCCCCGGCTGTTGGGCGCGTGCAAAAATGCTTGGTGTCGGGCACGGTCGCCCCGGCTGCTGTGCCCGGCGTAGAAAGTTTGGCGTCGGGCACGCCGTCGGGCACGCTGTCAAGCGGGCCGTCGGGCAAGCGCCCTGGCTAGTGGGCGCGGTGCAAAAAGCTTAAGCGTTAGGCACACCGTCGGGCACGCTGTCGGGCACACCGTCGGGCAAGCGACTCGGCTGTTGGGCATGGCACAAAAAGCTTTGTCGGGCGGGCCGTTGGGCAGCGCCCGGCTGTTGTTGGGCACGGTGCAAAAAGTTGGGCGTCGGGCACGCTGGCGCACCGTCGGGCGCACTGTCGGGCGCACACTTCCCAACCAATTCGGCAAGACAATTAGAGAGTCCCACGGTAAAAATTCATTTTTACGGCAATTCCCATTTCGCGGCAACTAGTGACTTCTTAATTGACTTAATTGCAAAAGTAACTTTTCTCGGCAACGGCAACGGCAACGGCAAAAAAACGCGGCAACAAAAACGGCAACGGCAACGGCAATGTTGGAAGTAGTTACTGCGAAACTACGGCACTGGAGCTAATTCCGCAGTAGTTTGGCAGTAGTTTGGAACTAACTACTGCGAAACTACTGCGCTGGAGATAATTTCGCAGTAGTTTGGAAGTAATTACTGCGAAACTACTGCGCCTTGGCAAACAGCCACGGCAGCAGCCACGGCAATTTCCCCGTTAAAAAATTAACTTTTCGCGGCAACAGCAACGGCAACGGTAAAAAAAGACTGCCCACGGTAAACCTTAAACTTTCATGGTAAAAATTGTCTTGCCCCCGCTAATTGTCTTGACGGATTCACAGGGCAATTGGGGCAGGCGGTCGGGCAGGCTGTCTGTCGGGCAAGCCCTTGCTGTTATGCGGTGCTTGGTGGGACACGCCATGCGCAGCGCTTCGCCCTTGCGCGCGGGGTTGGCGTCGGCGGGCGGGCAAAAGCCCCAATTGGGCGGGTGCTCGGGGTTGGGCGGGCCAGGGCCCTTGGCTGTTGGGCGGGGCGCTTGGCGCCGAGCGGGCCAGGACCTGACGTTGGGACGTCGGGAGATGTCGGGAGTCGGGCGGTGTTTTTCAATGGCCTTGCCGGTGGTTTGGAAGTGTTTTTCCTTGGTTGGGAGTAGTTTTTCAGTGGTTGTCGACGGTCGTCGCGCAGGGCGTCGGGCAAGGCGTCGGGCACGCCGTCGGACGCACTGTCCGGCGTAATTGGCTGTTAGGCAGCGTTGGGCGAGTCAGGGCGCCTTGCTGTTGGGCGAGGTGCTTGGCGTCGGGGGCCTTGGCTGTCGATCGGGCGAGGTGCTGAGCGTCGGGCGCCCGCGCCCTTGGCTGTTGGGCGGGGTGCTTGGAGTGGTTTGAAGTTTTTCCGTGGTTTGGAGTGCGGGGGTGTTTTTCCGTGGTTTGGCATGACTGGGAGTGCGGCAGTGGCGAGGATTGGTTTCTGGAATCGCGGCTTTTCCAGTTGTTTTTTGTGGCGTGGCTTGGCGTCTAGCTTGTCAAGGCATGGTTTTCAGTGGTCGTTGGCCGGGCCGTCGGGCACACCCTGGCTGTTGGAAGCCATGGCTCTTGGCTGGCCGGAGGCTTGGCGTCGGGCGTGCCATCGGGCAGGCAATTTGTGCGGAGTTGCTGGGGTCGAGCGGCCGTGCCAAGGGCTGGGAAGCGACCGGCATTGTCGAGTACTTGCCGCGGACGATTTGCCAGGAGTAGGGCCGTTTGATTGGCCATGCTGCCCCGTGGCCGCGCACGGTGACGACAAACGTGACGATCTTGCTGCGCGCCCTCCGGGCGGACACCGCGACGCTAACGTCGAGGATGTTTCGCGGCTATTCCGGAGCTGTTTCGAGGACGTCGGACAAATTGAGGATGTTTCGAGGACGAATCGAGGATGTTTCGAGGAAGTTTTCTCCGCGCCCGACGGTTTGACCGATCCCCGCGCCCGACACCACGCGCGTCGAGGCTGTTTCGGCGATGTTTCCGAGGACGTTTCGAGGACGTTTCGGCGATGTTTTTCGAGGACGTTTTCGAGGATGCCCCGACCGGAACGCGCCCGACGCCGCGCCCGACGCCACGCCCGACGCCGCGCCCGACGCCGCGCCCGACGCCGCGCCCGATGCCACGCCCGACGCACGCCTATGCGCCCGGACGCCGAGCCACCATGCCCGGCAACTGCGCGCGGGCGCGGCCAACATGGCGCCCAGCCCCGTGCAAGGTGTCGAGGGTCCCAAGCTTGTGGGCGGTGTCGCGAATTGCCGCTGGCAGCTGACGGTTCCGTGGGCAGAGCCCATATGTTGGGCTGTGGGCTCAGGGGCGAGGGGTCCGTGGGTTGGGAGGGTTGGGCGCAGCGTCGAGCGGGTCTTGGGCGTCGGGCGCGTCGGGCAGGGGGCCTTTGGGCGTCGGGCGCGGCGTCTGGGGTTGGGGCATGGGTCGGTCGGGCGCAGCGTCGGGCGGGGCATCTTGAAGTCTTTGGGCGTCGGGCGCGGCGTCGGGCGTGGGGTCATGCGTCGGGCGCACGGCGTCTGGGGTTGGGCATGGGTCGGTCGGGCGGGGCATCTTGAAGTCTTTGGGCGTCGGGCGCGGCGTCGGGCGTGGGGTCCTGTGTCGGGCGCAGCGTCGGGCAGGAGGTCTTGGGTGTTGGGCGCGAGGGGTCATGGGCGTCGGGCGCAGCGTCGAGCAGGCGGTGTCGGGCGCGGCGTTGGGGTCTTAGCGTTGGGCGCGGCGTCGGGCGGGTCGGGCGCGGCGTCGGGCCGTCGGGCGGGGAGGCGTCGGGCACGGTTTCGGGATTGTTTCGGGCGGGGGGGGTTCGTGCGTCGGGCGCAGCGTCGGGCGCAGCGTCGGGCGCAGCGTCGGGCGGGGGTCCTGGGCGTTGGGTGCGGCGTCGAGGGGTTGCGCGTCAGGTTACGCGTCGGGCACAGCGTCGGGCGGGGGGTCTGTGGGCGCAGCGTCGGGCGTCGGGCGGGGGGTCTTAGGGGAGTCACATGTCATTGTCTGGCGCAGCGTCGGGCGGGGAGGCGCAGGCGTGGGGTCATGCGTCGGGGGGAGCGTCGGGCGGGGGCGTCTTAGGCGTCGGGCGCGCTGGCGGGCGGGGAATCATGCGTCGGGCGCATCGTCGGGCAGGGGTTTTGGGCGTCGGGCGCAGCGTCGGGCGCGGGGTCTTGTGCGTCGGGCGCAGCGTCGGGCAATGGATCATGCGTCGGGCGCAGCGTCGGGCGCAGCGTCGGGCGCAGGGGCGTCGGGCGCAGCGCGGGCGCAGCGTCGGGCGGGAGGTCTTGGGCATCGGGCTTGAGCGTCGGGTGTTGGGCGGGCGCTTGCGTTGAGGGCGGCGTCGGGCGCAGCGTCGGGCGGGGGTCCTGGGCGTTGGGCGCAGCGTCGGGGGGTTACGCGTCGGGTTACGGGCACAGCGTCGGGCGGGGGGTCTGTGGGCCCGGAGTCGGGCGCAGCGTCGGGCGTCGGGGGGACTCATGCGTCATCGTCGGGCGCAGCGTTGGGCGGGGAGGCGCAGGCGTGGGGTCATGCGTCGGGGGGAGCGTCGGGCGGGGGCGTCTTGGGCGTCGGGCGCGCTGGCGGGCGGGGGTTCATGCGTCGGGCGCATCGTTCGGGCAGGGGTTTTGGGCGTCGGGCGCAGCGTCGGGCGCGGGGTCTTGGGCGTCGGGCGCAGCGTCGGGCAAGGGATCATGCGTCGGGCGCAGCGTCGGGCGCAGCGTCGGGCAAGGGATCACGCGTCGCGCAGCGTCGGGCGCAGGATCTTGGGCGTCGGGCGCAGTGCGGGCGCAGCGTCGGGCGGGAGGTCTTGGGCATCGGGCTTGAGCGTCGGGTGTCGGGCGGGCGCTTCCGTTGAGGGCGGCGTCGGGCTAAGCGTCGGGCGCAGGGCCCGGCGTGCCCGACACCAAGCGCCCCGCCCAACAGCCGGGGCTTGCCCGGCGGCCCACAGGAAAACAGTTCCAACGCTCCAAGCCATGCCAAGCAACTCCAAACGTGCGAAAGAACCGCTAATCCATTGAAATTAACACATTTGACACCACCCTGCCCGACTCCAAACCAATTTACTTCCAAGCCACTCCCAGCCAGTAAAAAACACCCCTTGCCAAACAATTGAGAAACCCTCCAGACTCCAAACCGCTGAAAAACAAACTCCAAAGCACTCCTCAAAAAACCTAAAGCCGCGAAACTCCAAAACCACCCCAGACCACTTGCCTTGCCCGCCCAAAACCAAGGCCCGCCTGACCCCAGCACCCCGCCTACGGGGAAGCCTGCGCCTGTTGGGCGGGGTTCTTGGGGTCGTGTGGTGCTTGGCGTTGGGCGGGCCACGCCCCAGCAGGCGGGCGGGCTTGCCCACATGTCAAAGAAACCTTCCCGGGAAGCCAAGTTTCAAAGGAGCCGCCCACTGATTGGAAAACGCAGGTAAGCTTTTCAAGCAAACAGAAACGTGCTGCGCACGAGACATTGAGTTAGTCAAGCTTTGGTCTTCCAAAGCCAACCCTGCAAGTTAACATCTCAGGAGCAAGCCAACACCCTGGCCATTTGTGTTCCCGGCGTCACCTCACGGGAAGGCGCTTCCGAACCTCTCTCAATTAAGGGCGTGGGTTTGTTGCTGAAGATGTCGAAGACTGGAGACCTCTTTGAAAAGGTTTGCTTTGCGCGCAGACGATTTAGCTGATGTTTTCGCGCGCCCGGACAACCTCGTTGATGTTTCCAAACATCCCGCATGTTTGCGAGGATGTTTTTAATCATCCCCGACGTTTTCCGTGATCAGTCTAACCATCTCCGACGTTGGCGGGGATGTTTTTAAACAGCCCCCATGTTTCGGAGGATATTTTGAATCATCCCCCATGTTTGTCGGGATGTTTCTGATCATCCCCCATCTTGGCCCGGATGCTTAGCAGCAACCCCAACGAATGGAAAGACGATGCCGGATGTCCCGGACGGATTTCTGGTAGGGCGGGACGTTTGCAGGGCGACGCTAAGATGGGGTGATGTTTTGCGAGACGATTTGGGGCGACGCCTGCGGGGATGTTTGTAGCAGGCCCCCACTCTCACGTGTTAAATAGGACAGTGGAGTTCTCAACTGTAGCCGTCTTTGGCAAATGCACTGGCTTGACATGGTTTAAAGTTCAGAGTTGTTCACTAGACCTCACATTCGTTGCTTTTGAAACGTTACTTTTGGACAAGCTTTTTGTTTTTTCTTCTCCACTTCTTGGCGCCTTTCCATCTCTTGGACGAGGCCCTGAAGCCATGCCATTTCCGTCCCGGCGGATTTTTTCGGCCGATTTCGGTTCCCGGAGCCCCGGATCTGAACAGAAGCCCGGGCGGATGTTCGTCGGGGGTGGGTGCTCCAATTTTTCTTTTTAGTGATTTTAGTGGTTTGCTGACCTCCCAAGACACAAGCATGCCTTGAGCCCCCAGGGTCATATTTCGCGTGGAAAGGGGCTTCATCATTTCCCCTCCAAGCCTGCGGATAGGCGAAGTCCATTTCGCATCACCTAGGAACTTTATAAAACAAATTAAGATTCATATGAACCATCAGGTCTTGGAGGGAAGGAGGAGGGGATGAAGTCAAATCGTCATGGCCTTCAAGCCACGGGAAGCCGTGGGTGGAACTTTGCCGGGGAATGGATTCCTTCCAGGCTTTTGAGGTGCGACCCAACGGCCACGGTTTTGGTCTTCATGGGGGCTGGGGAGGAGGGGAGGGGGAGGGAGCCGAAAGAATCTTATTAGGCAGGGCTTCTTAAAAAATCTCCATTTTGCAACCATTTGAAACATGTTGCTTTTTGAACACCAAAATAAAGGGAAACCACCATCTACAAGTTGCAATGTTCAGGTGTATAATGTAAGGATCCCTGTTAAGGGCTTATTAAGGGCTTATTTGGGCTCCCTCCCCCCTCCCCCTCCCTCCCCAGCCATCCTCGGTCCGGCGGCTCATTCCGAGGATGCTGCCCGAGGATCTGTCGCGCTTGAAGTTCCTGCAGCCGGTGTCCATCGTCGTGCCTCTGATCAACGCCAAGATGCTCAGTTGTTCAGTGGCTCCCTTTTTCCATTTCTTTTTTGGTGGCTGCCCCACTAAAATGGTCCAAGCCCCAAAAAAGGGTTCCCTTTTTTTTCCAGGGTCACTGAACAACTGAGATCAACGGAAAGATGGGATCCCTCGTTTTGGAGCCCGAACTGCTCTCCAAACCAACACGAGGGCACGCTTCGCTTTGGAGATATGACACAGAAACACACAAGTTATTTTTCTCTTGCAGCATGAGACAGAAACAAGGAAACATGTTTGTGGTTGTTTTTCGGCGTGCCCCGTTTTTTTGTGGGCCGATTGTTTGGATGGGAAACAAGGAACACCACGGCCCTTTGGCACAGACTCGAATCTCGGGATGGGTGTTGACTACCTCAGGAGATACAGCCACCTTTCTGCCACCATATACTTCCATTTGCTTCAGGCTATTTTCATGTTCCCCTGTTGGTTGTGAAGGGAATCTATCACTAAAAAGTTTTGTTTTTTCGGGGGGACTTAAGCAAATGCAGGTATGAAGGGTATATACTCCAGTTTAACCTGGGGGGGTAGCAGTTTGGGGGTAGTGATTGATGACATGGCTTTGGGCATTACAGCCCCTGTACCAGACTCGCGACTGGGATGCTTTTTTCCTAGCCCCGGTTGGGGCTTACCCCTGGTTGGGTGGCTGGTTGGCTGGTTGGCTGGTTGGTTGGCGTTCTCTCAAAATGTACGGTGTCCCAAATTCCCCCAATCCACTACCCAGAGAAGGGAGAATATGGATGGACCAAAACGGGAACACCAAAAGGTCAAAGGGTCGGCTTTGCGCAACTGAGCCTAACGTAAACTGCAAAAAAAAGAATGCCTTGCCCCGATTTCAAACAAGGGAGGGCCCTCTGTGATTTGCGATTTCTGTTGGAAGCAGAAGACCAAGCACAAGAGGAATTACGTGCCCCTTTTGTGCCAAAAACCAGCGAGGACTGACTTTTGTTTTGCAAGCAAGCGCTTGCCCCTCCCCCCCCAACAAAAAAAAACAAGGAGCACAAACGGAAGAAGCGATGAAGAAAAACAGCTAACACCAAACCCACTAAATCCGGTTGCCCCTGTAGTGGGAGAAGGAAAGGACACGCAAAGAAACAGTAAATATGGGGGGGTCCTTTTTGAGGGTAGTGGATTTAAAAGGAAAGCCCCTTTTGGGCGTTCCCTAAAACACACACACACACATATTCCGGTGGTGTACTATAGTGGCAGGGAGCCCAGGGTCAATAACCCTTATAACAATTCTAACAAGCAACAATGGGTTACCAACCAACCGACAAATCAAACACACAAACAAACAAGCAAGAAGCAAGCGAGCAAACAAAGCTAGCAAACAAAACAAGCAGCAAGTAAGCAAACAAACAAAAACAAACAACAACAAGCAAACAAACAGACAGACAAACAAACAAACAAACAAACAAACAAGCAAACAAACAAGCAAGCCACAGAAAAGAGGCAAAACATGCTGGGTACATACTTTGTTGGTAGCTGGACGCACTAAGCAAGAAAAACAAAGACCAGCGAACCGATGAGTTTTTGAGTTTTAAATAGAGGGATTTTGAACAGGGCAAACATGGATCAACCAACCAACCAACCAACCAACCAACCAGCTAGCCAGCCAGCCAGCCATCCACCCAGCCAGCCAGCCATCCACCCAGCCAACCAGCCATCCACCCAACCAGCCAGCCAGCCAGCCAACCAGAGGACCAAAAGAGCCAAAGGACCCTCAGTTCGCGCTTGGGTGCTCGATTCGCCAAGTGAGTAAGTGGTTAGGAACCGTTCGGGTTATAACCTACTTACAACCGGCCCAACTCACTAACCACTTACGAACTTACAACCAACTTACAACCCAGAAGTACTAAACACTTTCAACGGGCTTACCACTGGGTGAGTCACAACCTACTTCCCACCGGCCCCACCTCCACCGGCCCCACTGGGGGGTGACCCAGTGGGCGGTGTGAGGCGCTGATGTACATGTCGCTGGTGGTGGCCTTAAAAAGCCCCAGCAGCTTCAAGCGCGGCTCGGCGAAGTGCGAAGTGCGCGCCCAGCTTCCGAGCCTTCGATGTTCTTCGCGGCGCTTGTCCTCACTTCACCAAAATTCAGGCGGTACTTGCCCAAAGCGAATCAACCTTGTGACCAATTGGTCCTCTGATCCCGTTCATATTTTAGTCCTCCACTTGTGTCGGCAAGGTATTTTCTTCTATTTTTTGGTTCTCTTCATCGAAGAGGGGGCTGCAAAAGACCCAGTTCTGTGGCACCACATCACATCATGGTTGTTGTTGGGAAACATTTCCCATTTTTGCTTGTTGTGGTTTAGTGGTGGAAATCCCACCACTTAACTGCTAGCATTTAAATGTTTGCTCCCCAAATCCAACGTCAACCAAGACATGGGTTGTACCGGTCGAGGTCCCAAAAGGTCCAGACTTTGTTTCCAGGTCTTCTGGCCAAACTGAGCTTCAGGTGAGGCGATGCGATGCAGTCCTTTGGGTGCAAAATGGCTACAGGGAACACGTGCATGTGCTTTAATGGGGATCCAACCGCGATTGGTTTCCCTTTCAAGCCACCTGAGAAAAGGGTAGCCTCAAAAAATGACGCACCCAAGTAGAATGCAGGAACTCAGGAAAGTATGGATAGGAAGAGATAGTTCTATGCCATTGCCTCCATCTTCACAACCGTCCCTGCAAAACTTTGATTGCAACCAAACACCATTTCCCAAAAATATGTACCTTAGCTTTTCCCGAGCATCCGGTGCCTAAGTTCTTTGGAGCTTCTTAGTTGGTTTAGTGGTTGGGCTTCCATTTAACCCACTCGAGTTTTTTTGTTTGGCAGACGGTTTTTGTTTTTTTGGGGGGGGGAGGTCTGCTTTTCGCGGCACCTGATATCACGTGAGGATTCGATCACCAGCCGTCCTTTGGGGACGTTCGGCTGATTACGGTGGACGCTCACTTTTTCGAGGAGCCTTGGCAGGTCAGTTGGACCGACCGTACCTTTGATGATGTCTTGACACTTGTGTATATATATATATATATGCATATATACACCTGTGTTGTTTTTGTCCGACCACCCATTCGTTTATTCGCTTGACATAATTTTCCCTCCGAAACGCTGTTTGGTGCACTGACTCTTTTGTCTAATGGACACACACACACACACGCAAACATTTCTGGGCAAACAAATATAACGGCGTCAGTAGGGGGTTTGCAACATCACTCATGATGAAGGTTTCTTTCATAATCTCTTATTTTGGCAGGTGAATTAGACTAGTTTGCCTAGATTGATTGTAAGGAGCAATTTGCCCAACCCTGTCCAGAGGCCTTTTCCCTCTGCGTCTTCGCCTTCAACTGCCACTTGAATGTGGTGCCGACCGCAAACCAACTGACGCGGCCCACCAGGGAGAGGAGAGGAAGACAAGATTGAGGTTTCAGTGGCTGAAGGTTTTTTTTTGTGGCCTGGTTTTGCTTGTTTTTGTTCGTCTTCCATTTGCTTAAGCATATTTTTGTATTTTCCCTTGTTGGTTTTAAAGGGAATGTATCACTACTACTGGAAATATTTTAATTTCTTCCCGGGGGCTTAAGCAAATGGAAGTCGTTAGTCACGTGACGATTTATGCAATGGTCAAATGTCCAGAGCCATTATTTAATCGGCCATGTGCTGTTTTTTTGACCATGGCCCATATATTATTTCTTCCTCCCTTCCTCAGCTCCCGTCCCTCCCTCCCTCCCTGCCTGCCTCCCCTACCTCCTTCCCCTTTCTCTCTCCCTTTTTTTTCTTGGTTTCTTTCTTTGTTTCTTCCTTTCTTTCTTCTTTCTGTGTTCCTCCTTCCTTTCTTGCTTTCTTTTTCTTCCTTCCTTTATTTGTTTTTGTCTTTCTTTCGTTCTTTCTTTCTTTCTTCTTTTTTTCCTTTCTTTCTTTCTTTCTTTCTTTCTTTCTTTCTTTCTTTCTTTCTTTCTTTCTTTCTTTCTGTTTCTTTTACTTGCGTTTTGCGTCTGTCTGTTTGTCTGTCCGTGTGCCTGTGTGAGTGTGTGTGTGTCGGTTTGTCTGTGTGTCTGGGTGCCCGTGCGCCTGGGCGCGTCAAACCTTTGGGGGTTCCCCTAGTTTCAGAACACATGCGTCTTAACATTTTTTGGGACTCAACATGGGCTTTGGTTGCCCTTTGGCTTCCCTTGAAAACCAACCTCAAAAAGGCATTCTCAAGAAGCGAGACTCCCATTTCTGAGGGAATCCCCGGAAACAGTTTCCCAGGCAATCAAAGGTACTCTCAACACTTGGGGGCTACCCGTCCCGTTAGGATGTTAGTTGCGTTTAGTTGGTTTAGTGACCTGTGGTTTTTGGGTTCCATGTGACCCACTCACTAAAAGTTGCCGACTTTTAGGAGGGGATCAGAAAACGGACATCCCAGCTAAGATGCTCCGACTCCCCAATTTTGACCACCCCCCTTATCCTAATGTACCAAGGGTCTCCTCTCTCCTCATGGGTTTGTTTGACACCCGACCGGGAGTCAAAAACACAATTCTCGCAGGACAAAGAAGATCGCCAGCCGGGTCAATGTCTTTCAGTGCATCTTCTACTGCCTCATCGGGGTGACAGGCCGAACAAAACGAGCAACCAAGACCAAGTGGGGGTTGATCAATATTCCCCGCCCCAAATTACCATGGGTGACTTTTCCCACTTTGTGGACAATATCATCTTTTTAGTGGCTTCTCCTAACTGTCATCCCATAAAGGGCCTTTTGATCAACCCCCAAGTGAGTGAGCCCCTCACGCTTTGTCTCCTTTGGCTCTGGCAACTAATTTTTGTTGGTTGCTACCTTTTGACTTTGGGTGTTTTTGCCGCTTGCCCTCAATTTTTCAAGCATGACCAGCAAAAGTTTCGACTTTTGCTGGTCTAAGTCAGGAAATCCGGGGGGTACAGTCAGAAGCGTTGACCAGAAGGCCCGATAGAGCATTTGGGATTGCTTTGGATTTGGATTTTATCAGAGGGAAGCTGATCTTAGGTTTCCTCCTTTGTGTGCCTCAACATAGCCCCCAATCCCCCTCTTTCTGCAGTGGTCTGACTAGACATGATATAAACATCGCCATTCGGCTGAATGAAAAGTGATGTTCAAGAAAAAGGCAACCTCTTTCAGACCCGGTTGCCCAGTGGTGCCCTTTTTTTAACTTTTTTAGGGTAAGGGTTCCGATTCCTTTGAACTTACTCCTCCAAAAAAGGGTGCCGAATTTTTTTTTCCCATGGAAATCCACTGGGCTTCTGAGCAGAGTAATTTGCGAAAAGAAGGAGGCACTCCATGTGCCGCGGGTTTTGCCTTTTCGATGAAGCAACAGGCCTCGGTTTTTGTCAACGGGTTTCTCCAAACGCAAATAGACATGTGCCCGAGGTGCTTTCTCCTGGTTGGTCGGGTTTGGTCGGTGTTTATGTTTGGGTACCCCTGAATTGGCGATTGGGATTGGTGCACTTCGTTCTGAAGCCAAATTTTGGGACCCCCTAGAGTCCAAACCAAACCACCAAGCAGAGGGAAGCAGATCTTAGGTTTCCTCGTTGTCCCTCGAAACATAGCCCTGGTGGAGGCTTTGCATGGGGTTCAGAACACCCCCAGCAACACCGACGAATCACCACCGATCAGACACGGTTTCCGGACCTTCAAGGGACGGCAGTGTCAATGGAAGCAAATTTTGAGGAGGGGAAGGTGATGATTCTCTGGCGAAGAGAAAACACCGGAGGTTACCTGTCCTTCCTGGACCAGATTCTCGGCTCTTGGGCCCAACGCACATGGCTCGAGCCCTGCGATTGTGGAATCCATTCGGGGGCCGTGGGGGGGGGGGGTTCAGGAGGGGGGTGCTTTTTTTGGGGGTCTCTCAACTACTCGCAACGTACCTGGAAATACACCCGAATGGGGCGACTGAGTTGCCCCAAGACGTACACCCAGGGGTGGTTGAATGGCTCCATTTTGGGGTGGATGAACATCCATTTGCACCTATTTTGATGTTCAGGGCTGCAACCTTTCGGGGGAACGCTCGCAGGAACACGTCTTTGGGCTCGAGGGCTGATCCCACGCTGTTCAGCCATGGTTATAGATCCCTCACTCACCTTACCTTGCTGGGCGGGGGGGGGGGGCTATTTTCGTCCGCACAGTTGAGAGAAGCCAAACAGAAAACAAGCATGTATACACTACTCAGCTGAATTAAGGGACCAGCCAGCATAGTTTTGTTCACCCCCTCAGCCACCAAGCTTGCTGGTGCTCAGTAGGTGGGAATGAACCGGAAGGGGATGACGGTCATTCCATTTCCCATTCCTTGCCTATGGAACCAGCAAGCTTTTTAATACTTCGCAAGATTCTTCTCTTGGGTTAAAAGGAGTTCCTTTTCGCCTTGGTTTCCCAAAGGGATTTTGCAAAACTCGGCTGACCAACCCTCCATTTGCAGCAGCAACGAACTTTTTCATTCCCTGCCTAACCAGCAAGTCAGGGAATCCGCTGAATTTGAACGTAGGTTTCATTCTGGTCCTCATGGGGTTGCAATCGTTTTTTGTTTTTTCCCTCTCGCCCACGGGAGAAAGCAACATGCCCGGAAAGTTCCGTAAGGGACCCTTTTTCTTCTTTTGCCGGCGTCATGTTCCAGGTCTCTCTCAGTCCCCGAATTGTCCGGCGAGATCTGGGCCAAGGGAGGCAGACGGGTTCCAAGAAGGTCTTACTAGGTCCAGCAATTGGTGCCAACTTTAAACCACTTTGGTTGGGAGATTCGGTTCCCCTACAGACTACAGAAACGTGGGTACCCTGATTCGAACCTCTCTACTGGAGGACCTAGAATCAGGTTTTCTTGGCCCTATTGTCGGTAAAACCAAGTGTTCAGGGAACCCCTGGTTGGTGGTTTCGAGTGGCGGTTTAGATTTGGCCCGCGAAGGAACCAGATGTCCTCAGGACCTGCTCCGACATTTTGAACAACTACAACCCCAAAGACGGCTTCGTGGCGGCGGGGCGCTGCTTCTTGACCCTCACCATGATGGTGGCCATTCCGGCCAACCTGCGCCTGGGTGTGAAGCAAAAAGAACATAGGTGTCCTTTTTGGTTGATTTGGTTGAAAAATAGGTTGGGCGATTCCTGGTGTACCTGGTGATTCAACCAACTACCAGGGCCATCTATTTTCCCAAAAAGGACACCCATGAATAAGAAGACTGTGGCAAGCCCAGCCATCCGTGTCCTTAGGCGTTTACACTAAAACAACACGAAAAGTGTTCGACTTTTAGCAGGGGATCGGATAGCCCAGAAAAATACTCCCTTCTCCAACTACCCCTTGTTTTTAAGGGTTTTTTTTGGAACACCGATCGGTTTTCCAGGGCAAATGCCGTTTTTTTTTTTTTGGTCAAGGGTTGACATCATGTCCTAAACATTGCAAGTAATCCAATTTTCAGCAGAACACCATGGCAAATCACGGGAAACATGATAATTGGTTTCCGAATGTGTCCAAGCGCTTACAATATGGGGAATGCGCCCTGGCTTGCAAATCTTTTAGATCTTTGAGGTTACGCCATTCCAGTGGTTTTGAAGGGAAACCAAGCGGACAACTTCATTGTTGTTGGCAAGTTGCTTGGCTTTTTGTTTTTTTCTTTCTGTTCATTTTTAGTAGGGGCTGCCAAACACTCTACCATACCACGTAAAGGACCCCAACCCATTTTTGGTTGGCTCCCGACTCTTTCAAGACCTTTGGCCGTGAAACGACCTGGATCTAGCGAGGAACCCCACGGTGAAATCTGGGGTGCAGCTCAAGGACTACTTCTCCTCCGCTGAGCCCTTGATCAGCAGGCGGGGGCGGCGGGGGGGCGACGACGAGTTGTTGGAGCCCAGCTAAAAACAAACGCCCAATGTGCCCTTACCCTACCAGAGCCTCAAAAAGGGGGGGGTGGTTGGGTCTAGGTTGACAAAGCCTGGCAATTTTTTGAATTTTTTGGGTTACAAGGAATCCGTAGCATTCTATTTGGGCGTGTATAAATTTTTCCATGTATCCTGGTGGGAAACCCAACCAATAGAAGAAGCCAGGTGGGCTCCCCTGTGATGCAACCGGGTCTCTATCTATATCTCCCCTAGCATCGCGCAAGGGAGGAAACTCGCTTGGCCCAAAATCGGTGATGTGTAAACCAACCCAAAGGGGGACATATAGCAACCCTACCTGGGGGTGCGTTTTTTTATGCAGGGTACAGGGTGCTTCTTTTATTTTTGGGGGGGTGGTTACAAAGACCCAAAGGAAGACGAAAATCCTTTTTGAGTTCCCCTTTGACACAGCCCGGGGTGTGTCGCTCTTGGCTTTTGGTTCGCCGGCTCCGATTTTTTTTTAAGCGGAGACGCCAAGAGTAGCGAATCGGGTGAAGGGTCCCTGGAGGGTTCCCTAAGGCTCCCTACGGCTTTCTAAGGAACCCGAAATGGAACCCTAGGATGGACTCTTAACTACCCCCCTCTCCCCCCCTTAAGGAACCCTAAGACGGACTCTCAACTACCCCCTCTTAACGTGCCGACCCGTAGGGATTCAATCAGTCCGATTCTGAGCTTAGGCTTTCCAGATGTTCAGATTAGATGTCTACTTTGTCTTACGCCCTTTGCAGTGGACCTCAGGAGCTACCGGCTAGCATGATGAATTAGGAGCCTTTTTATTTCCTCGGGATTGAAACATCAACTTTTCGGCCATGGAGTCTCCTGAAGGATGGGGGGGATGTGGGTGTGCCTTTTTTCAGGGGACCCCAAAATGAGTGGTTTTCCTTGTGGCTTCCTGTGAACAACCTACAAAAAGAAGAAGGGGTACGCTCCAAAATACACACCATGCAAATGGATCTCTTTCCTAGCCCTCCTTTTGGTTGTGGACGATTTCGGGGAGTATTCCCAATACCTAAGGTCCTTGGGTTTCCTCCCACAGCTATGGCATATCTTAGGGTCAGCTAGATCGCAAGGTTGCTGCTTTTTTCAGTCATTGTTGCTGGTTTTCGGGGTAAAGTGGATGGACAAAAAGCGAACGCAACTGGCGATCCCGGCAGCTCTGCTTCCCCACCCCCCAGGCCCCAGGTCCACGTTTCCGATTTGACCAGGGCGACCTCGACCCCAAGGATCTCTTCAGATCGGGCCTGCTTCCGCATCACGGTCTCCGTGTTGTGCCTGGCCTGCCAGGCTGGGGTTTCCACTTGACTGCTGGGCTGGATCCTGAGACTTCAACGTTTTGGGAAATCAAGGGGTTTTCCACCAACGCCCCCAAGAAGTTAAACTCTTTTCTTGCTGGGGGGTCAACAGCAACCAAGTGGTCCAAGATTGCTAAACATTGTGTCTCAGAGCAGTGGCGCTGACCCGCGCCACTCGTTTGTTTTTGTTTTTCGAGATTTCCAGTGACACAAAGAGTGGGCAAACATCTAAGTTTCCCATGCCCCACGAAGGCAATTTGGGTTGGTCCCTTTTCTGTGTTTTTAAAGGGAAACCGAGAGGACAACCCCCAAAATAAACACCATTTTGGAGGCCCGATTCCATACAAAAACGAGCCGCCCATTTGAACTCAGACGTCCGGTGCTCGAACAGTCGGCGCGAGAGGCCGCTCTGGCGGTGGTTGTGCCCAACGTTGGCACTGTGCTCAGCTTGCTGCGCGGCCGACTGGGAGAGATGGACCTCCGAAATCCGCAAGGGGGGTTGCCTTTCCAGGTCCCCCAGCTAGGTGCCAACTTTTACCAACTTTTATGGGGGAGGGTCCCCTACTAAAAATAAGACCACAGAAAAAGGGGTACCCTTATTCTAACCTCTCTACCCAGCCTTTAAAGCCACCGAACAGTGGGGATACACTTCCAAGAACAGACACGCCCAAAAATGAGCAGGGGGATCTATTGTACCACACAACAACGAGAAAACAGGGGGCAAACTGGAGGTTTGCCCTGGCGGAAACCAGTGATGTACTCCCCTGCAAATTGTGTCTAGAGGAGTTTCTTTTCACGTCAATTTGCAGGTTATCTTGCATTACATCTTAATCTTAGCTTCACGTTTCTTGGCGGTTGTTTCGGTTGCCTTTGTTTGATATGGGTGTGTCTGATTTCAAAGGGAAGCCAAAAGGACAACACCTTGTTTGTTTGTTTTTTTTTGGGGGGGTCCCTAAGAAACTTTGAAGGTACTCGTTTTCACTTTGGTTTAAAAGGAAGTCAGCATTTTGGGGGTCCACTTTCATTTGGACCCATACCCAATACGATTTGTTGGGGCGAAAGCCGAGGCAGTTTTGGGTGCGCAACATGTCGTTCGATGAACCTTGGGGGTTCAACGTCCATGGAGGGTGGCTTGTTTCTTTTTTAATCCTTGATTGAAAATCCAGGTTTCCAACGTTGCGAATGCCATCTCCTGTCAATTCCTGTCAGGGGTTCACGTCATACCAAGTCTCACCCAAGTTGGTAGTTCGAGTCGCTGGTTTTCAGCCATTTCTCCATGGTTCTTGAACTCCCTGAAAACTTCTAATTGCTTAAGAATATTTTTTATTTTTCCCACTTGGCTTCAAAGGGAATCGATCGCTACTGTTTTTTTTTTTCCAGGGGGCTTAAGCAAGCGGAAGAACCAAATCGCCAACTCCAGCCGGGCTGAGGCTCGGGGCCACTGTGGCCACCGCCATGATGCTCATCATCCCCGCCTACTGCATGGGAGTGGTCATGGAGAAGACCGTGAAGCGACAGCTGCGCCCCGGCAGAGCTCCGATTCAGCCGGACGGCGCGGGGTGCGAGGTGCAGGTCGCGAGGTCGCGAGGTCGCGAGGTCGCGAGGATGGTCCGATTCAGCGAGTGGAAGTAGGGCAGATCCGGGGGTTCTTCGTTTTCTTTGGGTCTTGGGATGCCCGGAAATCGACTGCAAAAAGACGGCCTGTTGTTTTTGGAGGCGGGGTTCCCTGAAAATCGACCAGGGTTCCACTTTCTGAGCCCAAGATAGACCTAAACATAGGGGGTTCTCTTTTTTTGGGGTGATGGACCACCCCTGGTAGTCTACCCTGGGGTTCAAGAAGTGGAACCCTGCAAGATCGGCTAAGAGAGTGCAACGATTCTTTTTGACGGCTGGGGGTCTAATATCGCTCGCTTCCCCCCGTTGGCCACTTGAAAAGTGGTGCTAAATGCCGGTTTGAGTTCGGAGAATGGTACAGCCATAGTTGTGCTCAATCAGTTTGTTACTTGTGGGCAAAGCCAATGGGCCCAAACCACCCCCCAAAAAATAGGTCCACAGACACCATATACCACTACGGACTGTACTGTACACCTCCTTGTCCCGGGAGTAGTGGTTTGGGACAAGTGGACATCATCTTAGTTCCACTTTCTTTTTGTTCTTCCTTGCGGGGCCAGTCAAAAGACTGACAGAAAACTAGGCACCCCCAATGACTATGCGGTTTGTTCATTGACCTTGGGCTGTGTTGGGCTCTTTGCGACACTGTCGGGGGGGCTCCGTGTTGACTTGTTGGCGCGGGGAGCTCCAGTGGCCGTGTTAGGAAGTCCCCCTTTGACACATACCCATTTCATGCGTCCCGCACGGAGCAAGAGGTTGCCAACTTGATATGAGTCACAATCAAAACCCGGGAAGATGAAGGTTAGCATAAATGGGTGCGGAATTTCGCCTACCTAATTCTTTTCATGGTTCTGGGATTACGGCCATGGTAACACCGGGTTTTGAGTATGACTCATATGGCATTCGATTCGGTTCGGATCCGGGGCTACGAGCGAAAAGGATGATGTAGGGCAGTCGCTTGAGGGAAGAATTGCAGGCTTATCTTGCTGGTGCGATAGGTAGGGAATGACGTTCCCGGTTTGGGAAACCTATAGAGATTCCCTAAAAGGAAACCATAGGAAAGGGTTATTCTTGGGGTCATTCCCTCAGCAAGTTTTCGGCCAAGCTTGTGAGTTGTTGGTAACCTAGATTGCAACCCTCTTGCAAGGCCCCCTCGGGGTTGACCTTGTTGTTAGGAGGTTACAAGTCATATGCCAACTGGCTAACCACTTACTAGCTTGCCCGAACATCCAAGGAGGAAGCGGCCAAACTGCCGCCGTTCCGTGAATTCACCTTGGAGATCCCATATAGGAGCAAACCTGCGAGAGACACCCAAGGCAAGCGTTGCCTCACAGAGTGGCAACAAAAACCTGTTCAGGTACGGGTCTGTCTTTTTTGAGGGTGCCCGCTTTTTGGTGGTTTTAAAGGGAAAAACCAAGAGGACAACCGCAATTTTTGGGGTCCCTAAAAAAGACAAACCTTTAAGGTGTTGTGAGGTGGGGCTAAGTGTGCAAGGCAGTTCTTGTTTCCTACAAAATCCATATCCCGAAACTGGTTTCCCCGAGTCAACATGCTCCCAAAATGGTGGGTGGTGTTCATGTCATGTTCCTTTGACCCCACCTCAAAACTTGGTGGCTCCCAGCCATCCCCTTTAGCCTTTTGGCTTTTTGGTGTTCAGTGGTAGTTTCCATTTAACCCACTAAAAGTTAAACTCACTTTTAGTTGGGGATCAGAAAACGGGCAGCCCAGTTAAGCAAAGGCTAATTAAAGCAAAGGCCTAGGTCCCCCAGTGCCCTTTCTCGCTCTTTTTTCGGGGAGGGTTCCCCAACTAAAATAGACGAATCAGAAAAAAATCGGGTACCCTAACCTCTAACCTCTCAAATCTGGAGGACCTAGGTGGTGAAGAAAAGCTTTAGTACCAACAAGTTGGTGCCAACTTATTCCAACCAAGAAGAGCGGAGAGTCCGAGCCCTAGGCAGCAGGCGCTCCTCTACTTCTGCTCGCTGCTGAGCGTCGCATCTGCGCCTCTGAGCGTTCAGAATTGGTTTGTAGCGTGGTTCAAAAAGTTGTTTATTGGTTTTGTTAGTTTTGTACTTAAAAAGTTGATTGTTTGTTTCAAAAAGTTGTTTTGTTCTGTCTTGCTTGTTTTGTTTGTTTTGTTTGTAGCGTTTTGCCAGGTTGTTTTCATTGTTTTGTTTTTGGACAAAGTCCACTTCGCACCGGTTTGTAGGTGGTTCATCGGTATTTAGAGAATACCCTTTGTGGTGGTTCATCCCGGGATACCAAGGGATTTGGCAATCTTCGTGGTCATGTCCCAAGAGGGGTTATGGAAAGCAGGAATCACTCTGGATGGATTTCAATGCCGGGCGAAATTTGGATGGATTAAAAGAACCTGTATTCAAATCGGGCTTCCGTTCCAACTGCTGGAATGGATCGAAGCCGATTTGAATACTCAGATACATCACTGACCTGTTGCGAAATGGCCATGGGTTGCATAACCTATGGCGATCCCATTTTGGGGAGGATGAACATTAATTTGCCCACCTATCTTGAGGTTCACCAGGGGTTTCCTGGGTTTTGACCCAGAGCCAAATGGGTTTTGACCATCAGTACGCTCAAGGCTTAGGCATAACACGAGGTTATTGAGCCTCTACAAGATTCGATCATTGGCTTCGCTCGTGACATTTTTCTCTATGTCTTTGAACAAACTGATAGCCAATTAAGGACACTAATCGGGGTGAGTTCGCTGCAGTATCGTTCAACCCAACTTTGCCCCCAAAGAAAGCCTTTTGCGAATCTGCGAAAGGGAGGTACTTGGAGTAGGGGAACGCGGCATTTGTTTCTGGTGGGTTTGTCCCCCTTTTCTCCCTTCACCAGATAACAAATATATAACATATACATATATATATATACATACACCCTACTCCAAAGAGGCGCTTCTTTGGAAAAAAATAGTAATTTCCACGGAAAATACTAGTTTCTTCAGTCAGGTTGACACAAATCACAGCTGACCAAGTCTTCGTATGTGAGTCTGCCAAGTGTTCGAGGCCGGGGAAACGAAAGACCTGGTCGTGGTCGAAGTTTGGTCAACACGGAGAAGGACTACCAGGTTTCTACCCCATTTCCGTAAGTTCCGTGCCCAGGGGCTCCAATTCGATTGATGGGCCGGTCAAACTTGACCTGGTTTTGAGACCGGGTCCCAACTTGCTCTGGGGTGTCTAATGGAGGGGTCGGGTCTTCCATTGAAAGCCGAAGCCGATCGGAGCCTCTGGGTGGGACAATTCAATACCCATTTCCTGCCCTGAGTTGATGGTTTTGAGGTTGGAGGTTAGCTCTATTCGTGGCTACTAGCCTGCATTGCAACCAGCTAAAATGTCAAAACGTTTTGATCAAAATTCACCCTGTCAGTATGAGCAGGTGGCTAACCACCTTGCTCAACCACCAAAAGCAAAACGCCCGAACCGAACCTCCCCAAAGACATGGAGAAGTCAAGGATACGGTGGGCCAGTCTCCTCAACACGCGCGGCCATTCGGGGCCATGTTTTCGTGCCTCAGGCTCCAGAACAAACAACAGGGAGTCTCAATGGACACCAACAACCTAGAGGCGATGCTAAACCAGCCCTCCCCTTTTGTGCCGTGGTCAGAGCTCCTATTCTACCCTGAAAAATGTGGGTGTGTCTCTGGTTTAAGGCTACCCCTCCCCCCGCAAAAAAGACAAAATAATGGTTAGTTTCCCTGTAGTTTCCTTTTCAAACCAACCCCACAGCATCGAAAACAAACAAAGTGTGTTTGCTTCCGTAGGGTTCCTCAGGGCATTTTGTTTGCCGAAATGGAGTTCATTTGGGACCACAGCTAGAAGCAGTTCTTTTTATTTAAGAATTGGGCCTCAAGGCTTTGCTTCGTTCCTGGGTGCCTTGGGGTTTGTTTGAGGTTTTCCTTGGGGGCCCTTAGGGTCCCTGAAGGGATTCCTGAAGGGTTCCTTGGGTTTGTTGAACTTCCCTAGGGTCCAACTTGCAATTCCTTAGAGTTCCTTGGGGTTCCTTGGTTTTGATTGAGGTTCCTTCCCTGGTTTTTCCTCAGCGACCTTTTGGGTTCCTTGGGGTTCCTTAGGGTGCCTCGAAAGTCCTTTGGGTTCCTTGGAGGCCCCCGTTCCCTCTCACAAAAGGTGCCCATTACATTTCTGGAGCTGGCCAACCTGATGGGCAAGCCCCCAGTGTGCAACCGCCACATCTGAGCTGCCTGAATCGGATGGCCCTGCCGTAGTGCGAAGGGAACAAGGAAACCAACCAACAACTAGAAACCGGTTTTACCAGCTGAGAGAAGCCACAGGATTAAGCCAGAACTATTCTTGTTCTTTCTGTAATTTACCATGGTTTTGCGGGTGTTGGTTTACTTACAACACGGCACGGGTAGAAACAAGAGCCCGGGATTGGGCAAAGTGCAACCGACCCGCGGCTCAAAAAGAAGCAAAGCAAGAAAGGCAGTGTCTCACATGCAAAGGGATGTAGAAAAGCAAGGGAGGCAAAGCTTTCAACACCCTGGCCCTCTTCCAAGCCCATACAACAGGAGGTTGTTTGAGTCAAGGTGACTAAAACATGTTTAAAGTGGTAGCTTTATCTTACGAGGTGGCTCCCGAGCAACAAAGGAAGTTAAATGAGTGTCTCGATCTCTTTCACTAGGGACCTGCCGATCGATTGAGGCAGAGGCACAAGGGTGTCTCGCACAGTCTCACTGCTGTTTTGCCGAAAAAGTGCGCAATGCTTTGCACACTGTCTTCCATTTGCTTGCATTTTTTCATTCTGCCCTGACATATTTTGGCTGTTGAAGGGACTCTACTGCAAGTGGCGCCTAGGGTTCCCTTTTTTGTGGAACTGGGGACCAACCTTTTTTGGCTGACCAAACGGCGGCGATGCTGTCCAGCATTTCCCAGACATTTAGCCGAACCCTCGTGGGGGGCAATCTTAAAGTAAGACATGGAGCTGTTTAAAGACGGTTACAAATTGCAAAAACGCCCTAAGGCTCATGACCCCTACTAGGTCCCCCAGTAGTGCCCTTTTACCCTTTTTGGAGGAGGGTTCCCCTACGGTGACACCGTACTAAAATAGACTGCAGAAAAAAGGGGACCCTTATCCTAACCTCTCTACTCGAGGACCTAGCCTATGCAGAACCCGGACCGGGGATATTTTTTCGACCCATCCTAAACCAGGGTTTCTTAGGAGGTGCAAGATTTGGTCCACAGTGGGCCCCCACATGCTGTCCATTTTCGGGTCCGACCGCTGAACATCCACACCCCATGGGTATCTGATTTTTTGGGAGGTACCTTCTTGAGGTAGGCCTTTCCCAGCCGTCCATTGAGGCTGTCAGGTTTTTTTGGGGCTTCTTCCATTTGCTTACGAATTTGTTTCATATTGTCCTTTTGGTTTTAAAGGCAATCGATTTCCTTTCACTACCGGAAAAATATGTATATATACATATACATATATATATATATATATATGTTTTTTTGTTTTGTTTTTTTTTCCAGGGACTTAAGCAACTGGAGGGGTTTCGTGGGGCGTTGCCGTTTCACAATAACACGAGCAGTGAGACCGCCTTCCCCGCCCCGCGCCTTTCCGCGAGCCTTTCCGCGAGGCGGAGGACCTGTGACTTTTGCAGGAGTCGAGGGCCGGAGCGAGGGCCGGAGCGGGTCATGGCGCGGGAATTTCAAAAGGGGTTCCTTTTTGCTTCCATTTGGTCAAGACTTTCTTTGTTATTTTCCGCTGTTGGTTTTAAAGGGAATCGGTTTCACTACTGGACTTGTTTTTTTCCCCAGGGGACTTGAGCAAACATGAAATGGAGGTTTGACGGCAGTCGCGCGTCTTTTGCCAGGGCAATGATTTTGGCTGTTTCTGGAGGTTATCAAAGTCAGAAAAATGGGGATTGTTTCCCTTGAACCACTTAGGGGCTGGCTTGGATCACGGTAAAATCATGGGGCCAGTTTTGAGCACCGCCTGGGTCACAATCAAAGCCGGGGTAGATGAAGGTGTAAGGGAAGGTCCCAACCATAGGGGGTTTTGATTGTGATCACCGATTGGAGGCCAATGTGAACTGAGTTCCCTTTTAGGGTGATATTTGTTCAGGGGAAATGTAGGGAGCCCACATTTCTAATTGGGGATCTCTTCCTTTGTGGCACCACTTCGCTTTGCATTTTTCATGGTTGTTGTTGGGTTTTACATTTTCCCATTTTGCTTATGGTGGTTTAGTGGTTGAAATCCAAATCCACTGAGCTGCTAAAATTTGAGAATTGTTGCTCCCCACACCCAACGTCAACCAAGTTTAGGTCTGGCTTCAACTGAGTTTCCCCTCGGTGAAGGTATGAGATTTGTTTGGTTCTGAGTGGGACGTGTCCACTTTGGCGGAACCGTGCGGGCGTAGCTTCTTGGAGGGTATTCGCAGCAGTCCTCGAGGAACTGGCTGTTTTGAGCGGTCTCGCTTTAACGCATTCCGATATCACGTCGAATTGTTCGTACGGTGGAGGCCTTGCGTTTTGCAAGTGGAAGGGAAAGCTTAAACATTTTCCACGTCACGCTTGGGTTTTTTGGGTCGCTTGGTTTATTGCAGTATTGTGTTGATCCGCAGGTATTTGCAGAGGCAACCACCGCGCCAGGAGTCGAGTGACTCAGTGACTCGTGCTCACCTGAGCGGGAACATGCTGAATTCACAACTCGGCCTGCTTGTTGTACAGCCAGGCATGCCGAGCTCGAGCTCTTTGCCGCATGCCATCGCCACATGCTTCAATCATTCCTTGGTTGCTTTCTGCGACCGAAGTCAGCCTTCAACCTGGAACAACAGGTTTTTCCTTTGCATTTTGCCAAGGCCTGCTAGGACTGAACAACTTTTTGCCAACTACTGGGTTTTCCGTACTAAACCACTAAAAGGCTATTCACTTTTAGCAGGGGAGCAGATTTCGCCACCGAGTTTCCCTGGCCATTAACAAGCTGAAAACTTGGGTCTTTTTGACCAAGCCAGGAGTTAGGCGTTACGAGGCATGGAACCGAACTGGAGATACCTGGATCCGACCATGTTCCCTAAGGGTCTTGGGGAAGGCGGTTGAAATTTGAAAAAAGGCCCCTTCCATACTGTGGATGGGTCCTCGAAATCCGTTTCGCACCACCTAAGAAGCCATGAAAAACCATTGTTTGCTGGTATTGACAGGGGACATCATCATTCCAGGATTTCTTAGGTGGTGCGAAATGGATTTCGTCCATCCACAGTAGGGATTCCTCTGTGATTTCATAGGGATTTGCCAGTTCGGTGGCTCTCATGGGTGGCGCTTGCCCAGCCTTCCTCTTGGAAGCTTGTTTCTTTTTCCTTAGGTTTTTGGGTTTCATTTGGTAGTTTGCACACCACTCGAAGTGTTTCTTCCAGCGGGGGATCTGAAAACGGACACCCCACTTTAGAACTAAGCGACTTCTGCCCTTTGGCCAGTACCAATGCCCAGCTTGCCACGCACCCATGTACATTTTGAGCTTCCAAAGCCGGCCCCCGGCCGCGCCATTCATGTACTCAGGGTATTGGATCCTGAAGCCCGCAAGCCAAAGACATGGTTTGTCGTTGGGTTTTACATGTCTTACCATTTTTCTGCTTATGGTGGTTTAGTGGTTGAAATCCAAATCCACTGGACTGCTACAACTTGAGAATTGTTGCTCCCCAAACCCAACGTCAACCAAGAACCAATCCATGGACAAAACCTATGGCTCTGAACTTTCATGCTTGGAACTTTCTTAAAAGTGGCTTGTGGACACAAATCCAACCACCGAATTCTGATGTCCACGAAAGTGTCCCAAAACAAAAATCATACCCATTCTTTTTTGGAGGTGGCTGTGGTGAGTTTTGGAATCAACTTGGCCCTGCTTGACAATGAAGCAGCGCCTACATGCCAGTGGTACCTTGGCCCTGGACGCTCCCGCGGCCTTCGCTCACGTTGAAGAGCGATCCCGCGGCAGCGAAACACGAAAGAGCAACGCCCCGCGTTTGTCGGTGTTTGTGTAATTCTAGGGGTAGCTTCCCCATTCTTTCCGGGATCCTTCTTTTCAGGAAGCCATCAAACACCCAGGGAAACAGCTGGTTCTTGAAAAGAACGATGGTTGAAAAGAATGGGAAATCAACCCCTAGAGTAATTGGTCCTGCCTCTTTTGAGGGAACAAGCGGAATGACTCGCGTATAGTTTATCAGCATTTGGTCGAAACATCTGGACCCCTTGTCACGTTTCCTCTGTATTTTTTTTCACCTGTTTGAAATGTATTCTTCTGAAGTCAGGGGTTGGCGTATTGCCAAGACAAGTGTTTTGCTGGGTGTAGGCAGCGTAGACGCCTGGGGGGTCGGGGGGCCGGGTCGCTTTGGTCCGACTCCGCATCGGTGCGCCGCCGCATCAGTTCTTGGCTCGGAACATCTCTCGGGGAGTGACTCTTCGAGGCGCGGAGTCGAACGTTCGGCCGAGTAAGCCTAGGTACCCCAGCCAGGTGCCAGCTTGGTTAAAAACTAGGTGCCAGGTCCCAGCTAGGTTTTTAGGGGTTCTTCCATTTGGTTAACAATATTCTTTATTTTTCCCCTGTTGATTTTTAAAGGGAATCAATTGCACTACTGGACATATGTTTTTACTTTTTGCGGGGGACTTAAGCAAATGGAGGCCTGTCCGACCCCAGCAGCTCAATCGAGTTCCTGAACTTTAATGTTGACCCCGGATTAATAAATTCCTGGTTGATTGATATGGGGGTGTCCCTGGCTTTAGTGGGGATTTATCACTTTTAGAGGGGAACCCCCCCCCCCATACTAATAAACCGGGGTTTATCAATCCGGGGTCAACATCAAGCTTTTGGGGAAGACCATTTTAGTCGTAAACAAGGAGTGTTGACGTTTCCTCTATTTGGCCTTGAACCGTGTTTCAACCTTCTCGGTGGGTTCCCTTTAAATTCCAAATTCAACTTACCCCTCTCCCCCGTTCCTAGGCTTTGTCAGTTTTGGGAAGACCATAGTGGCAAAGAATGAGGATTAACCTTTTTGGCCAACTCACACAGCAAGTGAGCTAACAAACCAATACGAGCCCACCCTTTTAACCTGCTGGGTGTTTGGGAAGATCCGAGATTGGCATTTTGGGTGGTTTTGAGGACACACTTGCAGTTTCTCGAAGGAATCTGGGTAAAGTGTTGCGGATGGACAAAATCCCACACGGATGATGGATGCAACCCCATGAATACTGGAATAGGCCACCTACCAACTGGTACACTTGTTTGTCCATCCGCAGGTTTTGCAGTCTGTCGGTTGACTCCAACTGCGTTTCGGGGTTGGGTTAAAGGAAAGCCAAGGGGAAACCATGAATTGAGAGGGTGCCCCGAGTTTTTGTGAACCTACGCCAAAGAAACCCCATCGAAAACAAAACAAAAAACGCTTCGGGGCTTTTCTCGGCGGGTCTTCGGTGGGTTGGCGAAGCCGATCAAAAATCACCCATACCTTTTGGACAAGACCCTCTGCGCACCAGGTGTATGCCAGGTTTTCAAGCATTGCAAACTGGTCCAGGATTTATTTTCCCGCCGGCCGGGTAATTATCTTCCTTTGCTTATAAGAATATTTGTTACGTCATGCCTTTTTTGCTCTGCCGGTCCGGCAAAAAAAAATCGATTTCTCGCCGCGCCGCGGATATTTTTCCCACTTTGCTCTGCACCTCTCAGTTGCCGTTGCCTGCAGCGAATCCAACGCGGGATGGATCCACCGATCAACCGCCTTTCAGTGGCTCGTGGCGATCGATCCCACTGCAGCGAGTTCCTGGCCTGAAACTTGCGGGAGTTTGGACGCCATTCGAGTGGCAAAAAAATAATAATAAAAAACGCGTTTTTGTTTTTCCGCATGTCTTGGCCCTTGGCACTCAGGAAGCGCTTGATTTTTCACCCGGAAGTATTGCCAGGCGCTAGTTGAGCCGAGTGATCCCTGTCTTTCTTCATGGGTCCCATGCGGATGGCTTGCACCAAGCTTCTTCATGGCTTGCAAGCCTGGGGTCCACTTCTGAAGCTCCAAAAGGCCGAATCCCCTTGGCTACTTTACTAGGTCCCCCAGCTAGGTGCCAGCTTTTTGCCAACTTTTTTGGTTGGGAGATTCGGTTCCCCTACTAAAATAGACTGTCCAGAAAAAAGTTGGTAGCCTTATTCTAAACTCTCGATTGGAGGACTTACTTCAGAAGGCGCCAGATTTCATGGGCCTTCACAGACTTATTTTTCTGGCATCGTGTCAACCTTGGACCCAAAAAGGAGGTACTGTGGATGGACGAAATCCATTTCGCACCACCTAAGAAACCCTGGTTTCTGATGATTCACCTGTAAATACCAACAAGCAATGGTTTCAACCATGGTTTCAAAGTGGTGCAGGATTTTGTCCATCCACAGTATGGGCAGTGGAAAAGCCCGATTTTCGAAAAGATATCTTCAAAACAGGTGGACATGCAGGTGACAAGCTCGGTTCGCAAGTGCTGCTTGCTTGATTGCTATTGGGTTGGATCTTTGAAATTTTAACTTTTGGGGCAGTGAAGAGTTTTCCCTTGAACCCGCGAAGAGCTAAACTTTGTGCTTTTTTCTCTAAACTTTGTGCAAAGGGGTCAACAGCAACCAAGCCTGGGAGTTCTTGTTTGTCATGAGTAATTAGACTTTGACCGCGGGGTGCCTGTCCCATGTCGGAGCATCTTTGCGACCCGTGTCGCTTGTAATGTGGCTGTGGCTCAAAAAGACCGGTTCCAAAATGGAGCCCTAGGTGGAAACATGGGAACCCAAGTCCTGTTTAATTTTGAGCCACACCCATGTGAGTTTTGGGTGCTCAAACCTTGGCTCTTCCCGGCCGCCCGGCTCCTCGAGTTTTTAGGCTTTCAGTTGGTTTGGGGGTTGGGTTTACCCGCAAGTTCAGCTTTTAGGGATCAGAAAGTGGACAAAAAACCCCAACAAAAATGCACGAGCACGAAATGGGTGCTCAGAACGAACCGCAGGTTTTTAGTATTTGGTTCCTCCATTTTGGGTTCCATTTTTCGGCCAAATGTGTGCCTCCTTGTTTCGCGTACAGGCGCCCACGCTTTCTTCCTGTGGCATGAATTCTGGAGGACCGGGGAGCCAGATCTTTGCGTAGATTTGGCTGCTTCCATTCGTATGTGTTTTCCTTTTGTGGGTTTTGAAGGGAATCGATTTCAATTACTGGCAATATGGAATTATATGTTTTGCCAGGCGGCTTAAGCAAATGGAAGGATGTGTCTTGTTTTGAGGCTCGCCCTTTCTTGGGCTTAATTTGAAGGGCAAACAAAAGGAAGACCCCGCATTGTGTGTGTGTGTGTGTGTTTTTTTGGCGGGGGGTGGGGCTGTCTCCCTTTCCTGCTCCAAAGGCCCGGCTTGGTTTTGGTGGGATGTGGAATTACCGGGTCTTTCAAATGGCACTACCAGATTTGCTTCAGTCCGTGGGTGACATACTCCGAAAAGGAAGGTATTCGTGCCTTTGGATTTCTGACAACTCATAAAGGAGCTATTTGCCCTGGAAAAGCTGGATCTTCAAGCTATACCCATCATCAAGCGGATATTCAGAGTGGGGGGGGAAGCCCAACATAGTAAACAGCAGTTTGACTTTTCCGGGGTTGACATTACCGGAAGTTGGGCACAATGTATGGCACTCGATTCCCGATTGCTTTTGGTATTCCAAACTTGTCCACTGTGATTTGTCCCCCCCAAGGCAACATGTTTTTGTTTTCGCATCAGGCAGCCCCAAAGGAAACCGGTGAGATGAGTGATTAGAACTCCCCCATTTGGCGAACATCCGATTTTTCATTTTTGGCAACCAGTTTTTGTCAAGTGCCCAAACAAATAGCCTTTTATTTCCAGATTGGTTGGGTCCTTCCGTTTGGTTAAGAATAGTTTAATTTTCCCTTGTTGGCTTTAAAAGGCGATTTATCACTACTGTTAAAATTCCAATCCTTTCCAATCCTTTGTTTCAGGCGGTGTAAAAGCCAACGGAAGAGTATCCGGGTTTAAGGAGCAAGGAGGCATGGCGGTTCCTGGTGGAATGTTCCAATCACAAGGGAAACCTTAGAAGAGTAAGCCTTATGACGTCACATATGCTCTCTCCCTGAGCTGTTGAACTTCATACTTTTCAAAGGGAAACTGTTTTAGTGGAAAGCAACAAGTTTAGAGTTGTTGTGGCCAATCAACTCAGGAAGTGAGTATTCAAGGTAATGACCCTTGATGGTTAAACCTGAATGACCTTATGAGATGTTTTCCTTATTGAATACTGACCTGTACTTAGTCTTTTCTCAAACCAGGTCTACTACACCCCCCCCCTCAGCGTAGATCCATTGGGGGTGGTCCCCCAACACCACCCTTCTGTTCCTGTTGGGGTATCTTTGATGTTAGGGGTGCTTCAACACACCTCGAAAATGGCTCAGATGGTTTCGGATGTGTGTGTATGTGTTTGTCTTTGTTCCATTTGGGTATTCATGCTTCAAAGGGCACCCTTTGACATCATTTTTACCTGATTGCAGTTACCTCCTAATTTCGCTTTGATTTCGAACATGTCCTTTGGTCGGGGTGTTTCAAGAGGACATACTGTGGATGGACGAAATCCTACACATGAAAATCTGGTTTCTGATATGATTCTTCTGCAAATGCCAACAAGCAAATTGGTTCCACCAGGTTTTTTCAGTGCGAACGGATTTGGTCCACCTGGTGTTCCAACCGCTGGACCCCCCGGCCATGGGGGGAATGCCTGGAGCCAAGGGGACAGCAGGCCCTTAAGGCCCTGGGGTGCTCGATTCGGCAAGTTAGCAAGTGGTGAGCGATCCCGTTCGGTTATAGCCTACTGAGTGAGTTGGGCCGGTAGGTTATTAACCCGAACGGCTACCACTTGCTGACTTGGCGAATCGAGCACCCAAGGCTCCCTTGCCTTGTTCAGGGTTAAGGGATCCCCAGTGATGGGCTTAGCCCGGTGGAAACTTCTTCTTGCTTTCGGACGCGAGGAGACCTGCCGGACTTCTCGTTGGGAACGACCCAGCTCGAGCCACTTGGGTTGGGATTGCGGGGGAGGAGGGATTGGGGGGGGAGAGGAGGGTGAGGAGGGGGGAGAGGCGGGCGATGAGGGGGAGGATGGGGAGGAGGGGGGGGAAGGGGAATAGCCTAAGTTAACCTTAAACATGGGTGTGTCCTTTGTTTTTCGGGTCCTTTTGGTTTCCCTTTTACAACAAGCTGGGGGGGCCCCTTCAAGAGGGCACATGCGAACAGGGGAGAAGAAGTGAGAATGGGTTGGGGTAAATTGCCATTGAAGGGGCAATCGGGTACTTGGCAAGTGGTTAGAAGGCCTGGTTATATCCCACAGAAGCCATGGGCAGAATTTTACGTTCAGTTTATCACCGGGCTTACTAACCTGGACAGAATCCTGCACCACTTTAAAACCATGGGACACCCTTGGTTTGTTGATAGTAGGGGAATCATCATTCCAGGGCTTCTTTAAGTGGTGCGAAATGGATTTCGCAACCATCCACAGTAAGTACACGATCGCCTCTTTAAGTAAGCAGGACCCGCCTGAACCAGCGAGTCTGAAGGCCAGGCAATTTGGTGTCCAATCCATGGGCATCTTCATGGCGGTTCCATTTCCCTCCTGTCCACATGCAACCCAGAGGGTCCCTTTTAGTAGAAGCTCGTCTTCCGGGGAAGACAAACCTCCCCCGTGTTGAAAACGGAGGAACACCGCAGAAACACAACAACGGCGGAACAGCACCTCACTCAATGAGTTCCTGGATGTTAAACTTTTTGAAAAGACCATATTAGCAGTAAATGCACAGTTCGGGCTGTTTTTGGCACATCCACTCAGGAGACCTACTTTCCACGCTCAACACGTTTCGGGCCTTTCACGCTTAGGTTCCGCCACACCTTCCTCAGCGTGCCAGAGGAACCAGCGCGTCACGGCTCCGCGAGACTGCGCTCACGCACCTTGGCGCGAGGGCCATCGGCAGCGCTAACGCCGAAACCAAAATAGGCAGGGTTGTGGGATCAAGGGGTTTATCCCCACTTCTGTGACACACGGGAATCCCCTTTACATGCGGGGTTATTCTTTGGGAAGCCATTTCTGCTGTATCAGAAGTGGTCATTTCCCACGGACCTGAAAATAGGTGTCCTTTTAAGTTAAGCTTGGCTAGGATCACTGTGGAGGGACGAAATCCATTTCGCACTGCAGTTGAGGACAACCAAAAGAACCGTGTACATCATTTGGTTGAAAAAAGGCCCCCATAGCCTTGCTCGTGACGGCTGAGTAAACGTGTGAACCACTTCGAGAAAAAAAAAAAAAAACACGGAGGTTGTTGACACAATCAAGTTGTTTGGGGGCAGCCTCCAACTCCCTTTTGTTGGGTGGTCTCAAAATGGCCATGGGTCAAAAGCCCGTACCCGCAGTGAACATCCCAATCCAAACACTAAAATAGACTAAAATGGGTGGTGATTTCACCTACCAACCAAAATGGTACCATTGGTTTTGACCCACTGCCAAATGATTCTGGCCTCCAAAAGGGTTCTTAATTGAACTTGTTCAAACAGCGGTTGTCACAAAAACAAAAACACGTGGTCTTGCCGTGAATTTTTCTGAGGCGCTCGTCTTTTTTAGGGGGGGCCAACAAAAATGTAGTTGTCCTGAAGTAGGTTTCCGTTTAACACCAACGAAAAAAAAGGGTTCTCCCCAACAAGCAAGACAGGCAATTCCCGCGTACCTCCTCTTCCCGCGTACCTACCTCGGCCATTGTCTTCCCACCTGAGGTGTGTGTGTGTGTGTGTGTGTGTGTGTGTGTTTTTTTCCCTCGTCGCGTGAAGACACCTGCTGGCTGCTAGCTTGGCGCGCTTTGAGCGCGAAAAACACGCTGAGGCAGTGAGCCGGTGGGTGAGAGCGAGCCATTGGAGGCCGCCGTGGAGTTTCTTCATAGCCTCCTCCAGTGGCAAGGCCCGGCCAGTGGGCGTGGCCCTTTCCGCGGCTCGTTGGCCGGCGGTTGGGGGGGGGGGGCGGGATGGGCGGGGGCGGCGCGGGGCGTGATGCATCGTTTTTTTCTTCTTTTTTCTCGCGGGGAGCTGGAAGCTGAGGTTTGTCCAAGCTTCCAGTTGCTGAAATGAAGAATCTTGAAGAATTGTTTCGTTCTCCCCTGTTGATTTTAAAAGGAGTCTATTTCACCACTGGATGTTTGGTTTTTTCAGAGGAGCAAATGGAAGGACTCTGTAACCTTTAAATGCACCCCGAAACCAGGGCTAGGGCACCCGGTCAGGCGGTTTCACGCGAGGGCGGACTCGTCGAGTCCGTTCGTCCCGTTAGATTGGTACGGACTGGACGGGGTCTAAGCAAGGGCAACAGCTACTGAAAGGATACCCGTTTTTGTTCGGGCAGATTCTGAAAACCTGGTTTTCTAGGGTGTTTCACTTTCTTTGCTAACCCCAGACTGGACGGGGTCGAAAGTAAAGAGCTCCTGCCCGGCGTTTGTTAGATTTAAACTTTGGAAGACCCGAGTTTCTGCTGATGCCTCCTTTGGCCCGGGGTTGGCATTTTCTATCGAAACAAGTGGGTATTGAGTGTGGGGGGTGCTCCCGAAGGCTGGCAAGGACCATGTGCTTTTTGCATTCGACTTCAGAAGCTTGCGAGCCATTTAATTGCATAGCCCAGAACTAGGTCCCCCAGTAGTGCCCTTCTCTCCCCTTTTTTGGTTGGGAGGGTTCCCCTTTTACCAACTTCTTTGGGGGAGATTCGGTTCCCCTACAACAATAGACTACAGAAAAAAAAACAAAAAACGTTGGTAGCCTTATTCTAACCTCTCTACTGGAGGACCTACGACTTCCAGCCTGTGCTTTGGTGCCCGGGGGCAGGTTTGCTTTTGAGAATTCCAGAGGCGATTCGATCTCCGAGTTTCGGCACTAGATGCCTCGATTCCATTTCTAGGAATTGGACTTTCCAACATTGCGGTGTCCTTGAACCGGGGGCAGCCTCAAAAAACCAGCGCCAAATTGATTTTCCAGAGGAACCTAGAAATCAGGAAACCCTTGGTCGGTGGCTTAGCTTGGTTTTGGACCTGGATTTGAACCAGCCTCAAACACTTCTCCTGGAAGACCTCTAAACTGCCAACCCACGCCGCTTCCTCTTGAAGCCAGATGGATAAGGTGTTGCTACCCGTCCAAACCGCCGAGCCAGCAAGGAAGGTGTTTTCGTCCTGGCCAAAAGCAAGTTCCAGTTCTTCTTCCATTTGCGTTTCAGGATATGTTTTCTGCTCCCGGTTTGGAAGGACACTAGGGATCTGGAGACAGGGGCCCCTCTTTGCGAAGGCCACGCTGAAGCCTCTTGGCCCGGTACTGGGGTGTTCGATTCGCCGAGTGAGTAAGTTGTTGAAAACCCGAGTTTTAACCCACTCGGGCCCCCCGTTCAGCGGGTTTATCCTTGTGGGGTGAAAAGCCCTTAAATGGCGAACGCTTGACTCTAACTGGGCGAATCGAACCTCCAAGTACCTGCGCGTTTTCCTGGCTTCCCTTTTGTTTTGAACGGCCGCTAGGAGGAGCTCCTGTGCCAAGTGGTTTTTCCCTGTAAAATTCATCCCGGAAAAACGGGGTACCAACTCCTCAAACGACGCTCCCGCATGAGCTCTCAGGATCGGCCCAGTGGAATTTGTTTTTCTCTGGTGTGCGATGCCACCGATCCGGTGGTTGAGTGATCCTTGTCTGGGGATCCAAGCCTTATTTCAGGCGTTGGGATTATAATTGAAAAACCAAACCCAAACTTAAAAAAACACGTTTCTACACAAGAAACCACAAGTTAAGACAACAAAACAAAGAAACAACTTGCTGGCATGTATGTAGTCCTTCCTTGCTTTTCATACCACTTAAAGGGCCCCCTCCCCACCCCCCAACAAGTTGAAACCATGGTTGAAACCATTACTTGTTGGCATTTACAGGGGAATCGAATCCTTCCAGGGTTTCTTCGGTGGTTCGAAATGGATTTAGCAACCATCCACAGTATGAAACCACCTGGATCTTCGTTTGGCATGCTTTTTTCTGTTTCCTCCCCCAAACGGATGCTTTTCAGCAAAGCGGCCATTATGAGGAAACGCACGCTGTTCTGGAAAATCGTGTTTTTTTGGGACCTTGTGCAGAAAGGTGTGAAACAGCAAGATTGCAGCCCAAACAATTAGGCGGCGCAAATCCCCGCACAAGGACGCCATTTCGCGCAAACGGGCGCAATTTCAAGAAGCGTACTTTTTAGCTGTCCCTCTTCCTATAGGCATGGTTTTCACTAAAACGGACGGATTTATTTCCGAGGAGAAAAACACGTGCAGTTGGAAGATCCAGGCAGGATCAGGATTCCCCTTTTGGGTCCCGAATCGGCCCTTGGCAGAACACACTCTGAGTTCATGAACTCGACACACTTGAGCCACGTGCTCAAAACCCGGGGATCGATGATCCGGTTAGTTATAAGGGGCAGTCCCCTTGCCAGAAGTAGGTTTGCGGAATTCCGCCTTCTTAATTCTTGAAGCATGGTTCTGGGATTACGACCAGTTCAATACCGGGTTTGATTGTGACTCACTTGGGTGTGGCTGCCATTTTCGTGGCAAACAACAAACATATGGACTTCTTTTGGCCAATCCACTCGATCGGAAGTAAAACAATCACACTGTGCGTGGTTGTGTAATCCATTTTGCACCTAAGAAACCCAAAGGAAGGATTCGATTCCCCTGCAAATAGTTAACAAACGTTCTGGTTTCATTCCCATGCTTTCATTTCGTGGTGGGGTCGCAGTCGTGACGGGATTTCGCAGTCCCACCCGCAGTGGGATCGATCCACCGTGGCGAAGCTTTGCCTCGCGCCAGCCTACGCTTCTTCGCTTCCCCGGCGACTCCAGCGCTTCGGGCAGCCCGAGGAGGAGGGGCCTTGGGGCGGTTGGCGGAACGGCGGAAAGCTGAAAATCTCCGGCGGTGTTCGTCAGGTGTTCCCCACGACTTGCCCCGCTTTTGGAGCTAGGGGTTGGTAGAATACTCTCTTCCATTTGCTGCAATGAATATTTTGTTTTTCTCTCCCTTGTTGGTTGTAAAGGGAATCTGCAACTATTGGACATATTTTGGTTTTTTTCCCAGGGGGCTTAAGCAAATGGAAGATCCCCTGAACAAATGAAATGGGTATTGGATGCTTGCGGGGCAGCGACTTTTCCAGGTTTTGGTTTGCGATCGGCAGGTGGCTTCCAACGGTGTCAATAGTAGTTCCGGGTGATGTTTGATTCTCAAAATGGGAGGCCAAACCGATCCTTTGGGTGTCTAAAAAGGAAAACCGACAAGAGGCCTAGCTGAAAGGGCCCCAAAAAGTCTGAGAGATACTGGAAGCACAGTTTTTTTGTATGTTTGGAAGAAACTGTTGTCTTAATGGCTCACGGTAACTACCTCCCTTTAAGACACTAATTGACATGCCTGTTTTCATGCTCACCATGATTTCTTGTCTGGGAGGGTCCCCTTCTTTCCAGTTGAGGAGGCATAGACAGTTTTTGCCAGAGGTTTTATTTCCCTGAAATGTGAGTACACAAGAATCGACTGAGAATCAGGCGCTAAATGCCACAGGCTGATCCATAATTCGGTTCACCTCTGCGGAAACCGCTTGTATCGCTTGGGTGTGGGGCAGTTCTCTGAAGAGAAGTCGCAACATTGATAGCTCGCTTCAAGAATTTCCCCCCCACTTGCACCACTATCGGTCAAGTGAAACTTCCCCGTGTCATGCCACTTCTCAAAGTGCCCTATCAACTGGAAAACAGTAACCCAAAAAGGAATGACCAACTTTGGCGGAAGCGATACACTTTTGCTGGAAAACATGATAGGACAGGAATGCGCTTGCTGAGGTTTCTGGGAATGTACCAGACATAGGTGATCGAGGGCTAGACATTGTGATGTTATTGACATTACATGTCGTGAACTGCTCAACGTAGGCTAGGCAGAATATGTATACTAGGCGCGCGCTACACTCTGCAAAACATTTGGGCAGAAACTAGAAGCAAGCTGCACATTAGACACCCATACCACAGCTAGTCATACACAATATATTTGCCAGAAACATGCAAACACATCGCGGAAACTGTCCACAAGAAATACAAAACAGCACCCTAATGAAAGTCATATATTTGATGCCCTGTGTGTGGTGTTTTGGTGCTTCTTGTTGTTCCTTCCCCTTTTTTTCTCGCTTTTTTTTTCAGACATATTACAGATGCTAGCCCCAAACAGCTCTCGGAACCGGATGCGAAGGCCTGGAAAGCAGCCAAAAACAGACAGAAACTCATGGACCCCCAAAGGGGGAGGGAGGCTTTGCGGCTTTGGGGGGGGGAAAAGGCGGGTAATATGCCAGGAGAGTCGCCCAGCAGAAACCCTTAATAGAGCCTAGGTAATCATGGAGAGTCGCCCCTCCCAAGCTGATCACTTGGTTGCAAAGCTTCGTTTCCGCCGAGTTGGGGCCAATGGTCGGCAAGAAGCTTATTGCACCTGACAGAAGTCGCCGTAATGATAAAGCAGACATGTGCAATGACTCAGCTCTGGACCCCAAAAGCAACACACAATATACAGCGTCCCGTTTACGTTGGTTTGGATTTGGATTTCAAGCCTTGGCTCTTCTAGATGGTAAATTTGACTGCACTGTCTAACCTAGGAAACACACCAATCCAAATCACCAAATAGAGAGAGGCTGAACATACTGTGGATGGACAAAATCCTGCGCCACTATGAAACCATGGGAAGCCATTGTTTGTTGGTATTTACAGGTGAATCATCATTCCAGGTTTCTTGGGGGGTGCGTTTTATGGATTTCGCAACCATCCACAGTATCGCTGCTTGGATGTTCGATGTGCCAAGTTAGTACGTGGTTAGCCACCTGGGTTCCACCCACGAAAAAAAAATAAGGAGAACAAAAGAACAAAAAAAGAGGTAAACCCCGCTGAGGGGGCACTTTTTTCAGTGGGTTAATGTTGACCCAGGATCAATAAACCCGTCCCACTATTAGGGGGGTGGTCCCTCCAAAAGCGGTCCGAATCCCCACTAAAAGGGGACACCCCCCAATTAATCAACCAGGCGTGTATTAATCCGGGGGTAACATTCTAACTAGGCTAGGTCCCAGCCCGGTGCCCTTTCTCACCGTTTCTTTTTTGGTTGGGAGGGCTCCCCTACTAAAATAGCCTGCAGAAAAAAAGCTGGTAGCCTTATTCTAACCTCTCTAATGAAAAACCTAGTAGGTGTCCATCAACGTTCTAACTTGGCGAATCGAACACCCAACTAACAATCTTGACCCGCCCCTCAAAGGAGAGGAGCAGCAGTGACGGGAGTCAGGCTGGAGAGGACTGGGATCTGGGCGCGGGCAAGGACAAGTCGAGAGTAGCGGTCTGTTTGCTTGGTGGCTCCCAGCAGTCCGGTTCCTTAGCTTTTTAGATCTGTTTAGTTGGTTCAGTGGTTGGGCGTCCGTATTTAACTGACTAAAAGTTATTCACTTTACGCAGGGGGTCTGAAAATGAGCAGCCCAGTTTGAGTTCATGTCGAAGAGCCAGGTACAGTATTTGCCTCCTTGTTTTGCTTGGGGCTGACGTCGTGCCCTAAGCAAAATGGGGAACGGCGGTAGTATGTTTGCTTAGTCACACAGGATACCAGCAACAGGGCTACCTCCGAAGGTATCACTGAACTGCAAAAAGATGCCTTCCATGTTTATTCCGACTCCCTCGCCTTCTGATCCATGTACTCCTGTGTGTCCACCCATTTTATTTTTATTTTTTCCGGCATTGCTCAATGCTTCATAGGCTTCCGCTGCTTCTTGAATTTCTGTTCTGCGGTTTTATTGCCTAGGTTTTTGTCAGGATGTTGCTTGAGCGCTACTTCAGGGCTGGCATTGCGCAGTATACCCAGTATTTCGTATTAATCTTTGTTGGTCATTATGCGCCGGTTACAACTTGAGCGAAACCTTATTATGCTTTTTGTATGAGCAAGTCCAACTCAAAAAGGATCGGAGACAAACCGGGGAGGGGGGCGATGTCTGACAATTTGAACAAAAACGGTGAGAAGGAAAAATAAGAATAAGAAAAACAAGTGGTTGTCCCTTTGGTTTCCCTTTTACCCTCAACAGAGGGGTACTGGGTACCCACAAAAACGGAGACAGATCCAGGCTTGCCCAAACCGTTGTTCAAGCAGGCGGTTGAAACAGTTTCAGGTGAGTTTCCTGTTGGCTGTGATTTCTTTGGCTAGGTCCCCCAGCCCGGTGCCCTTTCTCACCATTTCTTTTTTGGTTGGGAGGGTTCCCCTACTAAAATAGACGTCCAGAAAAAAGCTGGTAGCCTTATTCTAACCTCTCTACTGGAGGACCTAGTTAGGAATCGGAGTCCCCTAAGGTTTATACCCAAAGTTAAACTTGCAGGGGAGTAGCCCCAGAGAACACACCCCGTGGTGAGGTATTCACGAGGGAGGCTCCGGGCTTGCTAATTGACTCAAGCACATTCCGTTTGGGTCTGCAAGACTTCCATTTGGGTCTGTGTCTTTTGTGAGGATACCCCGTTTTTGGTGGTTGAATCCACGGTTGAGCCCGGTATTTACAAGGACAATCATCAGTTTCTTAGGTGATGCAGGATTTTGTCCACCCACAGTGAGGCTCCTGAAGGACCCCTGGGAACACTAGGGAACCCCAGAGGTCTCCACTACTAACCCCCCCCCCCCAAAGGTAAACTCCCCGAATGGAAATCTATGCCGGCATGGAAGGGTCCTGGCAGTTTTTGCTTCCTTTAGAAGGGATCCATGTTGGAAGGAGTAAGTGGTTCGCCATTTGGGGTAAACCCCCCCTTGCAACAAGGTGAACCCCACGTAGAGGGACTTAAAAGAGGGTTATAGGGCTCCCAAAAAATGTATGCCACACTCAAAGGCTGATTGTCATTTGGACCCTTTCAGGACTGATTTCCCGGAATTAAGCTATAGCTAACGGCTGAATTCCCCCATAAACTGGGGGGTCGCCAAGAGCTTCACTTGGCGAATCGAACATCGTAGGTTTCCTCCAGAATTTGTCTGGCTGACCAGCTTCGGGGTGGGCCCGAAATGGGATCGTTTCCACCCCGGACTCAGGTGGGCACGGGTGACTTTTGATGCCCAGGTTATAAAAATGGGTAAGAGATACCCGGATTAATAACCCCCCCCCTCCCCAGGCCTCGTCTGTCACTTTAGGGAAAACCGGGCGCTTGAATAGAGGGGAGGTTACAGCTGTCCTGGGTCAGCTCAGCATCAAAGGGAATGGCGTGTGACGTCATGGTTGCTGGAATTGTGCCATTTACTTTCACTCTGTACTATCACGGATGTGAGTTTTTTGTTTGGGACCTCCAAACTGAGTGGACATAGATCCATGTAGATGGGTGTGTCTCCCTCTCGGTTTCCCTTAAAACCACCCCGCAAGGGGTCGACCGTGTACCCTCAAAAAAGGCCCCAAATGATGTCCACAATCAAAACGCGGGTAGATAAAGGTTAGTAAGGGACAATCCAAACTATACATAGCTGCGGCCGCCTTTGTATTTCCTCACATGGTTCTGGATCAACCATTTTAATACCGGGGTTTGATTGTGACGCAACTGGGTATGTGTCAACATGCATGTGTACCCTCACCAAAAACTGACACCCAGGAATCTGGCTAGCTCGAAACAAAATGCCATTTTTCAGGTCCCAATCTTCCACAGGTCAAACGCTTGATTCATCCATTTACCTGGTTTTGTGGCTAACCAACGGACCCACCCTCGACTACTAAAAGGAGAATGGTTGCCTATTGTAGTGGCTTACCTGGGATCCGCTGGGAAAGGCTGTTTCACAGCGGGTGCTTTGCCAGGAGCGATCTAGCGATGGCGATGTTGGTAATCCAGGGGAGCCGTGCCCCGACGAGGCGAGGGACGGACAGTTTCCGTTTTGCGTCCAGCGGAAAACTGAGGCTTTTTCAGACCGTAAAGCCAGGTGATTTTCTGGGAAACCGCATAATTGTTGTTGGCTTTTGCTTAAATAGGTACGAATCGTTTGCTCCTGTTGCGCCATGACTGAACATGCTTTCAAAGTATCCGGCAAACCGATTCTAAGGCCCTTGTAGCACAAATGATCGTATTCATCGCGAACCTGGGGCGTGCCAAACTGCTGACTAAGGTATTGCAAGGGTCCGCAAGGATGCTGGGCATCACCGATTCGAATGTGATTCAAAACTGAGGGTACCTCATTCGGGGACTTGGTTTGTGGATTCTCGTATTTTGTCAAAACATAGATTCCATCAAGGGGCAAGATGCCATTTTTTTGCTTGCTTGCCTACGCGCAGAGGGCATGGTTCAAATCGCAATGCGACCTTTTGTGGTCATTTTTTCTTGAGGCTATACCCTTTTTCAAAATCCCGGGTTGTTCAATGGCACCAAGTCGGTTTCCCTTGTTGTTTGATGTGTTCACCAAAAAGCCGTCAACCCCAAAACGGGTTTCACATATCTTTTTCTACCAAACTGGGTTACCTCGATTTTCTTGCGAACCTTATATTGCTTGATCCTTTTTTGTTGGGGTGGAAGCCCTCACTAGACAGCTTTCTCACTCTTTGCCTGATTTGGGTTCCCATCTGCTGCGCCCAGAGCGAATCAACCTTTTCACCTTTCAGCTGATTTGGCATTCCCGTATAGGCGTGTCGTTTCTTTTTAGGGGAACCCCCTTTTGGTTGGTTTTAAAGGGACACCAAAAGGAAAACCACCTTTTTCGGCGGAAACGCAAAGTGTATTGCTCACAAGGATTGCTTCCATTTGCAGAATATGTTTTTCATTTTTCCCATTCGTTTGTTTTTCAGGGAATCGATTTCACTACTGGATTTTTTTGTTTAAAAGATAGTAATCGAATAATCCAGGGAGCCAAAACGCAAATGGAAGATGGGGTGTCCGCCTCAGGAATTCCAAAACCGTCGCCTGGCTCGGCTCCCCCAAAAAAGAATCCCAAGCCGTCTGTGCTAAGGCTTTCTCGGGGAATCCCATCGCCTCCAACAAAAAAAGCCAAGCGGCTTGGGCTTGTTGAGCCTCCCGAAAATTTCCATTTTCGATCCCTGGATTTTCTCTAGAGAATTCCCCAAATAGTGTTTATACACTATGGGGTTCTTACGGTAAGAGTTAAGGCCGGTTTAGATCGAGGTTCGCGCTCAAATTGCTGGCCCTGTGCGTAAAAAGTTGTTTTCGGTGCGACAGTCTCGCACGAAATGGAGGTTCGCGCTGGCACGTGCGTCTCGCTGTGGTGCCGTTCACATTTGTTTTTGCTGGCAGGGCCACAGTTGGGAGGTTCGCGCGATGAACTTTTCATGAAACCGCTGCGACGCCCCCACACGCTCATATCTTTCTGCTCGGGTCAGGCTACGACGCTGGGACAATCGGAGCTCTAAAACCATGGCAGTTGTCGCAAAAAGTTGTCTTGAGGGCGAGAGCTTCACACGAAACGGATCTTTCTTCAAAACTGCGCTCTCGCTGTGGCGCAGCGCCGATTTTTGGAATTCGCGTGTTACCGCAGAATTCCATGGCCAGCGCAGCATTCTGTGAGACTGCCGTGCGTTTTTCGTGGCGGGCGCGGTATGTTTTGCGCTGACGCTATAGGACCCCAATAGGATGCGTGGCAGGCGCAGTATTTTCATAAAAAGGGTCTGTGAATTTCGTGGCAGGCGCAGCGTTTCACTCATTTGCAGACGAAAGTGCGCCCTTTCGGAGATCGTGCGTGTCGAAGCGCTTTCGCTGTGGCGCTGTGCGAATTTGTCTTGAGCTCGGCGAACCTTCTGCGGAGATTGGGCGCGTCAAAGCGCTCTCGCTGTGGCGCCGTGCGAATTTGTCTTGCTCTCGACGAACCCTCTGCGGAGATTGTGCGTGTCGAAGTACTCTCGTTGTGGCGTGGTGCGAATTTGTCTTGCTGTCGGCGAACCCTCTGCGGAGATCCTGTGTGTCAAAGCGCTCTCGCTGTGGCGCCGTGCGAATTCGTCTTGCTCTCGGCAAGCCCTCTGCAGAGATTGTGCGTGTCGAAGCGCTCTCGCTGTGGCGCCGTGCGAATTTGTCTTGCTCGGCGAACCCTTTGCGGAGATTGCGCGTGTCGAAGCGCTCTCGCTGTTGCTCTCGGCGAGCCCTCTGCAGAGATTGTGCGTGTCGAAGCGCTCTCGCTGAATTCGTCTTGCTCTCGGCGAACCCTCTGCGGAGATCCTGCCTGTCGAAGCGCTCCCGCTGTGGCGCCATGCGAATGCTTCTGTCGAAGCGCTCTCGCTGTGGCGCCGTTCGACTTTTCTGTTTTCTTTGCTTGCGAATCGGTGTTTCGTTAGTACGCGCAGTGCGCTTCCGCAGCTCCGGCACGACATTCGCAAATTGTAAGTGCAAAAAGTATAGCGCGCTCCCGCAGCTCCGGCTGACAAATCGCAAGTTATACGTACCAAAGTAGTGCGCGAAGAGCATGTCCAGAGGCGCGGCTGCGACATTGCAAAAAGTAAGTGCAAAAGCAGTATGCGAAGTGCACTAGAGAGGTTGCGCAGCATCATGCGCGAGAGGGACCATCACGCATAGCATCACGCGCAGCAGCGTCAAAACACAGCGCAGCGCTCGAAGGGGCATTGATGTGTTTATGCTTGTTTCTCACCTGCAGTGAGAGAGGTGTCAGAGTTTATTTAACTTCTTTCCATGCTTCCGGGCCACCTGTCGTCAAATTACACCCAATACTATTTGGGGTCTCTTGCCTGGATAATTCGTTTTTGAGCTTTGGCCAATCCGAAGGTTTGGCAGGATGCTGCCTTTGTTTCATACTTTTGGAGTTGCTTCAAAGGGAAAATGGGACACCCGCCATGTTTCTTTGGGTCCCCTGATTACTTTTGGATGCTGGAAGGTCTCTTTGAAGTTTGTACTTCCGTCGGTTGTTTAGATGGTGTAGTGGTTGGGTTGCCATCTAACCCACTAACAGCTAAACTGTTAGCAGCCCGGGTCTGAGGACAGCCTTCTTCGTTTTCTTTGTTCAGTTTTTGCTGGCAAAACGACAACCAAGTTGCCCATCCACCAACTAACTTGGAACCTGACGTTCGGGTCCTGGTTTGGACCCTGTTCCTTTTGAAGGGACCCGTCAGGTTCCATGTTCGTTGGTGTGAGGGGAAATTTCACACCCAAGAAATGTCAAGCCCAGAAATGGTAGGTTTTTTTTTGTTTCTTTTCAAACCCTCAAAAAAGGGGGTTGCCCGCAAGAGTTTAGACACCCCCCTCTTGCGGCAGTTTTTCCGAAGCAACCGGAAGGAAGCTTGGTGGCTCCCAGCCATCCCCTTAGCTTCTTGGCCTTTTAGTGTTTAGTGGTGGTTTCCATTTCACCCAAAAGTTAGCCACTTTTAGCGGGGGATCTGAGGGCAGCCCAGAATTTTCCTGTCCGTGAAGAACATGGCTTCCATGTTGTTCTTGTTTTAACGTGGATTCTGGCATACTTTGTCCATGGGGCTTAAGCAAATGGATGTTTTTTGCCCTTATGAATCCCGCGCCCTGTGTTGGTTGGTTCCATGTGGTGGGGAGCCTCCCATGAAGGTGGGGAGGTTTCTTGGCTGCGGAAAACGTTCGAGGCGGCGCCCCTGGAGAGCATCGGAAGTCTCGGGCATCCCGACCTCTGCGAGGGCCTCGGGGGACGCGCGACGACGCGAGGCGCCTCTGGCATAGGTTTTCTTTTGGGTTGGTTTGCCTAAAAAGTAGAGGGCCCTGGTTTAGATGGGGTTTATTCCATTTACCAGGGCCATCATTTTTCGCCTCTGATTTTTGGCCGCAAAAGGTGGCGCAGGGTGGGTGGGTGGGTGGGTGGGTGGGTGGGTGGGTGGGTGGGTGGGTGGGTGGGTGGGTGGGTGGGTGGGTGGGTTGGTGGGTTGGTGGGTGACCATTTTAGTTGTAAATAACAAGTTTGAACATTTTTGGCCTATCACTCAGGAAGTGAGTGGAGGTTTTCCTTCAATTCTCTTTAAAAACACCAAACAAGAAGTACCCTCACAAAACACACCCCATTGTTGACCCCGGGTCTAAGTAGAACTCGTCCTCTTCATTTGGGGGGGGGGTCGTAACCCAAAGGTAATGCACCCTCACAAAAAAGGGACTCCTCCGATCAACCGGGCCTTCTGCTTCCGGGGTTCCTAAAGAAAAGCCAAAAGGAGATGCTTTGAAGATGGCCCCGGCGCAAAGTTGTTTTTTCAGCAGACCGACCTTTTGGCTCCGATGGCCATGGACAAAAAACAAGTCTTCGGGAACAGAGAGTTTGTCGAACTGGTGCTTCCCAACCAAATTGAATGGGGACTCTCCTCCGAAATGGTTGGTGGACACCTGAGCGATCAGTTCAACCTTTAGTTTATACCCACGAGCAGCTTGATGTGGAAGCTACACAACATAGGTTTCATACCAAAATACGATTGATGGGTTCCAAGCACACAGGGGGTTCATCAACCAGCGGGCCTCAAGTTGAACAAATGGTTGCAAATCGATCGGTTTTAGGCGCCAAGGGGGGAACCAAGAAATTGGGCGTGTCTTAAAAAATGGAGGGGGCTTCTATCTTTTCTCCCCAAGCAAGAAGGTAATGGTGTCTTGTTTCTTTGGGTTTCCCTTTAAACCAATCAAACCATGAGATTCCATCACACCCATATATGTTCCCTCTCCCCCCGCAAGGGTAGGCGACAAAACCCAAATATTGACAAGAACTCAAAAATCTGCAAGCTTAAGTAAAAATTACCCCCATGTTGCTACCCGTCAATAGATTTTTGGACTTCGCTGGCACCCACGAAGGGATGCCGAGGTCGTTCGGCTTGTGTCTTCGTGATCGCCAGCACCTGCTACAACGGCGCGAACTGCTCCTCTGCCCACGGGTTGTGTGGATGTGTTTGACTCACCCTCCATGACTTCCGTTTCGGAAAACACAGGCTAGGTCTTTCAGTAGTGTTGGGGGAGGGTTCCCATTAAAATAGAGTACAGAAAAAGGGTACCCTTATTCTAACCTGGAGGATGTGTCAACTTCTAGGGGATCTCCCACAAAATGGGGTGGTTTTCCAATCGCTTCCCTTTGCACAGACCCAGAAAAGATCCTCAAAAAGACTTGGTAGTCCTCTGCATCTGAAGCGTGTTTGAGGGTTGTTTCCTTGGAAACAGAGAAAAAGGCGCAAGCGTGAGGTTCACCTCCAGTTAATATCACTAGAGGACATTTTTTCCTAGAGCTTTGCCATCACCTGCTGCGCTGGTTGGCTGCAGGGGTTGCACGCCCAACCTCCCTCCCACTCAGCACGCACCTACCCACCCTTCCCACCCTTCCCACCCCTTCCCACGCTTCCCACCCTTCCCACCCCCTTCCCACCCTTCCCACCCCTTCCCACCCTTTCCCACCCTTCCCCACCCTTCCACCCCCCACCCACCCATCCCTCCCTCCCACCCACCAACCAACCACCCAACCACCCAACCACCCAACCACCCAACCACTCAACCACCCAACCACCCAACCACCCAACTACCCAACCACCCAACCACCCAACCACCCAACCACCCAACCACCCTAGCGTGCACCTGCGCATGCGTGCGCGCGCGCGCGTGCGTGCGTGCATGCGTGCGTGTGTTGCGTGTTTGTGCGCGCGTGCGCGCGCGTGCACGCGTGCGCTTGTGCGCCGCACGGAGCGCACAGCGACAGCCAAGCAGACGAAGACTGCGCCCCCGGCCACCAAAACCTACTACTCTCAGGGGGCCTGTGGGTTGGCACGATGCAGGGATGCAAGAGATGCAAGGGATGCTGCAAAGCCCGGCGGGTGATGCAGGAATGCTGGGGATGCTGGTGAAGTTGGCGAGGATGTGCCGGATGTTAGGGATGCTGGCGACAGTCGTGGCATCAGGAGCCCACCGCAAGGCCAGGGATGTCGGGGATGTTTTGGGATCCAAATGTTTGGGCTGGCCTGTCGGGTGACGCAGGGATGCTGAGGAGGAGCTTCTAGTGCCACAAAACACCTCAGCGGTATAGCCTACGGGCAGGGTTGCCCTCGCTCTTCGAGCTCGAAGACGCACAGTGCAGCTTAAGCAAGTGGAGGTTTTTACGCCCATTCATGTTGGTGCAATGGGGAATGTGGGAATGAGAGCCTGAAAAGGATGCCCGAACAAAAGGCACCACCAGCAAGGGATTGCTTTCTATTGTTCATTCCATTTCTCAATTGCTGCATCTCGCACCAGCAAGCCATTGCGACTGTTTCGATCTGCCATGGTTCTGGGCTTGCACGGTGAAAAGCCACAACCCGCCCGCAACGGCGATCCCGTTGTCAGGTTTGGACTTGTACTGTTGACCCCAGATGAATCAGCCAACCAGTTTACGAGGGGGTGCTTGTCCTGGGGAGAATGTGGGGAGTCACTTTTGGAGGGGACTTCTATTAATAAACTGGGGTTGAGTAATATGGAGTCAACATTAGGTTGATTTTTGTAGGGCTGCGACGAAGGGATGTGCTTGTTCAGGCTTCAAACAATGCAATACCCTCCCATCCTTTTCTATTGGACCTCCAGGAAACCCGTCCCGTTTAAAAGACATGGTCCAAAGCAGGACCCCCCCTTTTGCGTCAGGTTCCATGTGAAACGGTGGGAGGGCACCATTTTTGTTGCACGTGAGAAGCAAACACGCTCAAGCTGCAGGATCGGATGGCCATGTCTTGCTTCCAACGTGGATTTGTGGGTGACTTGGGGGGGTAACCTTGTTCTTCCTTGTTCTTCCCCGTGGCCGTTTCAGACCATCCCAAAAGCCGTTTCCCTTTTTCGCTTGAGTTCCGTGTTTCTGACTTTCGTCATACTTTGGTTTGGTTGGGTGAGTGGACCATTCTGGTAAGATTATCCTGCACTTTAGGAACTTGGTAAACTAGCAGTTCCTGATTGCTTCGCGTGACCGATCCACTCGATCGCAAGGGAACTTAGCGTATCTTGTATCATGGGGCACTTCCCATCGCGCCGATTTGTTTTCTTTTTTCATGGAGGCCCCGAGCGCTAAGTAGGTGCTAACCTAGGCAACTAACCACTTCCTAGCTTGGCCGAGAGTAGCAGACCTTGCATTTGTGCGGAGGGGCAGACCAGAGGCACCACCTTTCGACTTTTTTTGTTTCGTGGGGGGAGGGTGGGGAAAAACAGACACCATCTCAGTTGTTCAGTGGCTCCCTTTTTCCTTTTTTTTGGTGGCTGCCCCAAGGGTTCCCTTTTTTGTCCAGGGTCACTGAACAACTGAGCCATTGTCGCAAACTGAGGCCCCTACTGCCACCTGCCCCATGATGAGAAGAGGGCCAAGCTGGTCTCTCGCCAACTACGAGTGGGGAAAGAGTTGGGCAATTCTTGCTTTATGGAATCCCTAAGCGGGGGTGGTCCAAGGGGGTCCCGGACCCATCCCTCCGATCGAGCTCTCAAAATTACTCCCCCCCCCTGCACCTACCCCTCTTAGGGATTCCATAATCGCTTCCTTTCCAGTCGCCCAGTGGATTCCATTGGTTGCTTTTTGGAGGAGTTCACTTTAAAATCCGCCAACAAAAGGGTGCTGAAAACCATGGAAGTCTGGGCTGAGCCTCATAAGCGTGTGTTGTTTTGAAGGTACCCTTTTTTGGAGTGCGAAGGGAAACCAGAAGGAACAGCACCATTGTGGGACTATAGACCTCTATTTTGACACATAAACAATGGGTTTAAGATGGTTTAAGCATGATGGAACCAAATCTATCGCTACTGGATTTGTTATTGTTGGTTGCAAATCTATCGCTACTGGACCTTTTGATTTGTTTTGCAGGGGACTTCAGCAAATGGAGGATATGACACCTAAGCTCGTCACAAAAGGTGGCAAAGGGCAACCCCAGCAAGGAGGCTAGTGTTGGTAAGGATGGTCAATCCTTTTTCGCTACCATTTGGTTGAGCATATGCTTTATTTCCCCCTGTTGCTTTCAAAGGGACTGGAACTATGTTTGTATTTGTTTTCAGGGGGCTTCAGCAAATGGAGGATATGAGACCTAATCTTGTCACAGAAGGTGGCAAAGGGCAACCCCTGCAAGGTTGGTAAGGATGGTCAATCCTTTTCCGCTCCCATTTGGTCAATCAAAGGGCCTGGAACCATTGTTGAAATTATTCAGGGGACTTCAGCAAATGGAGGATATGAAGCCTAAACTTGTCAAAAGGTGGCAAAGGGTAATTCCTTTCCGGTTGAGAAAGTGATTTATTTTGCCAAGTTGGTGTTGACGAGAATCTATCGCTACTGGAAGTACGATGGAACATGGAGGTATCAAACCTGAACTTGTCAAACAAATTGGCAAAGGGTAGCTCCGGTAAGGGGGGGTAATCCTGGTAAGGATGGTCAATCCTCTTCTGGGGAGTAGCGGGCTACACAAATTGCCACTGGTTACTCAGTTACTCACCAAAACCCAGTGTCATTTGGGCACACAATACCTACATATGACACACGCACACACACACACACAGAGGTGTTTCTTCAATATTGGAGGGCTCGATTCCTTTCGGTTTTCCTTTATAATTATCACACATAAACGATATGTTTCCCTTGAATACACCCTTTATCACCCCTTTTGAGGACTAATCTTCCATGCAACACGCTCTGTTTGCGTTTCTTCGCTTTAAACCCAGCCTTCAGGTTTGTTCTTCCCTTCCCTGTGACTGTACACCTCGGGAACTCCGGTGTGGAACTCAGGCAGAGCTCCCGTGTCTTTTCCCGGCCCCCCCTTTTCGCCGCGCCCGAAGATCGGGAAACGCGGTTGGGGCGTTTACCTTCGAGTGCCGAGTTCGATAGGACAAGCGGCAGCGGGGCTGGCTGCGGGAACTCTCGGAAGCCCAGCTGCTGCCCATCCTGCCGCGGCCCCAAACGGTCTGCCCCACACCGGGCACCGGCGGAAGTGACGTTTTTTCTTTCCCGGGGCGGCTTTTTTTTTGCCGGGCTGCCGGCCCGGGCTGCCGGCCCGGCACTGGAGCACTGGACCCACCGAAGGTTTGCAACTTGGTTTTGTCTTAGTAGCCCCCAACGGGATCGCCAGTTGCCATCGCTCTTTTCCATCCACTGTATACCCCAAAAACCGATCGCAACAGTGGCTGAAAAAAAAGATCGCAGCTTGGCTATCTAGGCCCACATGTCTGGGGGGAGTTCCCTTTTTTGACGGGTAGTTTAACGGTTTGAGGGTCCAGGTGCTCCAACTGTTCCTGGTGAGGCTTGGGAACTGGCGTAGTGGCTCAGTTTACCTGGGTTGGCGTGCACAGTCGCATCGCTTCCGACCTTTTTTTTGTATGGACAACAGAACGACATAAGTTGTTCACTCTTTGGGGTTGGTTGCCATTTGAGCAGTAGAACGTTTGGGAGCTTGATTAAACCTGACTTGGGCCTAGGCACGTGTCTTTTTCGATACCCTTGGTGGTTTTCGAACATCCCTATGTTTCCCCTTTTGGTGGAATCAACCACAATGTAAAAGGGGGAAGTATAGAGAGCCCTGTTTTTTGTCCACAAACGGTCCTTCTTTGGAGTTTGTTTTTTAAAGGGTAAGAGGAACCACGACTCCCACAGCAATCCTCAAACTGACATGTTTGGAACCGGGGTTACCTTTCCAGTCATTTTCCTGGGATCATGGATTAGCATTGGTCCATGAAGAGCCCAAAGAGGTTCGGGCTGTACCTTCCATTTTTCTTGAGTGATCCTGATCTTGAAACGGCTCTCTAAAGACAAGGATGGGCGAAGAGAATGGAGTTGGATGTTTTTGTTGGGCGCCCCCGATTCGAGGAGAGAACTATGTGGCTACGCAAGCAAAGGTTTGCGCTTTGAGTTTTGGTATTTGGAGCTGGGGGAGAAAAGGGTGTTCATGTTTCTTAGTTGACAGTTAATCTGGTGGTTTGAACAGCCAGATGTTTCATGGAAAATACCTCCTTGAGTCAAAAGGGTTGACATCATGCCCTCTAAAAAGAGTGGGTAGCGGATGTAGAGGGAAGTTCCCCCGTAATTGCCCAATTTCCATTTGTTGAGATGGTACGATGTCAACCCCTCATTAGAAGAAGTTTACCATTTGTCGAGTTGGTCGTTTTGAGGTACCCCTTTTTGGTTTCGAAGGAAACCCACAAGGAAGAACAGCAGTTTTGGGGGTCCCCTGAAAACAGACACACCCAAGCATGCCTGAACTAAACCGTGGGTTTTCGAGGAGCTGCCCTTACCTTTTTTCTTTTTGTTGTCGGCTCAGCGGCTTAGCGTGGCGTGGCCCAAGGTTGCAGCACCTCAGAGCGCGGGCAGAGAACAAGGCGCGGAGAGGCCAACAAGGTCCCCCAGTGGTGCCCTTTGACCAACTTTTTGGGGGGAGATTCGGTTCCCCTACTAAAATGGACTACAGAAAAAAAACATCGGGTGCCCTTATTCTAACCTCTCTACTGGAGGACCTAGCCAAGGTGTTTGGGGGTGAAAGTTTTGGAGAACCCGTCCCTGAAACCTGGAAGCGCACCTCGCGCCCTGCGCACTTTCGTCTTAATTACTTCCTGAGTCTTTTTTTTTAACTGTTTGGGGAGGGCCATTTTAGTGGCAAACCAACAGCTTGGGGCTTTTTTGCACTCAATCCACACGGGAAGTGAGTAGACACTTTTGCGGGAGCTGGTTGCCATTTGGGTGGTAAACCACAAGTTTCTGGATTTTGTTTGGCCAATCCACTCGATCGGAAGTGAGGCACAGACACCTTCAGACTGCTTTGCTTCTGGGTCCTTCTCGAGTGGAGGGTCCTTGTCGGGATGGCACTCCAAAACCTGTCCACTTGCGCGAGAGCGAGCTCTGGAGGATCCCTAGTGCCGCCTTGGCCACGAGCGCGAGCTCGCCGTTTTGTTTGGTTTGCTGAAGAATATTTGTTATTTTCCCCCCTGATTTCAAAAGGAATCAATCACTACTGGAGATATGCGTAATTCCTTATTTTTTCCTGGCGAGTTCGCAAATGGAAGCCAGGAAGCAACCGTTTTGAGGGTCCCCCTATTTGCCCTTTATTTGTACTGGGTTTCAGAACGAGCAAAAGAGCAAAGGATGTTTATTTACCCACTTAACGAGCCACCGAGCAACATGGAGGATTCAATCACCAGGAGACAACCAGGGACACCAATTTTCCAATGTCCTCCAAGGTGTTTTGACCGTATGACAGCCTGGCGTTTTTCCCCCTCATTACTATCTCAGAGCAATAGCAAGAGCCTTGCCGGCCTAATATTGTGGATGGACAAAATCCATTTCGTACCACCGTTCGGGGTTCCCTGAGCAGCCCTGGTTTCGGATGATTCCCCTGTAAATGCCAAGAAACGTTATGGTTTCAACCATGGGTTCATTTCGTGGTGAGCTACAGTAGGACGTCTACAAAAGGGCAGTCTTTCGGGGTTCTGTACAGCAGCAGGTTTCTCCAGCCACCCAGTTTGACCGGGTCCAAATGGAAGGCTTTGGAGAGATGATTGTCGACCAATAGCAGCTCTAGGGACCACGGGCCGTCTCATGCTACCAATGCACTCCCGAAGAAAACCAAAACTCCAAGCCTTTGCGGGAATTCTGGCGGCCCACTTGCGAGTTGGCTCAAGTTGAAGAAGCCACCAGCCAGCTACAGGGGCTAAACGTTGCCACGGGAACGCACAACATGTTAGTGTATGCACATACATACCTACATACATACCTACATACCTACATACCTACATGCCTACATGCCTACACACATACCTACATACCTACATACCTACATACCTACATACCTACATACCTACATACCTACATACCTACATACCTACATACCTACATACCTGCATACCTGCAAACCTGCATACCTGCATACCTGCATACCTGCATACCTGCATACCTGCATACCTGCATACCTACATACCTACGTTACGTACCTACGTTACATACCTACATACCTACATACCTACATACCTACACACCTACATACCTACATACCTACATACATACATACCTACATACATACCTACATACCTACCTACCTACCTACATACCTACATACATACCTACCTACATACCTACATACCTACGTACCTACGTACCTACGTACCTACATACCTACATACCTACATACCTACATACCTACATACCTACATACCTACACACCTACCTACATACCTACCTACCTACATACCTACATACCTACATACATACCTACATACCTACATACCTACATACCTACAAGCGGATGTGTACAAATATATATATATGTATATTGGTGCGGCGGTGCATATATATATGTATGTATACCTATCTCTCTACACGCCTTCCCGGATCGATTCAATTCGCCAGGGCTTCGCGCAGCAGGCAGATGGTCTCATCAGATTGCTGGCTGAGCCGCCTGGACGGGTTTAGTTTCTCCCTACTCCAACGGAGCCACGATCAAAACCAATGTTTGAAGCCCTTAATTAAGGCCTAGCTAACGATGAACATTTCTGGGGTTTACCCAGGGATTCAAACATAGTCCTTTTGACTATCATACCGTTTACAAAGGTGAGCCACAATCAAAACCCGGGGATTGATGAAGGTTAGTAAGGGGCAGTCCCAGCCAGAAATTGGTGTGGAATTCCGCCTTCTTGATTCTTGAAGCATGGCTCTGGGTAGACCACTTTAATACCGGCTTTTGATTGTGACTCAACTACCCCGCGTTGTTTTTCCGGGTCTGGTTTTGGAAAGCTCCAAAGCCAGGTGGGCAATAGGAGTATCCCCGAACGCTCCAAATAAATACCGCTAATTGGCTCTTTTTTTCTCGGAGAAGCGATCGGTTTTCCAGGGTAAATACCGATGCCTTTGTGAGCAAAGGGTCGCCATAGCCCAAACAAGGGTGGCTAGGTCCCCCAGTAGTGCCCTTTCTAGGCTTTAATACCCCCCACCCCCCACCGAATTTCCCCCCCCCCCCCCAAAACGGAAGCATTGTCAGTAACACTGCAATTGATGAGAGTACCTGTATACTGTTACGCTGGCGCGGTCTCATGCAAAACGGCTACTTTGTAGCCCCAAAAAACTCAGTTGTTCAGTGGCTCCAATTATTTTTCCTTTGTTTTTCCGGTGGCTGCCCCACTAAAAATTCGGTCCAAGCCCAAAAAAGGGTTTCGATCTTTTTTTTTCCAGGGTCACTGAACTGAGACAAGGCTGGGTCTGGAGGACCCCAAAAAACGGGCTGGAGTTCTCTCCGAGCGCCGAGGCGGGTCGGCGCCCTGCCGGCGGCTTCGGGAGCAGATTCCGTGCTGCTGCCCAAGGAGCTGCGGAACCTGGACAGGGCCCGGAGCTCGGGTCCTCGGGGAAAACTCGAACACTCCGAAGCGAAGACATCGACCAATTTGGAGCAAGCGTCTACTGGACCTTTGGAACAAGTCTCTCTAAACATATATCTCTCTTTTTCTTTTCTCCCCCTTTTTCCCTGTCTTGTTTGGGCCCTTACGCAACAGCCTTTGGGTCAAGCCACCGAGGCGCTGAGCCGCATGACGTTCTTCCAACTCTTGCGCTTGGCCCCGCAGGTGTGGAGATGAGCGAGGTTTTGGGTGGAAGGTTGACATGAATCAAGCAACCTTTTTCTAAAAAAAATAATAGGGGGGGTGCTTTTCCCTAGACCACTTTTGGAGGGCCCTCACCTCCCCTTATGAAAGTCGTTTTTTTTTTTTTCATAGGGAGGGTCCCTTGAAGACACACCCATTGTCTTCGTTTCGTGGCCAAAAATAACAAGAGTAAGAGGAACTTTAAAACCCCGGGATTTGAACTTTGCAACTTGAGAACTCTGCGAGGGAAACCGCTTTGGGGCGCGTTACACGTAGTTGTTTCCGGCGTTTTGTTTCAGCCTTCTTTTTTGCTTATGTTTCTTCAGTGAGGGATTTTGCTCTGTTGGTAGATGTGTCCATAGTTTTTCTTCGAAGTCCCAATCTCTTCCACGGGTTTCGGGAAAAGCGCTTTCAGCTGATCGTTGAGATTTGTTTCCTTTGAGCAACCAACAAAACGCATGGAATTCTGTACTCATTCGAGACAGCAATTCATCAGTGAGCCATTGCAGCTTAGAGCTTACTATTCTTCCATTTGCTCAAGAATATGTTTATTTAATTGTGTATTTTTGCTTGTTGGTTTTAAAGGGAATCTATCACTACTGGATTGTTTCTTCCCGGGGTCTTAAGCAAATGGAAGTATTTGTTTGACTCTCAAAGGCTCATAAGAGATGGACTGCGACGAGGTCGCAAAGTCAGCCAAGGGATTTCTAGCCCTCGCAATCTGCTGTGGCAGAGAAGGAGTCACAAACCTGGACCCACAAAATACCTCCAACAATGGGTTATTGTTAACCCCGGATTAAAACACCCCTGGTTGATTAATACGGGGGTGTCCCCTTTTAGTGGGGATTCATCACTTTTGGAGGGAACACCCCCCCCAATAATGGGACGGGTTTGTTAATCCCGGGTCAACATTATTGCCCCAACGTTATGGGGTTTTGTGGGTAGTTTGAGGGTTCAGGTTGTTCTTTTGAATGGGTATATACTACTTGCTGCGGGCCCTTTTCCCAGTGTGGGACGTTTATGTTTTTCTTTTTCCGTGAAGGGGGTACTGGTTATGACCCACTTAGGAGAATTATAACCATGGTAAGTGCGTTATAACCAGGCTTACTAACCACTTACTACGTACAATGCCCCTTTAAGTAGGGGACTTCCCTGCCAAAGGTACATCTCAGGGCGCTTCATCGGTGGTTTGGATTGGATTTGGACTTGAACCCCCGGTTCTTGGAGGGGTAAATGGGGAACCCCTCCACTCCGAGCTAGCGGAAGCATCTGCGAATCTGCGAACGATTGGGTTCGCAACCATTGCCCATGGTCAAAAGCCCGGTTCCTTTCCTTGCCCAGAGGCTCCAGGGCTTTCATTGGAAGACCCGACCCCTCCGCGAATTGGTGTTTGGGGTTCTTAAAACCTGGCTGTTTGAGGGCCCAAAAAACATCGGGAGCCTCTGGGTGGTTAACGTTGGGATGGTTATCCACCTGGTGGGGGATCCATTAAAAACCATATGACTCGTGTCAAGAAAACCATAGGCCATCCACAGCTGCCTGCGCAAAAAGCTTGAAAGGCTACATGTTTTTGTTTGTTTGGCATGCTGTACCGTTTTGCCTTTGGCCAGAGGTATTCTCCCTGGGTTTTGAATCCACCTCGAGTGGATCTCATTTTTTCTATTCTCTCCTTTTTGGAGCGGTTTCCCTTCGCACTTCCCGAGTTCCGGTCCGGACTGATAAACAAACAAAGCGTTTTCCCGAACAGCCGAAAGACTTGAGGTCTCTGCGCATTTTTTCCAGTGCCGAGCAGCTTTCAGGGAGGGCTCCGGAGCGCTCCAGCAGGTTCCGCGGCCGGGGGATACCACCTAGGCTTATCTTCCATATGCTTGAGAATATGTCTTTGTTGTTTTCCCTTGTCGGTTTTAAAGGGCATCTATCACTACCGGAATTATTTTTACTTCTTCCCGGGGGCTTAAGCAACTGGAAGTTGTTTTTAAGCGATTCCCACTCGATCGGAAGTGCGCCTTTGAACTGAACTGCCGCACCAAGGTTCCCCCCCCTTTGCCGGGGCCCCCGGCACCGCAGCCATGCCTTTCACCCTTTTACTATCCCTCCGGTACGGCCACCCAATCCGATCTATCAACACAGGACTGGGACAACTGGGTGCTCAATCGCCCACATCGTAATCAATGTTATGTTTTTTTTTCCAGACGTGAAAGGAGAAGATATGAAAGACACCCAGACCTATGACAAAACCCACTCGCTTTGTGTTGGTCCAGCCCCAATTTGGACAACCACGTCAGACCTTCGACCAGGAAGGGGGCTACGGTCAGCAGATCGCCCAAGCAGTTCTTGATCTTCGTAGCGCCATGTGAAGCCGATCTTAGGTGCAAGGGGAAGCCGCATCTCCATGCCCTTTGGCAAAGTGCAGTAATCTAGTAATACCCCTTAAGTGAAATGAGCCACCATCAAAACCTTTTTTCTTGGAAGTCAAGGACAGGAAGGGACAGTCCCAAACATAATAGGTGCAGATATCCGGGCTTTAAATGCTTTGCCATGGTTTTGGGTAGGTTTTGAATCTTACTCAAGGGTAGGAAGTGACCCAACATTCCATGTTTCGACAAACAATAAAACAATATCATTCTAACGCATTTTGGTTTGCATCATGACTTCCCCTCACTCCCTAAGTGGATGTACCCCCCACATGTTTCTGGGTATGGTAGGGTATGATGTCAACCCTTGACCACAAAAGGGGTTCGCTATTTTTCCTGGAACAACTTGGTTTTTGAAGAATACCTTCCAAACGCGTGTTTCTGGTATTTAGGGTCAGAGTCTCCGATTTGTTTTTCTCGATTTGTTGGGTAGGCAAAATATGGGCGTGTCTTGTATTTGAAGGTACCCCCTTTGTGTGGTTTAGGGAATGCACATGGAAGACCACTGCTTTTAGGGGGGTCACTATTTGACACACGATGACAACAAATCCAAGAACATATGTGTTTGGAGTCGTTCAGGCTAAGGACCCGAATATCCACCACTCAAGGGGGCTCCGTTTCAACTGAGTTCCCATTTACCCAGAAGAGGAGTTGTGCTTCAAATCCCAGCCAATCCAAAGCTCTAATGAAGTCATTCGTCCGTAAATCTCCCCTTGTTTGACCTCAAGTGGCAGTATTGTCAGACCCCACCAGGAAACTGCAACTTTTGAAGCGGAAATCCAGTGACGCCCCTTTGGGCATTCCTTTCCAGAAAGAACCCTCGACAACCGGGTGGTTTCTCAATCGGGGGTGAACCTTTGAAGCTTGGTTGGCCTCCGATAGATTTTACCGAGGGCCCGAGAGACTCATTTGAGATCTCAAATGGATCAGGGTCCCTTCAACTTGAGGAGTTTCCTCTTGGTTTGGTCATATTTGTGCAAAGAGAGACAAAAAGGTTTGGGAAGCCTCTGGATAGACCCAACCATCCCAAGGCGGGCGAAAGCATCTTGAGAGGTTTCGAGCTATGGAGCAGCGGTTTCCCCACTGCTGTCGGAGGTTCGGCGAAAGCGTTCTGCTGCGATTTCCGGAATTCGAAGCGAACGTAAGAAGCGGCAAACAAAAACATACGACCGGAAGGTGAGGCACGAGGAGTGCAGGAGTGGAGGAGTGGGGCGTGGTTTCGTGGAATGTCTGAAACATTTTGTGCCAAGTGGAAGGTCTTTGAGATCTGTTTTCGTGGCGGACGTTCGTGTACACCCAATACTTGCTGTTTTCAGGGTATGGCAGCGCATATGTCAAGCTTACAAAGAATGGTTTCAACCATGGTTTGAAAGTGGCTCGAGATGGATTTCATGAGGAAGTCCTGAAGCCCCTCTGCAAAAGGACGCCCAATCTAAGGGGTAAAGCAGGTGGTTTTTCCCGCCCTTGGCAGAATGGAAGCCTAGGGAAGGTCAAGAAGGTCAAATTGGGTCCTTTAGAGGTCAAATTGAATCAAATTGACTGGGTCCAAATGGAAGTCTTGGGAGAGACTTTTTCGTGACTAGCGACCACGGGCCAAACATTCTCATGACCCCCCCTTGCATGTTGGCTCAAGTACCAGCCAGCTACCGAAGTGGCCAAACGGGCTGTTGTTTTCCTGAGAGCTTCCAAACAGTTGTCTTCCCCTTGTTCTTGACGCGTTGCTTTTATTCGCCTTCTTGTTCTTGGCATCGCCAAGCAAATGTGAACTTGTAGCACAAAACCACGCCGATTCCAAAGAGACATATTTGCTCTCGGTGGTTCTCAGCCATCCGGTGCCTTAGGTTTTTAGTGTTTTTCAGTTAGTTTAGTGGTTGGGTTTCCATTTCAGAAAGGGACCCTGTGAGCGTTGGGTTTTTGCACACACCTAATTTGGCTGCATTCTGGCCAAAACCGAAAAAACTTGAGAAATCGAGAAAAAAGACGCTCTGGGACAATGTGCTGGGGTCATGCAAACAGTTCTCCACCTTACCCCCCCCTCCTACAGATGTCAGGCTCCTGACCAAAACCGAAAAAAACATCGAGAAATCGAACGATTTTGTCCAAAACCGAAAGAAACCTCGAGAAATCGAGGAAAAAAAGAAAAGATTCTGGGACAATGTGCTGGTATCATGTAAACAGTCTGTTGGCCAGATTTTTTTCTTTTTTTTTTCCGATTTCTCGAGGGTTCTTTCGGTTTTGGGCAAAATATTTCGATTTCTCGATGTTTTTTGATTTTGGATCGTTTCTTTCGAATTCCCGATGTGTTTTTCCCCCCTTTTTTCCCGATTTTGGACACCTCCTTTTGATTTCTCGATGTTTCTTACTTATAAGGTAAGCCCGGCAGGAAGCAGCCAAGATAAGACCATCTGCAGCAAAAGCTTCAACGCAGGACAGCTTTGCAAGGAAGAGCTTAGAAGGTTTTCAAACACCAAGCAACAAAAAAACCAAAGGTGTGGCCAGCCCGACAACACAGCTTCAGGTGGCAGCAAGCCCGACAGAGTCCTTAGCTTCCAGCTAGGTTAGAGAAGAACCAGTTCAGCGTAAAGAAGTTTTTTGGAACGCCGCAGCAAGCCAAGGAGATAGAGCCTGTGCTAGCTAACAGGGTAGCTCCATACCAGAGGCAGCAGCAGAGCAAGCTGCAGAAAGAAGCTGCACTAGTGAAGTCAGCTTACCTCCAGAAGCTAGCAGAGCTGGAGAAAGAAGACCCAGAAGAAGTTGTAACAAGACTGCGGTTTCAGAGAGAAGCAGGCAGACAAGGTGGCAGGCCTCCAGTTCTGGAAGAGTGTAGAGGAACTGCAGGTGGGCAGTTAAGCAACAGGAAGAAGGAGACAGATCCTTCCAGGAAGCAAGGGCTCTTTGCCTTTCAGAAGATGAAGCTTAGTGAAGAGATTCAGATGATTCTGGAAGAGTCTTAGCCTCAGAAGCAGAAGCTTGGGCAGTTGCAAGGAGAAAGTTCAAGATGAGCGCACAGAGGCTGGAAGATTGCAGAAGAGGTTTGCCAGAGCAGCTGGTGGAGGGAGACAGAGAGAGTTTAGCAGAGAGATCTCTCAACTTGGCGAGTGGTTGCAGAAAGAAAGGAGTTATAGCCACAACATTTCAAAGAATGAGCTGCTGAAAGAGTTCTTTGCCCTTCTGGTTGCAAGGGCAGAGAGATGCATGGTCAGGGCAGAGCTTTGCAGAAATGAGATGCAGAGGAAAGCTTGGCTGAAAGAAGCTGACTGCGCCCTGCAGAGAAAGACCAAGCTCCAGCAGAGCTCAAAGTATGCAGCTTCTTCTGTAGAGAAGCTGATCCAATGGCTAGGGGCAGCTTACTTGAGCAAAGATCAGACTACACAGAAAGCTCTGGCATCTAGGTGCTGCTCCAGTTGCTGAGCTTGAAGATGCACATTTGGTTGCAGATGCAGAGATGATAGTTGAGAACCGATCCTCACTGGTAATCGGCACGAGTGATCAAGTCCCACTTTGGGCCAAAGCTCCAAGCAAGAAGTTGGTCTTCTCTGCAGATGAGCTCAAAGGTGCCAGTTGGGACGACAGAAAGAGGTGGACTGAGATCAGGGAGGAGCTGAAAGCTGCTTAAGTTCAGGCAGCTGCAGAAGGTTAGGGCAGGTGTGGGAGCAGGGCCTCTCAAAGTTGCAGGTAATAAGTTTAAGGTGATGACAGGACAAAGTTCAGATGAAAAGTTTCGTATAACATACGAAGCTCGCCAGAAGATTACAACCTTGGAGCTCCAGCAGGAACAGCTCTGCAAGGCGACTACTGCGGCGCAAGGTCGGCATAGGTAGCCATCCACGATCTCCTTGAGATCCTCGTAGGTCATGTCTTCTGCTGCAAGTGCCATCTTAGCCCAGAGTGAAGGGTGGGACGACTCAGTGCAGGATGCAGATGGATGAGATGCTTTCTAGCTGGCCAAAGTTGCAGCGCAGATCGCGGTGCACACATAACGGCACACAACCCTCAATTTGGAAGAACGCTCGTTTCACATGGAAAATGCCCACGCTGAGGGGGTCCCCCTCTCTTCCATTTAGCCCACAAATTAGCCACTTTTAGCAGGGGATTAGCACCCTTGGTTCTTGTGGAGGGCCAAGGGGAAAACCACCCCCCGGAAGTCCAAACCAAACCTAGGTCCCCCAGTAGAGTCCTTCTCTCCCCTTTTTTGGTTGGGAAGAAACCGCCCTACTAAAATAGACTGCAGAAAAACCAAATCAGGTACCCTAACCTCTAACCTCTCAAATCTGGAGGGCCTAGAAACGATCAAGCAAGTCAAACCGAAGTAAAGCATCACGACCAGATCCGCGGACAGCTCCGAGCTTCCTCTGCCAGTTGGAGGTCGACGATGCCTCACTGCCGGCGGGGGCGGCGGACGGCCGAGTTTCAAAGCGAAGCAATCCTCCGTCGGCTTAGATTGGGCGAGGAGCTTCGTGGGGATGAGTTGTTTTTGAAATTATCAAGATTTCCTGACCTTCCCTTTTTTCGGCATGTAGAAGCATAGGCCGAGGCGTTCCTTTTTGGAAGGTAGTTGTTCCTTTGGGCTGGGCGGGGTTTTTCGTATTTGAAAGGAAGCAAACGGGTGGGGGTTCGGAAACCTTAAAGGGGTGGGGCGCCAAAGGTTTTAAACGTTGCACTCGAGGTATCTTTTGATTGAGTATCGACCTAGGGTAGCACCCTTTTGATTTGTCGTCGAAAATTTTGTCCGTTGGCCATGCCCCGAATGAACAAGACTCGGATCAGCGCGGGACCTGCCCCTGATTAGTAATGTCGACCCCATCAACCAACCAGTTTGTGAATAGGGGGGTGCTTTTCCCTGGGTTTTAAGCTTTGGGGAATCAAACCACTTTTGGAGGGGCCAAAAGCCACCCCTTATTGGTAAACTGGCTGGTTGGTGAACCTGGGGTCAACCTGATGGTCCTCCAATGTGCAGCGGATGAATCCGCAGTTTATTCGCCGTGAGTCACGTTTGATGGAGTTGGCCGTTTGACTCGCCCGGAGCACCTCGAGCTTGGATTCCTTCCCCGCTGGGAAGGATCGCGCGCTTATCTTGCTGAAGCCTCAGGCGGACGCGATTTCGGATTTCGGAGTTCGGACTTCCCCGACAGGACCCTAGGGCAGGTGGCTATGAATTTTAACCCGTGAAAAGTGCTTGGCGGACATAAAGCTTTCCACCTAAACAAGTCGTACCCCCAGTGAACATTCCAATCCCCACTAAAATGGGCGGTGCACTTCCCCCAAAATGGGATCCCATTGGTTTTGACAACCACAGCCATGTCCACCAGTTCAGGCCCCTAGTTACGCCCAGTTTTGGTTGCTGGCCAGGGACCTTAACGCTTGAGAGAGATGCACAGGGTAACCCGGGTCCTCGCAGGCAACCCGGGTTACTCCTCCAGAGCGAAAGGCCAGTTTGCAGTGCCAGGCTCCTGTGGACATCATGTCCTATGTCCCCTTGGCAGATGTCCCCCTCCCCCCCAAATAAATAAGGTGGCACCACAACCAACATGGACTTGAACCTCTCTTTTTGTTGGCTGGGGGGGGGACATCTGAAAGGGGGGAAATGGGCATACATGATTTCTACATTGGGGTCTCTGGGATATGTTGGGGTTACAGCCGATGTTTTTTCGAACCCTAATTAGGGGTGACGTTCCAAACGGAGCGACGTTCCCCGACGGGGTCTCGTGATCCGTTCCAAGCTAAAACACCAGCGGTTTCGGCACACGCGGTGCTCCCCACCGATCGGCGAGAGGGGCAATCGATGGACGAGTCGAGTTCTTCCCAATTTGGGACTTCAACTTCAATCGTCTGGCGTGTCCAGGTAGGTTCAGTCATAGTTCTAGTCATCATCCAGTTGTTCCGAGGACCCATCAGACTAGATAAATGGAATTGCAAATGGAATTGGGGACCTCCCTTTCAACCTGGAAGAAGTATGAGGGTGCTCAATTCGCCATTGGTGAGTGACTCTTCGGGTAATAACCTACTGGCCTAACTTACTCATACGTAGGTTACTCATCACATGGTAGCTAGCCACTTGTTTTTGTTTTTTTTTTTCGGCGAATTGAGCACCCACGCAAATAATTACCTGGAGTTATTTTGTGGACACACAGTTTTCAGAAACCCAGGTCTTTGATTCGATTCTGCAAGGTAAAAGACCCCAAACAAACAAACGGCTTCCCTTGATGGTGCATTTCATCAGTGAGCTGACTGTCTTTAGGGCGATTGCGGCCCCAACATTTTGCTCGAGACATTGATGCCGGATCCGAACACATTTCAGAGTCGGATCCGCCGAAGTTTTGGTGACTTCCCGGCTCCACTTCGAGTGATGGGCCTTCAAATTTCACCCGGGTTTTGAGAGAATTCCCGGGTCCCAAGCACCCAAAATTTCGGGGCGTCTCATGCTGAGGGCTCGGGTCTTCCATAAGCCCCAGGAGCCGGGGAGATCGCAGGTTTTGGTTCGACAACATTGCTTTTGTTATTGTACGGTGTGCGCTTTGTGGGGGAGTTTTGGAGGCTGCTATGGTTGCTGGTGCGAGAGGTAGGGAATGAGGGAATGAACCCAGGCTTTGGTCCTCTTTTTCGGAAACTACAGGGGATGGCTTGAATGCCGCTCTCGTGCAATTCGGCGCATGTTATAGGCGTTTGTGGTGCACCAAGTCCTGCGGTCTAGGCGTAACAAGCTGACTGATCGCCGCGAGTCAAGGGACCAATAGACCCTTGACCAGCTTTTGATTCTCAGCGACCGGCGGCACTTTTCCGACTTGTTGACGGCGCGCGTAGGTTGCGAGCCCTTTGTTCCTTTCTCTTGGATGGGGTTCCATGTAGAATCGACGTACCACCCATGCAGTTGGTTGCGAGCCCGTTTCCCTTTTTCTTGGACGGGGGTCCCATAAAAAGAATCAACGTGCGCAAAACCGGGCCTTTTTGCCCACAGCCAGGTAAGCTGCCTCACTCCCCGACTTGAAATACTTTGCTTGATGGTTCCCAGCCATCCGGTGCCTCAGCTTTTTTAAGTTCGCCTTTTTGTGTTTAGTGGTTGGATTTCCATTTAACCCACTAAAAGTTAAACTTTTAGCGGGGGATCTGAGGACAGCCCAGTTTTTGTGACCGTTGTCGTGATACACAGAACGTTTGGCTGTTTGTCTTGCTGGTTTTCAGCAACTGAGGGAACAACCCCTATAAACCATCCCATGCCTTCCTTTAAGGGAATCCCTGGGTTCATTTTCAACACTCTGGGTCATCCGCTGAGCGCAGGTGCAAGTTTTGGGCCAAACTAACCATCAACCAGGGCTTTATCCTGGATTCTCGGAACCCGTCTTTGCATGTTACGGGCAAACCATGTAGGGAAGCCATTTTGCTCACTCGGGTTCCCGGACTTCCGTCACTTGTCGGGGCCATTTTATGTTGTAGGCAAAGAGTTCCTCGTCAGAAAGTTGCAGCTCCCAGTTTGGTCCACTTTCGTGGAATCCGCTTTTTCCTCCAGCAAAAAGGATAGTTTGCCCAGCGATGTGTTACATCCACGGGTCCGTTTTGCCAGGCTTCCCGTTTTTGCGTTTTTTGAAGGAACACCAAAAGTACACACCCATTCTCGTTTCACACTATGTTTTATTTTCCACTGTTGGGTTTGCCCTGTTTTACAGGGTACAATGTACAGATCACCGCAGTCGGGTCAGTTCCAGCTGTTCGCCTTGGTCGCAGGGTCTTTGCGTTGCTCCGTCCGGGTCCCCGTCGCATTTGGTGTTGTCGGACCTGGACGAGACCAGGTCTCCACTAGGAGCCTGGGGGCCTTTTTGCCGCCGGTGTCCAGAGATCTCAATTTCTCGGGCCTGCAAAATGGACAAAGTTCATTCATGTGCTGAAATCAACACGTTCTACTGCCATGAGTTTGAAGAGAATCTATCACCGGACCTATTTGATGGTTGTTGTTTTTGTTCAGGGAACTTAAGCAACAAAGGGGGGTGTCCTTTCGGGTTGACCTCCAAAGCAAGATCACGAAACAGGCAAGTTCAGTGATTGTGTTGCCTTCGCGTGGCCTCACTTTGCATCAGCGGCTGCACAATCAGCGGCTGCACAGAGCCGGCACCAGGTTCCGTTTGCAGCTTGTGCTGAATCAAGCAAGAGCAACAGCTGAGCTCTCGCACGTCAATCCTCCGGCCACAGTGATACTGTTGCAGAAATATACCCATCTCACCGGAGAGGAAACGTGAAGAATCGGTCCGGAGGTAAGGTTGATACCCATCTCACAACTGGAGATGCGATGAGGGGCTAAGCAATTGCACACATGCATCTCTTGTTTTATAACTTGTGATGCTGACCAAAGTTGGATTCGAGTCAACCACAACGTCATTTTTGTTTTAGAGCCTGTTCCCCTCACAAGACGACCTGCCATTTTCTCAAACGTGGACTGAAAAGGGAAGGCATCTATACGCTAATCTCCCTCAAACTGTTCGGTTTAGGGTTAACCACTAAACGTTTTCGACTTTTAGCAGGGGACCGAAGCAGAACAGCCTGCCCAGAGGCTCCTGATTGATTTGGGGCCTTCAAACAACCTGGTTTTGAGACCCCCAACCACCTTCAGGGTGTCTAATGCTTCGGGGTCGGGTCTTCCATAAGCCCCAGGAGCCTCACTGGGTGGTAAAAGGAGCTTTCGGGGAGAGCCGTAGGCTTTGTATCACTTGGCTTGGGATGGATCTTGTAGTCGAGTCCTCCCGGCAGAACGGAGCACGCCTTGCACCAGCAGAGTTGACAGGAAAACTGCCGGTTTGAGGGTTGGAGCTCTTTGACTCTGATACCCTTACACCCCACAATTTTTGGGGTAGTTGAAGAGCCCAGTTGTTCTGTGGTTTGTACATACCTCCTTTTTTGAACAGAGAGGTCGACATAAGTTGCAAAAGGGCATGCGGGGCCGACTTGCGAAGGTATTCCTCCGTCCCCCAGTAGTGCAAGCTTTACCTTTTTTTTGGGAGGGTTCCCCTGCTAAAATAGACTACATAAAAAGGGTACCCTTATTCTAACCTCTCTACTGGAAGACCTAGAGGGAACCAACATGACAACCAATGATGTTGGAGCTTCCCCCCTATTTTGAGTCACTTCCCTAGTTTTCTGGCTGCGTGCTTTTCCAAGGCAGGCGTCGCTCTCCTGAATTCTGCTTCGTGCAACAAGCAGTCTGGCAAATAAGTTCCCCCTACACCCAATACCCGTTTTTTTCATGGTATGATAGCGTACGTCAACTCTCGACTCAAAAGCACGTTTTTTCCATGAACACCTGGTTGAAGATATACCCTGAAAAAACGCCGGGTATTTGGAGTAGGGGGTCTGTTCCCTTCGCTTCACGGTGCTGAACGCTTCGGCACGAGGATGATGAGGTTTTGGCCTACCACTGTCTTGCAGGGAAATAAAGGGATCCTCAAAAGGGCTCAACCTTTTGTGAGCCACTTGCTCAAAACCGATTCAGGTAAGTGAAGGGCGAGGGACACTCCAAACCACACATGGGTGCGGATATCCACCCTTTGAATTATTTACGTTGTGGGTAGACCATTTCGATACCGACCGGTTTTGAATATGACTCATGTGTCTTTCTTGACCCTTCATTGGTGATACAGTAGGACAGTCAAAGGGAGAATTGGCTGTCCACTTGGAAAGCCCCTGGATCCTTTTTTCCTCCCTGAAAGGGTCTCGGCCGAAAGCTGCAGCCGAGTAGCACCGTTACGCCCACGCTTTACCATGTTCCCAACAAGCATGCGGCGTGACAGTTTAAGGATTTTTGGCGATTTAGTCCCCCCTTGACACCTCCTCCGGCCCCGAAGACCCCTCCCAAGAACTCGCTTTAGAGTATGGCAACCCTGGAAGAGACAAATACCAGAGATTCACGTGGCTCAAAACGTCAAAGGCCAAGTCATGGGAGTAGGGTGCATATTAAGTCTCTTGTCCGCTGGGGGATATGTCAGTCCAGGTATTCGGCCATTGGAAAGGCCATCCCGAGCTTTGCATCCATAACCCTTGCCAGCCACGGACTGAGCCGAAATCTGGGAAACCCTAGCGACCGATGCCATTTTTCAGCTGGGCCCGGCAAATGTGGTTAGAGGCAGTACCGATTCCTTTTTGGTCAGGGGTTGACATCATAGCCTCTCGTACCCTGAAGGAATGCCTGTGAGTGATCGTGGTTCAGGTTACTTGGCCGGGTTTGGGGGCGGGGGCGGGGGGTGCGGAAGGACTTTCCGCAAAAATCTCGCAGTGTGCAGGTCCGAAGTGCAAAATTCGCACCGTCGCAGCAGCATGGTGCATGTGCGTTTTTTTTTGGGAGAGGGGGGTTGCATATATATATATATACGCATGAACCCACCGGCGGGGTTTACCTCGAACTCTGCCAAAGGAGAGTTCCACATCAGACTCACCGGGCGTTGTTTTGACTTGCCATGCTGTTGCTCTCTGCCTGTCGCCCGCGCAAACAAAAATGGGCCTCCCATGACGCAAGAAGAAAAGGATGAGAGCCCTGTGCGCCGGGGGTATGGAGTGTCTTTTTCAGGGTTGGACCCCTCATAAGTAGCCTCAAATTTGTCCAACAAAGTCTTAATTGGGACTTGGGAGGAGGACGAGTTGAATTGTCCAGCAGTAGATACAACAAGTCGCCAAAATAGTTTGTGAAAATGTCCTTTTGGTTTTCCTTTGACCCCCTTATAAAAAAAAGGAAGAGTGGGGAAGCATAACAAGATACAGCCAGCTTGCCCTCCTGGGGAAGCAAAAGCCCTGAGACTCGCAAAAGCCACCACGATGGCAGATTACTGGCCCAATATGGTCACTATGCTGCCATTTGCGGTTGATAATGTTATTGTATTTCCCCTGTTGGTTTTTTCAAGGGAACTGATAACTACTAGACATACAGTATGTTCGCCTGTTTCTGTCCATGCGAATTTGGAGATTCGAGTCACTTAGCCACTATGAGTTGCAGTCTAGAATGCGGTTTTGGGTGCCTTTTTTTTGTGGGGCTTGCACCACTTCTTCCCCCAGTCTCCCGAGTTGGTTCTTGTTTTGTAGTCCTTTAGCACTCCTAGGTCCCCCAGTAGTGCCCTCTCTCACCCCTTTTTTGGTTGGGAGGCTTCCCCTACTAAAATAGACGTCCTGAAAAAAGTTGGTACCCATGAACTTTGTACTGGGGGATCTAGGTGAAGTGTTTCCAGAGCCGCTGCAACATGATGTTCACCGATGGATAAATCCCCGGGGAATGAGTGTTGAACCCAGTTTATTCTATGGAGGGGTATTTTTTTTCTTTTTTTTTCCGTTTTGTGTTGGGTTTTTTTCCGCTTTTGGCTTCTTGGCTTCTTGGCTTCTGCTTCTTGGCTTCTTGGCTTCTTGGCTTTTCGGCTTCTTGGCTTCTTGGCTTCTGGGCTTCTGGGCTTTTCGGCTTTTTGCTGGTTTATGAGGCTTTTGTTTGCTTTTTGCCTTTTCGCATCCTCTGCATTCCCAGTTCCTCTTCAGGTTTATGCGGCTTTTCGCTGGTTTATGCGGCTTTTCGCTGGTTTATGCGGCTTTGGGCGGCTTTTGGCGGCTTTGGCTTTTCGCATCCTTCGGGCTTTTTGGATTTTGCTTCCCGCATCATCAGCATCACCACCACCCTGTTTGAATCATCACTTCTTCAGACATCATGGGGGGGGAACCCCCCCCCTTTGGGGGGCGGTTGCCGTAGATTTCTTGCAGAGATTGAATTGCACCCCTGTTTGAATCATCACTTTTTCGAGCATCCAATTTCGCGAGAAAATGCTGCAAAATACGACATTTTGGGTAATCTGTGTAATCCATGTATGTCTGTATGTATGCATTTCTTCGAACATCATAGGGGAAGCCACCCCCGCCAACCCTCCCGCTGCCTTTTAAATTCTAACGCACCCTTTCTTGAATCATTGCACCCCTACTTGAATCATCACTTCTTCTGACATCAATTCATCGAACATCATGGGGGGGGCTGCCGCCCCCCCCCCCCCAACCCCGCCTGGTAGTTTTTAGACTTTTTGCAGAGATTTAATTGCACCCCTATTCGAATCATCACTTCTGCGCCAATGATGGGGGGGGCTGCCGCCCTCCCCAACCCCCCGCCGTTTTTTACACTGGGATTGAAATGCCCTCCTGTTTGAATCATTATTTGTTTGACCCCGTCAACCCGCCAGCTACTTTTTGGATTTTGTTACCCACGATTTGTTGGTGATGGTTGGTCGGACATGCGGGGGATGTTGAAAACGATGCTGGGGATGTTGACGGGCTGGTGTAAAATGCGTCAATTTCGCGAGAAAATGCTGTAAAATACGACATTTTACTGGCCCGGACAAAAAAAGGAAAAACAAAAAGAAAAAAGAAGAAAAAAAACGAAAACGATCCCAATATAAATCCGCACCCTTATTCTATCCTCTCCACTGGAGGACCTAGACTCGTTTAAATTCCTAGGGGTTTCTTGAGCAATGCCCGGAGGTCCGGGACGCGGACACCAGAGTCACCTGAGCCACAATCAAAACAGGGATTTTAAGACCTTTTTCATTTTTGTCCTGGAAGTGATGCTGGGGATGCTGGACATGCAAGGGATGCAGCCACACAACATACAGGAACAGACCCAATCTTCGCATCCAAATGTTTTAAGACTTTCAGACACGCAAAATTGATGTCGGGAATGCTCGGAATGCCGCCGGCTGGCCACAAAAAAGTGCAAAAAACCAGGGGTTTTTTATATTCCCCAAAATCAACCATCAAAAGCAGATACTGGCAACCCCCCTCAAATACCCTCAAGCACGATACTGCAGGGGATGTTTCATTTTTGCAAATTAAATCAGTTTCTCAACGTATCACTGCACTTGGCCCCACCCAGACCCCTAACAGGCCAATTCCAACATCGCTTGAAACAGGAAAACACCATTTGCATCTGCAACAATAAGAGACAAATTCATGGCAGCAAGATAATCCTGATGATGCGGGGATGCAGATTTTGCGTGCCCGAGGGAACCCCCCCCCCCTAGAGACCTAGGCGAAAAGCAGATTTTTAGCACGCCCCAAAAGCCTTCGGCTTTGATAAGAGATTCCGAAGGAAGACCAAGTTGCGGACTGACACGCTCGATTGGCGTCGGCGGATTAAATGAAAGGGGGTCATGGACCCATGTTTCCTCCTTTTTTACACAAATGAAAAGCCTAGACACATAATCTTTGCCCAGTCCACTCGTCTCCGGAAGTGACTTTTTGTTGAATTCAAGTCTTTGCTTTACAGGGCTAGGTTCTTTGGGTGGTGTGTTTTACACCGCACTCTTGCGCTGCAGAAGCAAAATGCTTTACAAACAAAGAGAAGCACAGACTTCGAGGAAGGGTCGCGGCACTTCGAAGAGCGGAGCTGTGAATTTGGACGAATGAATTCCTCTCCTCGCAGCCGAAGAGAATCCCGGAATGATTCGATTTTCCCAAATCCAAGGCTTGTTGTTTGCTATGACTCCTTGAGGGAAAGTACCCAAATTGGAAATTGGACAGAATAGGGTGAATCCCCAGTCGTAATCCCAGGGTGAATAAGAAAACCCTTGGATAAACCAACTACTTGCTGGTGCGATAGGTAGGGAATGAGGGAGTGAACCCAGAAATCTCCTGAAAGGAAACCACCAGTTGGATGGGTTCTAAGGGGTCATTCGCCCATTCCCTCATTCCCTCATTCCCTCATTCAGCACCAGCAAGACTACCGACAAGCAATGTGTGTCCTGTGGTTTCAAAGTGGTGCGAAATGGATTTCGCAACCATCCACAGCATTTCCTGTTTGAAGGCGAAGTCGACGTTCTTCACTCCCTGAGTGCATTTTAGTTCAGACTGTGGTTCGCCAATCCACGGAAGTGAGAAAAGGACACCCAGGCATGTGTAGAGTGGGTTGCTCCGAACCTAAGATGACACAACCCAAGGGGTTTCTCCAACACATGTTTGTTGTTTCGGGTATCAATATGACCCCCTGGCACGAAAATTTCCCGATTTCAGCATGCCAACCAGCAACAGTAAGGAGCTAACCATGAAAAATCCCTTAACACAAAGAGCGGAACCTTCGGAGCCTTCCAAGAGAGCAGGTATCTACTGCAAGATCCCCCAGATCCACAGCTTCTCCTTGGTTTCGAAGGAAAGCGATTTCACGACCGGATAGGTTTTCCATTTTTTCCGGGAGACTCTACTGCAAATGGAGGCTGCTCTTCCCAAAACCAACTTTTCTTGGGGTATGATTAGGTTGCCTCCCAAAAGGAGGTTTTTGCCATGCAAAGCCTGGTTCTTTCAAACAGCGGGTATTTGGAGTCAGGTCCGTAGGGAGTTTGGAAACCCTTTCCCAGCCACTATTGGAAACTAGGGACAGTTTGGGAGGTTCATTCCCGTATTCCCTAAGAAGGAAGAAAAACCTTTCTCATAGCAACCAGCGGGGAATTCTACTGTCCTGTAGAGTTTTCCCATGTTTGCTGGTTCCTTGGATGTCCTTAAGGCCCAAAGCGCCTTGAGGAACCCAAACGGGCAGATGGGTGGATAGCCTCTTGGGCTTGGCAAAAGGGTTAAGCCTAAAGCATCAAGCACCTTCAATTGGGTCTGTGTTCTTTGTGGTATTCAGGGGAAACCAACAGTTGAAGACCCGTCATTTTGTCGGGGTCTACAAACAGTTGACAGACCCAACTCGGAACGCCTTGACTCTTATGGCGCTTTTCGAGTCGCCGAGTCCTCGCTGGATGTCTTCTTTGTGCTCATCGATGCCTGGGACGCCAACTCTGCGGCGCTGCTGCGGTTTCCACAGGCGCCTTACGGGCGCCCCTCGTCGGCCGCTCGAGCGCAACGTGGCTCGAGCGCCGAGGCGAAAGCGACATGGAGCCTAAGACAAAAGCTCCAAAGACCCGCGTGCTGAGCTGGTATACTTTGGAAAACAAGTTGTTTAATGGAAATACTGGCTTGTCCAGTCCGCTGACATCATGGCCTGAAAAAAGCGGGTATTGGGCAATTACGGGGGATAGGGGACAAGGGAACTCTATATGAACATGTGTGTCCTTTTGGCAAAAATAGATGAGGAAATCCAATTCGACCCCCCCACCCCAAAGCGGCGGTGGGGGTCTTTGTGGAGGGATTAAAGGGATGCAAGTATACCCCATGCTCCCCTACTCCAAATACTAATACCCTCTCTTTTTAGTTTCTGTTTTTGGAACACCTTGTTTTCCAGGGAAAGTACCGATCCCTGTTTTTGTTCAGGGTTGACATCATACCCTATCGAGTATTGGGTGATTCCGGGGGTAGGTGTTTTCACATTTTTTGTTCCGGGTTTTCCTGCATGTTCCCCTTCACTCGCTTTCGCACGATTCCGACCGGAATCGACTTTTTTTGGATCTGGGTTCCCATTTTGGGTGGCCCAAGGTGGTGAACTTTATAGGTTTGGACGAGATGATCATTTCTCTTGGTGCCTCCGAGCCGTCCGCTTTGGTCCCTTAGCGCTTTAGCTTTTTAAAGTTCACCCCGGATTAAGCAGAACCCCTGGTTGATTTTCATCGGGGGGTGTCCCCTTTTAGTGGTTGGATTCAGACCACTTTTGGAGGGGACACCCCCCCAATAAGTGGGACGGGTTCTACTTAGATCCTGGGTCAACAGGTGGTTTAGTGGTTGGGTGTCCATTTCACCCACAAAAAATAGTTAGACCTCGAGCAGTGGATCTGAGGACAGAAACCAGTTTGGTTTCAACTTCAGGTCACCTCGTTTTTTCCACTTCAGAGTCTCTTCCGGCCTCCGGAAGCTCAAGCCTCCGTGTTTCTTTTTCCGGGGGGCCGGCCGTTTTTTTTTTGAGGGGGTTGCCAGGGGTTGCCTTCTGATCACTTCCTGGGAGCCTGGGATTTTACGCCTTTTGGCGGGACCTTTTGCCTTCCCCAGAATTAGCTCCCCTTTTTTCTTTTTTTCTTTTTTGGGTTCCCCTTGTTTCCCACTCACCAGGCAAAACAAAGTCATCTTTTTGCTGGGGTCCGATGTTTCAGCCTAGTTTCGTTTGATTTTTGCTCATCCACTCCGGAAGTTTTTTTTTTTTGGGTGAGCCTTTAAAAGGCCACTAATCAGTATCTTTAGACCACCTTGGACGCTTTTTCCATGCATTTGCCTGGGGAACAACAAACTTCTCTTCCCAGCTTCAAATAGGTGGTGTTTTGTCAATTGGCATTTTTATGCTAAACCTGGCCTCGCGCAAAATACTCCGTTTTTGAGTCAGGGGTGGGCAAATCTTAGACAATTCACAGCCCATCGGAAAACAAGGGTGTAAAAACGAGGCCACTGGGTCACAACGACTGCTTTTTGGACAGCACTTGGGGTCTACATCGAAAAGAGCAGGACATTGTGCGGGATCTGTGGATGACCATCGTGCGCGGGAAGCCGAAGCCGGAAGATCGCCGAATTTCTCGGAATCCACCGGAAGCATCCCAACTTGAAAAGGCACAAAGAAAAAGCCACCAAAGGCTCGCAAGGCACGTAACCCAAAGAAAGCCAGAAAAATACAAGGCAGTGGTTCGCCAAAAAGTGGCATGACCTTTTTGTTGCTCCATTTTGGCCCCAAAAAGTTATAAGATTCTATTTCTGGGCCCGGGGCAAGGGAGTAGAGGAAATCGCCGAGTTCCCCGACGCAGGCCTTCGACCTTCCGACCTGCGAAGTGCAGCCGCTGACGCCCTGGCTGCAGCAGGCGCGGAGAGGTTTCCATCGGGAAGCCAGAGGAAAACCTCCAGCTTTTCTTTGGCGCATTTTGCCAAGGGATGTTGGGACTTTAACTTTTCGCATTTTTTTGGGGAAGACCCGGGTGTTCCAAGGAGAAGATTGATCCCTTTTTCAGTCAAGGGTTGACATCATGCCCTACCATGCCCTGAAAAAAGGGGTGTTGGGTGTAGGGGGTATTTTTTGGAGTTGGTATTGTTGACCCCGGATTAAACCACTGCTGGCTTGTTGTTAATACGGGGATGTCCCGTTTTAGTGGTTCATCCTTTGGAGCGGCCCTCACCCCCCGAGAAAAGAAGAGGATGGGTTCCACTTGTATCAAAAAGGTTAACATTATTCGTTTTGGATAGGTGTGAAAGGGAAGTCAGAAGGCAACCACCCATTTTGTGGGGAGTTCCGATTCTTATTTTGAGACAAGTCCCTCTTAAAGCCCAAGAAACCTCGATCCACTCGCAGCTTTGCCGATGTTCCAAAGGATCTCCAAAGACGAGCCCGTCAAAAAAATAGAAATAAGCATGTTAATAATAACAATGATAATAATGATAATAATTATAATGATAATGCTAATCCTACTACTACTACTCCTACTACTACTACACTGCTGCTGCTGCTGCTGCTGTTGCTGCTGCTACTGCTACTACTACTAGTACTGAGACTACTACTACTACTACGACTACTACTACTACTACTACTACTACTACTACTACTACTACTACTACTACTACTACTACTACTACTACTACTACTACTACCGTTGCCAGGCATGAAGCCAACGTGAGGGCATGCCCATGTGCAAGGCCATGCGGTTTCTTTGTCCAGAGTGAAGGTTTGAAGCATTGCCAAGCATGCAGCCAACATGACACTTCAACGTGAGGGCATGTCCATGTGCAAGGCCATGCGGTTTCTTTGTCCAGAGTGAAGGTTTGAAGCGTTGCCAGGCATGAAGCCAACGTGAGGGCATGCCCATGTGCAAGGCCATGCGGTTTCTTTGTCCTTTGAAGTCATGCAGGGAATGTTTGCAAGGCCAAGCAGCGTTGCCAAGCATGCAGCCAACGCGAGGGCATGTCCATGTGCAAGGCCATGCGGTTTCTTTGTCCAGAGTGAAGGTTTGAAGCGTTGCCAAGCATGCAGCCAACGCGAGGGCATGTCCATGTGCAAGGCCATGCGGTTTCTTTGTCCAGAGTGAAGGTTTGACGCATTACCAAGCATGCAGAAACGTGAGGGCATGTCCACGCGCAAGGCCATGCGGTTTCTTTTTCCAGAGTGAAGGTTTGAAGCGTTGCCACATGCGTGGCAGACTGACTTGCAGCTCTGAAATGTTCCTGGGTTGCTACAGGTGAGCTAATTGAAGGCACAGCGGAGTGATTTGAAGAGTTGGATGGCCTGGAGGACCCTGTTAGGGCCTACTTCTACGCCTCTAAACCCTAAAGCCCCAAGACTTTAAATCCTAGGCCCTATTTCATTCGTGTTAACATTCTGGACTATCCTGTGATATCATGACTATAGGGGTCTCCAAAATAATTTTCAATGTTTGGTTTGGGTACTATAATTCTAAGAAGAACCAAAGAAATATAGTTCGAAAGTACCACGGAACAGTCCAAATGAATTGCCAGCAACGTGTGGACACCACGTATTTTCATATGAATGATTACATCGATGAAGCACCCTGACACTGTAAAAAAATGAAGCTTAAATTCCAATTCGCGAAGTTTCGGCCGAATTTCGGCCCCGAGATGGTCTTGGAGTTTCCTAGGCTGCGTCGGTGAGTCGGTGAGATGCAACAAGCTCTGGAGGATGCCCAGAAGCACGAGCTTCTGCAGCACTACAACGTGCGCAGCATTGCAGACGCCGCGCTGGCTGAATTCACTGCAGGAAATTGGTACAGTCAGCTGACGTGGATGTGGTTGCACGAAAAAAATGGGCTTGCAGAAGCAGAACTTCAAGAAGGTGAGCAATAGCGCAAGAGCCTTGTATGAAGTGATCAAAAGGATCATGGAGAGCCAGCACGGGCCACTTACTGAAGCACAGCTGCAGCAGGAGCCCACTTCAAGCTCCAAACGAAAGGCGCCAGAGCCTTTTGCGCCTGTGCCGCCGAGATTCGGCTTCAAGGCCTTGATTGAAGACCAGAGTCAGTTGGAGTCTGGCTTGGTCACCAGGACTGCAGGGTGTTGGTGAGGATTACCAATAATAGAAGGCCTAGTCGAATGGTAGCAGTATGTAACAACTTCTTGTAATTCCATTTTGGCGGAGTCGCCGTAGGCCTTAGGCAGTGATCTTGATGTCCCTTATAAAGCTCCACAAATATTTACACCCTCAACTCTAACCCTCAAGTAGTATCATACTTCATGCCTGCTTTTGGTCTGGCGGAGTCGCCGTAGGCCTTGGGCAGTGCTCTTAATGTCCCTCATAAAGGTCCACAAATATCTAAGCCTTCAACCCAATAGCCAATAGCCTGAAGTGCCGTACAGTACTTCGTGCCTGCTTTAGGTCTGGCGGAGTCGCCGTAGGCCGTAGGCAGTGATCTTGATGTCCCTTATAAAGCTCCACCAACTGCGCCACCAATATTTAAACCCTCAACTTGAACCCTCAAGTAGTATCATACTTCATGCCTGCTTTTGGTCTGGCGGAGTCGCCGTAGGCCTGAAGCCGCATTCTAAACCCTAGCCCTAGCCCTAAACCCTAATGATAGAATATGTCATGTGTCTAGTCTAGTGCCATCAATCCTTAACGTCTCGATCAGGAAGCAGGGCGTATGGGGCGACGTGACGGACTTTGTGACTGCGTCACTCGCTGCCGGCGGCGCTGGCCCCAGATCGTCGCAGTACAATGCTCCACTTCCTGGCGGCGGATGCCGCTATATCCTGATGATGAGGCAGGACAACACGTACGTTGTCACAAACCGGTGCAACAAAGTCCGGCTCGCCGCAGGTTGCAGACATGGAGATGCCTGCAGCCACTGCCATGTGCATCCTGTCACTGCTGCTGAAGATCAAAAGCGCTCCTCCCGCGGCTACTCCAAGAAGATGCGCAAGAGCGGGGCGGAGGATATGGACAAGAGCGAGGCTGAGGAGCTGGAGCAGCGGCGGCGCGTGAGCCAAGAGACCGCGGCCATGCAGAAAACAGTGACAGGCCTGCTCCGCGTTGGGAAGTTGATAGAGTGCAAGCCTGGCCACTACGCCTCTGTCACCGTTATGACCCTGAAGAGAAATCTCGAACGCGGCGAGGCAACCTCCCGACGAGTGAAGCTGCACTGGGTCTGGATCCCAATTCAACCTTTATTTTTTCCGGCTACGATTTCAAGTCAAGCGAGAACTACATCCCAAACACAGTGGAAGGTCGACAAGCACTCTGGGATGGCTTGGCGTGGAAATTGCTCCCACATTTATTGCACCATTCCGTGTATGAGCCGGCTCAGTGGCACATAGTTTGCGAGGACGACTGTTTGCCAAGAATATCTGGAGAAAGCATCATGCAGAAGTTGTACGACACGTTTGGTCAGTGCGACCTTAGCTTTCTTGGGTACTTCAATGATGGAGTCAAACAGAAGTTGGCTCACACACCTCCTTGCAGCTGCACCAAGCCAAATCACGAATTTGGAAGGAAACTGATACGTGCGGACCACAGATGAACGAACTGCTGGTGGATTAGGGGGGTGTTCCCTGTTAGTGGGGGCTCAGACCACTGCTTATCTTGGGGCCGGACACCCATCCGTGGATCACATGTGAGTTGTTTTTTGAGCATGTACGGGTGGAGGTTAATCCAGGAGGGGGCCGCCGGTTTTGCATGCTTACATGTTTTTCAGTTCTACCAATTTGAGTACCTATTTTTGACCCACACTGACATAGGCTTAACTCTTCCAAGCGAGCGGGAGCTCAAAGGCATCAGCCCAGAAGGCAACCGTTTGGTAGGTGAGGCATGGGCCTTGCGAACCACATTTCGCAGTCAATCTACAAAGGGGACAATGATGAATATTGACCACAAACCACAACCGAAGCCGGGCCTAGGGCAAACCAGTACAAGATGGCGTCTCAGCGCAACCGCGTTTGCAACTGGGCGCACCGCGCCAGAGAAGCCACCCAGCAAACCAACCAGCCCGGGTCGGGGACCCTCAAATCTGGCACTTCACCGCGCCCTTCCTAATGCCAATCGCGTTTTTGGTAATGGCTTGAACAATGTCAGGTGGTTGTGCACATTTTCGCTGTTTTTTTGTTGTAGGAGGGGGAAACTCCTGGTTCTTGCACATTGAAAATGGGAAACCATTCTCGAACCTCGAAACCAGCCAGGGAAACTGACAGTCGGGTTTCCATGGCAGATACCTCCTTCCTCAGTCAGGATTTCACATCCTACCCTAAAAAGTGATTATTGGGTGAGTACGGGCTAGCTTTTCCATGTCTGTTAGGAACCCCTATTTCGTGCTTTGCCTTGTTGAGCTTGTGACCTTTGGTTATACTACAACTACAACTACTATTGCTACTACTACCAATAATAGTAACTTTTATCCAGGTGCTCTACGGGACAAACATGGGTGTGGTCGCCAAACAAATCGGGTAACCTCAAAATCGGTTGCCCGATCAATAACGGGAAAGGACCAAAACCTGCGGTCCCTTGGTTTAATTTTGACCCATACCCAAATGACAACCCCTAGAGTGTGGTGAGTAGTTTGAATCGAGATTTCAAGCCCCTTGTAGAGGATAAATGGGGCAAACAGCACCCCTACCACACCAAACCATGAACGGGGAGGTTAACCAAGTTTTCCCGGTAAACATCTTCAGAGCGCAGTCTCTGCTTCCGTCACGGTGGTTCATTTGCTGTTTACCCACTCCCAGAGCTCATCGACTCTAGTCACTCTTGGGTTTGGGCTACTTGAGTGGCAAACAACAAGTTTGGTTACTTCTTTGGGCCAAGCCGCTCAGAAAGTGTGTGAAATAGACCAAACCAAGACGGGGCCGCTGGGATTCTGAGTTTTACACAAATAATCCAGGAAATATGGACCAGACTACGTGGTGATTTCGTTTGGCGGGCAACCCGGGCTTTTTGTCAGTGTATTTTTTTGAACAACCGGATTTATTTGTTTCTTTCTTTCGTTCTTTCTTTTTTTCCCATGGGAACCGTTCTTATTTCTATCATTGGAATTCTTTTGAAATCACACTCATGGAGGGGGGGGAGATCCTTTGGTTTCCCCAACGTACCTTTAGAAATATATCCAAAAATGGCCGCATGGGGCCTTTGCGGCCGCTGCCAGACGCGAACGCGAACCACACGGCCCATGTTTGGTGGCTCTGGTGGTTCCCCGCCGCCAATGAGTGAGGTTGGGACAGCGATATGCTGTTCGTGCAGTTGATGCTATATAGATTTAGCATAGGCTGCCCTCGAGCAGCAGCAAGCCCTTGACCACAAGGCTGCCACGGAGCGGGACGAGATGCCACATCCGGAGGTCGCTGCCAGCTGCCCCTGTTGGGTCTTGAAGGGGGTCGAAGTCACTGGACATATTATATTATTATTTTTTGCTTGGGGATGTATTCTGCAAATGGAGGGAAGCACTGAGGTTCCTCAGGCTGAAGGAAGTTCTCACGGACCTTTTTTTCCATTAAAATCTCCGTCTTCCACACAGATGAAACAAGCAACCAGATAGAAAGTCCCCTAAGTGGTCTTCTAGGAACCCTCCGTGGTGGATGGGGATGGTCCCCGGAAAAAAAAAAAAAAACACGCCAACTCGGGTGTTAGGGATTGGACCCCCCAACATGCTTACGGGCTTCCTGTAAACCAACCTGGAAAGGGTACCCCCTAGTTGCCGAACTGAATATTTGTGATTTTCCCCTTGTTTAGTCTAAAGGGAATCTATCGCTACTGCCTGGACTCTCCTTGACCCCTTAAAAATGGGGTCATCACCCAAAATCATGGGGTCATCACCCAAAATCATGGGGTCATGACCCCATTTTTGAAGAATCACGGAGACTCCAGGTAAGTCACAGTCAAAACCTGGGTAAGTGAAGGTTAGTCTGGGACAATCCCAACCATAAATAGCTGCGGATAGCCGCGCTCATAATTTTGAAGCATGGTTCTGGGAGTATGACCATTTTAATACCGGGTTTTGATTATGACTCCAGGTGGTCCGATGGGGCGAAGTCTGCTCAGGTTTCCTGCAGCTCTGGCTCGGGCATGGCCGGAGGCCCAGAAGGGGGGGGGGTTGTGCTTTGCGGTTTGCAGCGTGAGCCATGAAGGTGCCACTCGTTAAGAAGTCGATGTTTCAATATACCTGTCCGTGAAGAACATGCCTCAAACCAAAGCGGGGCGAGGGTGGGTTCGGGATACCCTCGAGCCAAAATCAACACCCAGGTAGATGAAGGTAGGGAGCATCCCCTTGCCACTCGTTAGAAAGTCGATGTCTCAACTCGGTCCCCCAGCTAGGTGCCAACTTTTACCCCTTTTTAAAAATGGGTACCCTTATTCTAACCTCTCTACTGGAGGACCCTGGTCAATATACCTGTCCGTGAAGAAAATGGCTTCCATGTTGTTGTTGTTGTTGTTGTTGTTGTTGTTGTTGTTGTTGTTGTTGTTGTTGTTGTTGTTGTTGTTGTTGTTGTTGTTGTTGTTGTTGTTGTTGTTGTTGTTGTTGTTGTTGTTGTTGTTGTTGTGGTTTTAACAGGATTCTGACATACTTTGTCCAGGGGGCTTAATCAAATGGATGTTATATGCCCTCATGAATGAATCCGCCCTGTGTTGGTTCCATGTGGAGGGGAATCTCCTTTATAACCTACCTACCCAAGAAACCTCCTACACCCAATGCCAACTTTTCCAGGAGATGGTAGGGTATGATGTCAACACTTGACTGAAAAAGGACGGATTTTCCTGGAAAGCTAAAGCAACGTGCGGGTGTCTGGAGCAAGGGGGTGCTTGTCCGCGTCATGATTGATGCCCCCAGTTGCTGAACCAACCACGCGTGTATGAATGGGGGTTGATCGGGAGGTCATTTACAGAACCCACCCGAAAAAGACGATGTTCACCACACAATGGGCAAAGTCCCCCATGATCTTGTTGGGGCCAGGAGTATTGATCAACCCCAACGGTTTATTTCGCGCAGGGGAACCCTCTTTATCAACAAAACAACGGTGCCGATTTGTCGTTCCTTTCCTGGATGGGAGTCCACGGGTCGACCGTGGTGCTCTTTTTGGGACGCGCCGTGCGTTTCATTTTTTTTTCCCCCAGAGGACTTAAGCAAATGGGAGTTGAGTCACAACCGTCTTTTATTGCCACTCCCAGGAAGCACGTGCTTGCAGGTTTCGCTCTCTTTTAAAAGAAGTCTTGCGTTCTTGAAGTTTGACGCAAAGCTTGGGAATGCCAAGAATTCGGCAAGCACCTCGAACGGGGGGGTCCCCAATCCGAGCATGGTTGGAACTTGGGTCTTCGATTCGCCAAGTTAGTAAGTTGTTCAGTTCTAACCCACTTAGAAGTTCCCCGTTCAGTGAGGTTAACAACTTGTTTCTCAGGGGCCCAGAGGCTCCGATCGGCTTCGGCTTATGGAAGACCCGACCCCTCTAGACACTTTGCTTCAGTTGGTCTAAAAACCAGGCAGGGGGTCCCATCAATCGAATTGGAGCCTTTGGGGGGTGCGAGAGTTGGACTGTGGGAATGAACCCAGGGTCTTAAAGGAAACGGTAGACTTAGGATACCATTTTACGTCTTTTACCGGTGACTCAAAGTGAAGCAAACAATAAGATATACATTCTATAACTGGCCTAACTCTAATCATGGAAACAAGAGCGGATGGTTTATGAGGGTCATTCCCTCAATGCCTGCTGAGCAGCAGCAAGTTTTGGGGCTAGCACAAACTCCCAGGTGGGGGGTTTCCCTTAGGTCTCAAGAGGTGAGTTGAGTCTCAAGTTGCACGCTGGGAGCGACTCGGAGCTTCCGAAATCGAGTTCTCTTTGGTGCATTTTGCTTGGCTCTTAGGGCTTTAACTTTTTGCCAACTAATGGGTTTTCCACTAAACCACTAAAAGTTATTCACTTTTAGCAGGGCTCCTTAAAGGATACATTTTGCCACCATTTGACACATGTGGCAATTTTTCAACACCAAAACAAAGGGAACCCGGCATTTACAAGTTGCAATGTGGTGTTTTTCATGCATCCGGATCCCTTTCGCAGGGGAGCAGAAAGCAACCGAGGATATTTTCTCACTCCACCGCTGGGCTTGCGCCGCACCGCTGCGCCTTTCGAAACCGACGGAACCGGTTCCGCGGTTAAAAGCAAAATGGCCCAAAGGTGGGAAGCACCTAGAGTCTCCATGACCCCTTAAAAATGGGGTCATTACCCCTTAATTTTGGGCAATGACCCCATTTTTCAAGGGTCATGGAGACTCCAGGCAGGTTGGTTGCTTTGCGCTACCGGAAAAAATATCGTCTTCTTGGTGAGCTCAGTTGTTCAGTGGCACCGATTTTTTTAAACATATTTTTGGTGGCTGCCCCACTAAAAAAATCGGTTTTTCCCAAAAAGGGTTCCAATTACATTTTTTCCAGGGTCACTGAACAACTGAGTGAGTCTGTTTGAACGGACCGTTGGAATGGAATTTGCGCACCGCCCCAAAGTGATTCTGAGGATCCTACCCAATGTTTTGCCAGGCGTTTTCAGTTTCCTCGCTTTGAACCTATGGTTAAATCAGGTTGCATTCCAACGTGCAAATATTCACGGAACAACCAAGTAATCATCATTGCCGGACTTTTTTTGTTGGAACCCGAAAAAGTCCGGAAAGTATTCGCCGACCGAGAATGGGGAACCCCCCCATATATACATATGTGTATATATATATGTATGTATATATATATATATATATATGATGTTGGTTTCCTGTTCAGCACCAAATACAAGGGGTTGCCTCGTTTCAGGTTTTCAGTAAAGACCGATAGAGGAACCAAAAACGATGTGTGTGCATTTCTTTTGACGTGTGTTTCCTCTTGGTTTTCGTATGCATGTGGGCAATTCTCAGAGGAACGCTTCGTTTTCTGTTGCAGCAGGTTTCTGGAGGGATGTGGACCTCAAGTATCTACTACTCAAAACATGTCGATGTTTGGAGCACGCAGGGCAGGCGATGTCAAAGTGTTTCCCTGGGCTCGGTCGCTTCGAAAATCGGCTCAAGTTGGCGTACCAAGGGCCCGACCCTAAAATCGTGGTTGTCCCTATGGTTTCCTTTTTAGTTTTACCCAAACGGTCACCCTCAAACAAAACCCTCAGCAAAAACACCCGCCTCCCGACAAGTCGCCCACCTCAAACCAAAGCGGGTGAGGGTGGGTTAGGGGCATCCAAGCCACAATCAACGCCCAGGTAGATGAAGGTAGGGATCATCCCCTTGCCTTGGCCGCCTTGATTCTTGAAGCATGGTTCTGGAATTTTGGCAAGCTCGATTCGCCAAGTTCGTAGGCGGTTAGCAGCCTGTGTTATGACCTACTTACCGGCCCAACTCACTCATAAGTAGGTTATACCCAGGTGGCGACACCTTACAAACTTGGCGAATCGAACTTCGAAGTAGACCATTTTAACACCGATCAGCTTTGATTCCCCTTTCGCTGCCGAGGTCTTTCTGAACTTCACCGCCCCGCTGCCTGCCGGGGCTGCGGTGGGCCTACGCCTCTCACCGCCGGGTACCGAGGGCCGAAGAGAGAAGCACGACGGTTTTTAATTGTGAGAAGTGAAGAAGCTCACTCACGTCACGTTTTTGTTCTTTTCCTTCTTCTTTTTCTTCTGGACTTTCTCCACTTTTTGGGGTTTAGACCACGCCAACGCGGAAAGCAACATAAGTTTGGTTTCCTTTTTTGGGTTTCGCGCTCCTTGAAGGGCCGTCGAGTTTGTTCCAGACTTGGACCCATCCATCTCCAGGGGCCGTGCGACACCTCGCTCGTCGCTTGCGACACCTCGCGACGCGGGCCCAGTCGGGGAAATCTGACGCCCCAAGTCCGACATAATGTTGACCCCGGATCAATGTTGACCCCTGTTAATTAATATGGGGGTGTTTCCCTCCAGAAGTGGCCTGAATCCCCACTAAAACCGGGGAAAATAAAAGCACCCCCCATATTAATAAACAGGGGTCAACATTAATCCGGGGTCAACATTAAAGAATTACATGGGTTTGTTTGTTGATCGGTGTTTGGTTCAGAAATGGTACGGTTGTTCCACTGGTTAAACGGTTTGATTTTCCATCCCAGGGAAACAAAATATTGGTGGCTCCCAGCCCTTTTTCGTAGCTTTTTAGTTGGTTTCGTGGGGGTTTCCATTGAACCCGCAAGTTAAACTTGTAGCCGGGCATCTGAGGACAGCCCATCACAAGGTCACCTATGTGAAGAAGTTTGAAATGAGGCTGAATGAGTTTGAGACCGAGGTTGAATCAGATGGTTGGCTTCCTTCCCGGATCTGACCCTAAAAGGGGTGCACTCGGAAAATACCCTTCCATATTTTGTTGGTTCCCCTTCAACAGTGGTCTCGTTTTCCGGAAATGTATTTTGTCCATCCACCGTATGTTCCTTGTTCGGAAGAAGCAACACCCAGCCGGCCGTTTTTGTCGGACCCGAAAGCTTTCTTACACGTTGCACACACAACCAACCACTGGGTGGCGGAGATCGTGTTTGCTTTGCAGTTGGCACCCCTTTTTGAGAGGTGTTCAAGGGAGAACAAACAAGGAACAACCCACTATGTTCCTTTTTCTTTGGGGGGTTCCCCTCCACCTCAAAGGTAGTTGGCGGACATGAATCCCCACCAAAATGATTTCCATCCCCTAAGATTTGTATTCGCATGGGTTCCGAAAATAGAGGACCGGTTTTCCGCACAGGTTTGCTTTGCCCTCCAGCTATGCCGACGTGCACCCAGGGCCGGGGGCCCGAAAAAAACGAATCGAAGCGAGTGAGCTGGAGCTTCTCCAACTCTCCGAGTTGTTCTTTGGCAAAACCCCCAGCCATCTCCTCAGGTATATTATTATTATTATTCTTATTGTTATTATTATTTTAGGGTTAGTCTCATGTTTTAGTTCCTCAGCAGTTGTTCCTCGGCGTTCCCCTCAGTTCTTTTTAGCTGTTTAGTTAGTTTTAGGATTTTAAGGGTTAGCTGGGGTTTCCATTTAACCCACAAGTTAAACGTTTAGCAGGGCATCTGAGCGCAGGTTCAGGTTCCCCATTCCATGTCTTGAGGGAGCAAGTCATTTTATGTCTGCCCATCTGATAGTTGTTTTATTTATTTATTTAATTTCGTTCAATTTTATTTATTTATTTGCTTTCTTTTTTACTTACTTTTGTTTTTATTTTTTTTTGTTATTATTATTATTGTTTTACTTGTTTTTCTTGTTTATTTTACTTATTTATTTATTTATCAAGGGAGAGCATCAATTTATTCTCGGATTTCAGAGATTGTCCCCTCTAAAACAAATATATATATATATATATAAAATGTCCAGCTGGGTTATTTGAGGAATAGAAGTGCAAGTCTTGCGCATTTTACTTGTAGACCAAGTTTAATGAAACTCAGACTCAGTTGTTGAAGCCGACATTTGGACCTTTTGGTTCTCTCTTGGTCTATTTGTAGAGGTTCCACAAGGTGATCACCTTGAATACTTGGTCCTCAAAGGGCAAGAGAGACAATCCAAGTCTGTGTTGAAGTGCTGAAAGTACCTCTAAGGCCTGTGTGTATTGGTTTGGTATCGGGTCAATAAAAAGTAAGTGCTTTTTTTGTTCTCGGATTTTGGCCTGAAAGACGTATTTGTTAATAGGCCTAGGGGTGGATTGAGTATAGGGGAAAAGGGATTACTCGATATACTCTTGATGTGTTTACTTTCTCTGAACAAACATTGTCAAAGCTCTGCTCAATTGGGTTCCAGACAAGATGCATGTTTCCCAAATCAAATAATTAAATACCGCGGCCCCTGAACAAAATGGTTCAAAGGGTGTCTACATGTCGCTGACTGTACTGGGGTCTTCTCCAAGACTATTTTCTGTATGGAACAGTCTTGAAATGGTTGTGGGTCAAAGTTCAACTACCAGAAAACGGCATGTTTTAGTTTTTTACCCATGTCCACATATCATTTTCTGTGTAGCCCTTTTTTGTGTCGTCAAAAAAAAAAAAAACCGTCGAAATGCGGGACCGCCAAAACTGAACCGCCTTCCACTTCAGTGATCCAATCAAAAGAAAGACGATACATGGAAACCCAGATGTGACGTGTGTCTTTTTTGTGTCCGTACGGCTTCCGTCGGACAAAACATGGCCATGGGGTCATTTACGGCTTTCCAGGAATGGAACGCCATGGAACGCCATACACCGCTAGGTCCAGTGAGCCGCTGGTGCAACCCATGTCGCTGAACATACGCCTGGAGTCCGTTCCAGAAGCCCGGGGTTCCTGGACCGAAGTTCGAATCCGGCGAGGCGTCCGTTTGGATTGGAGATTCGAATTTGACTCGATTGTCTCGGCGGTCCCTGGCCCTGGAAAGGTTGTTCGGCTTTTTGATGATGGTTGGTGCAGTGGGGATGTAACCTACGGGATCAGTTCGACAGGATTGGTGATTTGGATTTGAAGCCCTGCAGAAATGGGACACGAAACGGTTGAACACCTTCCCGATCCACCTAAAGGGAAGCTCATTTGCAGCCTGTCCTTGCCGATAGGATTGGCCTGGGGTACTGGTCTTTGACCAAATCGCCCGTTGAACTTTTGGTTTCAACACATGGCCCACCAAAAGCTCTACCTTTTGGTCGGGGGGCTGGGAGCAATCCGGTTGCGCCCGGAGATTGCCATCTCTCTATTTGGTTGCTCCAAGTTTCCTTCTCTGACCCCAGATGTGTTTTTCGACTGGAAACAACGTCTGCGGATCCTGAAGTCTGAAGATTGGTAGCTCTTTTTCTGGAAGCCGTAAAGTGGCTGTGCATGACGAGCGATCGGGTTTTGGGTGGCTACTTTTCGTGAGTTGGGAGCTGTTGTTTGGGGGAAGCCCTTTTAGCGTGAAAAAGCACGTAGCCATAGTTGGATGGTACTCAACGACTAAACGGTAGCATAGGAAGGGCTACTTTGAAAAACATGGCCACGGGTGTGTATTGTTCTACATATGATATATACATTGACACACACACATATATATATATATATATGGCCTAGTGACGCACGAAGTGGGCGGATGTAGCCGAACAAAAATCTGAAGAGAATGAGAGAATGACACCCATAAACCATCCCTTGTGGTTTCAAGCCCCAGGTTCATTTCCTCATTTCCTACCTATCGCACCACCAAGATAAGCCCACGATTTCGCCTACAGCCCACATTGCGGGCCTGGAGGGCCCCCCGGGTTCAAAGGTGGTTATATTAACCAGGGCTCCTTAAAAGATACATTTTGCAACCATTTGAAACATGTTGTTTTTTCCACCAAAATGAAAGGACACCGCCATTTACAAGGCAATGTTCCAATGTTCAGGTGTATAATGTAAGGATCCCTGTTCACCCAAGCATTGTTTCAATGGTGGCTTGCTGAACCCGGGGAGGTCGACAGTTCGGGACCTCCTTTTGGCTTGTTCGGCTTTGCAGGCGCCGATGGCGGCTTTCCAATTGGTCTTTCCCATTGGATCCAATTGGAAGACCCCGAGCCTTTGACGGCTTCCGGTGCCTGGGCGCAGATCTGTTCCTCGCTTCCTTGGATCCGACGCTAAGTCAAGCAGAAGAAACAGAGCCAGAATTCTTCCCCAGAATTAGCTCCCCTTTTTGCTTGTTTGCTTTTTTTGGGGCTTTGTTTGTTTTCCACTAACCAGGCAAAAAATACCTTTTTTGCTGGGGTTCTAATTCCAGCCTAGAATTGGGAAGGGGAAGTTGGGCGCCATCCAAATCAACTCCCCACCCTCTTCCCATGCCCAGTGGATCCATTTATCAATATAGTAGGTAGCCAAGGGAACCACCTTATAAAAGCAAAAAGGAGAATGAGTGGTTTCCTGCTACGCTGGCAAAACGCCTGGGATCCGTTTGGATGGAAACCTGGGCCTAGGGTTCAACCCCCTTAAGAATGGCAAGGACCCACCTTGGTTGATGAAGCTCCTTAGGTCAATAATTATCTCGGTGGCTCCCAGCCATCCCCTTAGCTTTTTAGCTTTTCAGTGTTTGTTTGTTTTTTTCTCCATGTAACCTACAAGCTAAGCTTTTAGCAGGGGATCTGGGGGCCGCCCAGTATAATGGTGGTGATAGCCCGACCATGGCTTGAATGCTGTCTAAGAGTAAAATTACATACCCAAAAAGTACATACCCACTATATAGTCACCTTTTTTGGGGTATGTGATTTCGGGGTATGCAGAAAAACCTCTTAGATGTTGGCTTGCCTGGGAGAACCCAACTCCCCGAGCCTTTTCGGCGCGCGCGAGGGCACAGACACCGTGGACGCCTGCCATCCGGCCGCCGCGCCCTGAGAGAGCGCCACGGCCCTCCGCTAGGCGTGGGGAGTAGGTTTCTGTCTCATGACTGGGCGCCTCCCAGCCGCCCTCTTCTGGTTGTTCTTAGGGTTTCGTGGTTGTTTCGGTTTCCATTCAGCCCACTACAAGTTCAACTTTTTGCAGGGGATTTCAGGACAGCCCAGATGAAAAATGGGGGGCAGGTGTCTTTTTGTTGGGGAACAGAAGGAGTCACTCCCTGAGTTCCGTTTCGGACTTCAGTCACTTTTCGTGTTTGGATGCCCTTTCAGTGGCAAAGAGAAAGTCTGCACTTTGTTCGGCCCCTCAACTCAGGAACCCATGCGGGCTCCTCTATTATTATGCGAACCCAACATGTCCAATTTGTCAGATGTCGCTGGGGTTCAGGCAGGCCACCAATACAACAATGGTCGGGTTAATAGAACCACCGTTGTGTACCTAAGAACTGTCATCATCTAACTTGGGTCCTTGCCATTCTTTTAATGGGGGTTGAAGCCTAAGGATTCTGTTTCAGACTTCCTCAAAATGAACATGGCCATCTCGGGGTGGAAGTACTTGCCAATCCACTTTAGGCCGGGGTACCCATTTTGGGACAGGGGTATGAACATGGGCACGAGGAAGTGCTGAAGTTATTTTTTGGCAATCCGAGTTCGCCTGTCGACCAGTTCCCTGTGTCAGGGTCCCAAGGACACAGTAGGTGACTCGAAGGTGTATCCTACTGTGGATGGGTCCTCGAAATCCATTTCGCACCACCGTTCAGAAACCCCTGGTTTCTGATGATTCACCCATGAAAAAACCAACAAACGTTATGGTTTCAACTTCAACCATGGCTTTCTCAGGTGGTGCGACACGGATTTCGAGGACCCATCCACAGGGCCCTGGGGAACATGACATGAGGGGAGCTGGCAGGTGTGGGCCTGCGGCTTGTACCCGTGGTGGCCTCAGTCCGCGGTCCGGTGGCTTTGGATGGGTTTGGAGGGGGTTTCATGGTGGATGGGGTTTTGATGGGCTTGTTGATGGGTTTGTTGATGGGTGTTTGATGGTTTTGATGGGTTTTTGATGGGTTTTTTGATAGGTTTTATGGGGTTTTGATGGGTTTTATGGGGTTTGGGCCACCTGTTGCCCTTCCTGAACAAAAGGTCTGGGGCCCCTCCCAAAAAAAAATCGGGGAGGAGCCAACGAGGCCAAGGAATTTGCCGGGGGGAGGGTCCGATATTGGGGGAAAACGAGGAAAACAACTATAGCCACCGAAGAAGATTTAGGAAGGAAAAGGGGTCTGTCTTTGCTGAGCGCACTTGGGTGCTCGATTCGCCTATTTAATGTTAACCCCGGATTGATCACTGGTATCAGCTGCGCAGTTTTGATGGTGTCCTCAGGCCGCCGCCTGCCGGCGCATTGTGCGTCATCAATGTTGCCCGCGAGGTCCGCCACACGATCCGCTCAATGTTGAAACGTACCCTGTTTCCGAATTGGCTCATACAGTCCAAGGACAGAGGCAAGGCGAGGACACAAAGCTCAGAGGAAGGCTATTACGAAGCTGGCAACATGGTGTGGGAGGTTCTGCACTGGCTCGGCGGCCTCTACATGTTGCCCTTCAGCTCAGGCCTGGTTGAGGACCGGTCGCGGAATATGCGCATCCCAACTGACACATATGGGACTGCCAGCAACAAATCGTCGAAAGGCATCTTTAATGGGAACACCCTCGTAATAATTGGACGGGCTTATTAATCCTAGGTGAACATTCGTGAATGGATAGTTGCCGTTCGGGTTTTAAAACCTTACAACCGGCCCAACTCAGTCAACAGTAGGTTATAACCGAACGGTCCAGTTACTAACTTGGCGAATCGAGCGCCCAAGTACCCCATGTCAAGGGAAGCCAAAAGGACAACCACAAATTTTGGGGGTCCCCTAACAAAGACACACCCATATGGGTTGGTCTGCAATTGACCTTTCAAATGGGTGGCTTCGTTTTTGGTTTCCCTCTAGACCAACCTGGAAAATGCTACCCGCAAAACACCCCTCATAGTACCTCTGGAAGCTCCGAATACCCGGCTTCAATTCCGAAATGCAACCGGGTGTTCCATGGTAAATGTGTCCTTTTTAGTCAGGGGTTGACACATCATATCCTGTGACACCCTGAAAAACGTGTATATCGAGTGATTACGGGGGTATGCCTTCGGGTAGCGTAAATATGAACAGAATCCGAGCATGTTGTTTTCAGCATACGGCAACCCAAACTTTTGGGTGCTCTTTTTTGACCTGCAGCAAATTTGAGATGGGCGTGTCTCTTTTTGAGGATACCCTTTGTACGTTTGTGTTTAGGGACACCAAAAGAAGGCGACGACCATTTTAGGGGCACCCTATTTTGAGTCATTGAGGCAAATCCATGTCTCTGCTGCTATTGGTTTGGATCTTTAGACTCAAACTTTCTGGATTCCCCGAAAAAGTCCTTTAACCTGCAACAAATTGAGCACTTTTTGCTTGGGGATCTGCAGCACCCACCCCTATCTCTCGTATCTCTCAGCAGGGAACGAGAGACCAAGAAACAATCCCCAAGCATAGGCGTCCGTTTTGGTTGATTTGTTGAAAAATAGAGGGCCCTGGTTTACCTGGTGTTTCAATCAACTATCTGGGCCGTCTATTTTCCTAAAAAGGACACCTATGTCCCCAACGGCTTCCCTTATTCGGGAACCCCCTTCCGGTCATTCTCAAAACCAGGACTGGTCATTAAGATCGCACCCGCATGTTTTGACCCACAGCCAAATAAAGATGGGTGTGTTTGTTTTAAGGGTTCCCATGTTCTGTTGAAACCAACAAATCCACACGACGATCATTTTACCTGGTGGCTCCCAGCCATCCCCTCAGCCTTTTAGTTTTAGTGGTTGGGATTTCCATTAAACCCACGCGAAGTTAAAAACTTCGGGGATCTGAGAACGGACAGCCCAGTTTTGGGGCACTTCTAGAAAGGACCACCCGCCATACGTCGACAGGTTTGGGGGCCTCGTGCTGCGGCCCTCCAAGTCCCGATTCGCCTCCTTCCAGGCGCAGTTTCGATGTCGAAAAGCGATTCGGAGCGAGCGAGAAAAGGTCAGGGTGGCGGGTGGGTTCCGTTTTTGTTGGTTGGCACTCCTTGTCGTTTGTGGGGTTCAAAGGAAAGCCAAAGGAGGACCACGTGCTTCTTTTTTTAGATATATATATATATAGTGTTTTTTTTTGGGAGGTCCCTAGGTCTAGTTTAGTGGTCTAGTTTCTGAGATGCCTTGGAAGCAGGTGGGTTTTTGCTTGGTGGGAAACCCAGCCATCCGGCTCCGTGCCAGTGCGTAAGCATTTGACCCCTCATATGTCTCCCACATACCGACTATTTTCAGGAATTGATAATGTCGAACACTAGCTTAAAAAAACTACCACGGCAAAACTGAATTCAACATATATCAACTAAAACAATATTGCTGGTTTTTAAAATATTTGGGACAACTTGCTATTTCACCCAGGTGTTGCCCTTAACCGGTGCAATAGGTTGGGGGACCAGCACACAGTTGCCACATTGGTCCTTTCTGGTTTGGCTCCCCACTCCTAATGGCGAACCCCAAAAAAACCTCGTTCCGGCTTCCTTACGCGGGGGTGGTTGTTTTGAGGACACCCGTTGTTTTCTGGTTGTAACTCCACCATTAGTTGTTCTTCTTCGGGGGGAACCCCTAAAGAATCCCCACATCTATACTGGGCTGTCCTCAGATCCCCTGCTCAAAGATAAACGTTTAGTGGCATAGTGGGTTGAATGGAAACCACTAAACCAACTATGAACAACTCAAAAGGATTTTGGAGTCGCCCACGGACCCATGCTAGAATCTAAATATTGATATTTGGTTTCTCATCGTAGTGGTCCCCTTGGTGTCCCTTCAAATACCAACAAGGCAGAACTGCGTTCTGAGAAACGCCCTTACAGGCCCTTATGCTGGCCAGAAACGGAAGGAACAACCACCATGTTAGAGTTCGATTCCCTGTTTTGACTTCCCTACCCATAGCTGGGTCAACGTTGCTACTATCTGATGTTTTTGCCCTGTAAAATGATGAAACAAAAAGAACCTGAGTAAAGGGTTGAAGCCAAAAGGAGACTAGGTCTCCCAGTAGTGCACTTTTGCCCCTTTTTTGGGGGAAGGGTTCCCCTACTAAAATAGACTACAGCAACAAAAATGGTATTATTCTAACTTTTTTCTAGTGGAGGACCTAGGAGATGGTCCGATGGTCTGGGTTTGAGCAGGGCCCTGTTTCAGGGTACAGTTTTTTTCCAGCGAAGGTGGAAGTGTCCGGCACCTGGGCCATGCTGCGCTTCGCTGTCCCTTGGCAGAAGGGAACATTGCGCTGAAGGCGGCGAGGTGGAGCGAAGCTCTGTTCACAGAGTTTTTCATAAAGCAACAAAGAGGCGGCCACTAGACTTCCATTTGCCTAAGTCCCCAGGGATTTTGCTTGGCACAGGAGCTCCTCCTAGCGGTCGTTCAAAAAAAAGAAGTCCCCAGGAAAAGAATCTGAAACGCAAATGAAACCCACATAGCATTCAGTCCAGGACCACGGTTGGGGCTTTCCAGACCCTGAGTCGACTCCCATCCAGGAAAGAACAGCAACTCGGCGCCTTTTTTTGTTGAGAATGAGGATCCCCTGCACGAAACACACACGTCGGGGTTGATCAATATTCCGTTCGGCCCCCAAAACACCATGGGTAACTTTCCCATGTAGTGTTTGGTGGTTTTCCCCAATGGTTGTGTAGAGGACCTTTTGATCCACCCACAAAGTCACCCCATTTGGACCATCCGAAGCATCTTCGCCCAAGGAAAGATTCAGAGCCACAATCAAAACCCGGGTAGATGAAGGTTATTAATGGCAGTCCCAGCCGGAAATAGTTGCGGCCGCCTTTCTACTTCTTTACATGGTTCTGGGTTCACCATTTTTGTACCAGGTTTTTATTGTGCCTCAAATGGGATTCAGACTACCTTTTAGTGGGTAAAGGATGGGGCATTTGGAGCGGGAAACTGGTGGGGTCGCGCATACCCGGCATACCCCCCCCCCATTCAACTGATGTGCACAACCCAAGAGAACTCTGGTGGCACTGTTGGCACCGATGTTTTCCTCAAGTGCAAGCGGTTCGGTCCGGCACTCCGAGGTGAACGCCACCCTGCAATTTCTAGGTAACCCGCAGGACGGCGGGTTCAAGACGCGGACCTGTGGTGCCAATTCTCTACAGGGTTTTTCGTCCCGGTATGAAGAAGCGGACATGGACAAGAAGCATATGAGCAACCTACTCGGGAAGCTGACCTAAAAAACCAGGACATACTGTGGATGGACAGAATCCTGCACCACTTTGAAAACCATGGTTGAAAGAATTGTTTGTTGGCATTGACAGGTGAATCATCAGAAACCAGGGTTTCTGAACGGTGATGCGTTTTATGGATTTCGCAACCATCCACAGTATTTGCTCTTTGTTTGGTTTCCACTTGCAAGTTTGCAGCTGCAAGCTTGCCGCACCCAGGCCTTTTTTCTTCAATAGGAACCACCTCAAAATTTGTTGATGGACATGAATCCCCGCCCAAATGATGTTCACGAAAAGGGTTTCCTAGCTAAGATCCATACCCGCCAACAAAACCCGCCTGCCTGCCCAGCTTCATGATTGTTGAAATGAGGGTATCCCCGCTGTTCAAGCTTAGGATGTCAAGCAATTGCGTACGCCTGAACTCGTTTCGGGTTCGGTTGCTTGCATCCTGTTTTCAATGAGCATACAGGACTGCTTTAAACGCTCTTGAATGACCAGAGGTGCTCAAAAGGGCATCTGTAGGAAACCGCTGCCATTTGCGCTAATTACATTGGGCCTCTTTGTAGGCCCGCCCTGACAGTTCAGTGTCACCTTTGGGGGGTCCAACAAAAAAACTATACTTGGGTCCTGGGTGTGTGTGTGTGTGTATTTTTCAGGCCAAATGGTGGTTTTCGGGCTTCGTTTCACAAGCATCAAAAAAGGAGTGCCCTAAATAAACAGACACAAGCTCTGGAATTAAACGCGCTTACCCATGGTAAGTTTCTTGGCTGCTTCATTCGAGGTGTTGGAGCTATTGCAGAGTTTTGAAGATAGAATGGTCACTGGGTCCCCCAGTAGTGCCCTTTTACCAATTGTTTGGGCGAGGGTTCCCCTACTAAAATAGACTACAGAAGAAAAACAACAAACGTGTACCCTTATTCTAACATCTCTACTGGAGGTCCTAGAAGTGGCAACCAAAAAGTTTAGGCTGTTTTTTGCCAACCCACCCAGGAAGTGAAGATGGTCCCGCCTGGATCGCCCCCATGTCTAAAAAGACTGCACTCTCCTGTCCCCTACCCCGGAACCCACCAGAGGTTTTTTTTTGAAGGAAACTTGTCCATGTTTGGCGGAAGGGAAGGTCACCTCACCTTCCATTTGCTTGAGAGTATCTTTTGCTTTCTCTTGCTGGTTTTAGCAAGGAATTTATCACTACTTTGTTTTTTCCCCCCGGGGGTCTTAACCAAATGGAAGTCACTTCCTGAGCTCTTGGCCGTTAGACACTTTTTGGAAAGACCGATTTAGTGCTTGTCGGCTCCCATCCAATCGATCGGTGAGTAACTCAGCTAAGCTGTATTCAATATTTTATCTAGGGCCCGCAAATGGCCATGACAATGGGATTAACGTGTCAGCCACGTGGTTGAAATACATCATTATATCATATTTTTCTCGTCGTGTTCCAACCAATCAACTCATGTAACTTGCTGGTTCTCAGGGAATGAGGGAACGACCCCCGCGAAAAAGAAAAAAAACACATGCACACACAAACAAAAAGCACATCCTCTGTCTGGGAATCCCTAGGTTCAGTCCCACAAACCTCGGTCATCCTATGTTTATCAGATCTTTTAGTCAACCCCCCCAGATCTGCACTGCGCCTTCTCTTCCGAGGCAAAACGGTCCGCTGGACCAGACAAGTGGAACCAGCAGTCAATGGGTTTTAGATGGTTTTAGGACACTGCTCATCTTGGGTTTTCTTGGCGGTTCCCAGCAAAGCGTCCGGTTCCAGAGCTTGGTCTATGTTTTTTTGAGGGGTTAGCGGTAAAGTAGTTCCCATTCGCCCACTAAAAGTTGTCGACATTTCGGAAGGGGATCTGAAAACAGCCCAGTTTTGACACTTGAGTTGGACGCACCCAGATCCCTCGGCGCCAGGACGTGCTGAAGATCAGCGGGAGCCCTGGACGAAGTTCATCCGAGCATGGGAAGCATCAACCAGGGTTGGGCAAAAGGTTGCCCTGTTGTTTTCCTGCAAGCCCTGAGAGGTTCCCACAACGGCTGCGCAACATGTGCATACAAGACCCTCCACTCAAATGAATCTGCCCAGGTTCCAACAGATCGACCTCAACCCTAAGGCCCCCCCAAAAAAAACACACCTGTAAAATGAGGTTGTGCGTATTTGCATTTTTATGGCAAACTTTGATTTTAGTTTAGTATTCAGATGCGCTCGCAAAACAATCAAGGCGCATGGAAATGCCAACCCAAACAGGTGTCATTTCAAAGCAACGCTGATGTTTCATACAATCTTACATGTTCTTGCAGAGGGAATATCATCGGGTTACCCTAAATCAAGGGTGCGTCTCCCCCTGCAGCATTCTCTGGAGGGTTCCTTCCAGTCTCGCTCAGTCTGTGAAGAGGTATTCAACCTTTGGCCATGTGTTTTTTCTTTGGTGCATGTTGCTTGGATGTTCGGACTGAACAACTTTTTGCCAACAAGTGGGTTTTCCGTATTAAACCACTAAAAGTTAAATAAACTTTTAGCAGGGCTTCGCAGATTCGGCAACCGAGTTTTCATGTGGTCCATTTGGCTTCCCAAAGGGAAGCCACTTGAAAAGATAAAATTGACTTGGCGGTGCCAAGTTAGTAAGTTCCCCGGTTCGGTGGGGGCGTCCGTTTTGTCTCGGAAGTCTCTTCTCTTCCCGGGAGACGGTTTCAACCTTTGGACAGTTATTTTCTGACAATCTCGTCTCTTCCAAAGACGGTTTCAACCTTAGGACAATCGCGAAAATGGCAAGGGAGGGTAAAAAGAAGCGTAAACCCTGGACATTACCTAGATAGCCAAGTTGCGATCGCTTTTTTCAGTCACGGTTGCGATCGGTTTTTGGATGGCAAAGTGGATGGAAAAAAGCGATCGCAACTGGCGATCCAGGTAGTTTTCTGACACTCCCGAGAAAAAAAAAAAAAAAAAAACGATTCGCCAACTTAGTAAGTGGTTGGTAGCCTAGGTTCTGACCCACTATTAAGTCCCTCGTTCAGTTGGGTTGACCTTGTTATCAGGGGGTGAAAAGAAAAGAGGCCAATGGCGACCGCCACATACTAACTTGGCGAATCGAACATCCAAGTAGGTAACCAGATGTTAACTTAGTAAGTGGTTGGTAGCCTAGGTTGTAACACACTATTAAGTCCCTCGTTCAGTTGGGTTCACCTTGTTATAAGGGGGTTAAAAGAAAAGAGGCCAATGGCGACCGCCACTTACTAACTTGGCGAATCGAACATACAAGTAGGTAACCGGCATGTCTTGAGGATCCCGACAAAAAAACAACCAAAAAACAAGTACCAACCGTAAACCATGGTTTTTGTGGGTGGGTGGGGCAAACTCCTCTGAAAAATACCAAACCACCAATTCGGCTCCAAACCATAAACCCTCTCCCGCTATTTGCGTGTGCTCTGCAAAAAATGAGGGAACGAAGAACCCACAGGTCCCCTGAAAGGAAACCAGCAGTTGGATGGTTTTTCTAGGGGCAATTCCCACGTTTCCTGGCGATCGCACCAGCAAGTCTACCCCCTGGCCATTTGGCTGGGGGTCAAAACCGTTTTGGTACCATCTTGGGGTCGGTGAATTCACCCCCCCATTTTAGAACCCATTTTAGTGGGGATGGCATTGTTCACCGGGGCGACGATTTGGAATTTGGACCCATGGCCAATGGGTCGCCTTGCCGCCGCGCCGCGAACGTTTTTTTCCGCGGCGAAGGCCCGCCGTACGGCTACTCGGTGCTGGCGGTCTATGGCTCCTCTCTGCAGGTCCTTGGGCCTGGAGGGTGAGCCGATTTCCAGGCTGAAATGACGACCCGGACCCCGGACATTTGCAGCTGAAGAATGGACTTCTTGCTCAATTTTGGTGGCCAGCCGTCTGGTTCCTGAGCTTTTTAGGCTTTTTAGTTGGTTTAGTGGCTGGGCGTCCGTAAAAAACTGACTAAAAGTTAGTCACTTTTACCAGAAGATCTGAGGGCAGTTCAGTACCCAAGTTATGGGGTGAATACCCTGGAGGTTCGAATGGCCTCTAAAAAGTATGAGCCAAGGAGCCGTCTTCTTTGCAACTCGAAGTTCCAAGTGAGGCGCCTGTTGGTTTTCAAGGGAAATCACAGGAAAAAATATGGCGGTGGCTGTCAAAACCGTTTTGGTCCCATTTTCGGGTAGGTGCACCACGCATTTTAGGACCTATTTTAGTGGGGATTGGGATGTTCACTGGGGGTACGGGATTTTGACCCATGGCCATATGTTGCCCATGTTTTCCAGGGAATCTACCAGGGATCACTTCATTTGCTTTTTTTGACCTTCAAAAGAGGCAGTTTGAGTCGAGCTCAGAGCTTAAGGTTTGTCCTGTCCAGAGAATTACGGCCTTGACCCCAAAATTGGGGAATTTCTTTGATTCGCCCCAGCACCCGGGTTCCAACCACTGCGTTTTGGACAGTGCTCGGGATTGACGTGGGATGTTGGCAGCTGTTGGGTGCTGGTCTTTGCAAGTTAGCTTGCTTCAGCTGTGAACATGAGGTCATTCAGTGGGTTGTGGCAGTTTGAATTACCTCGCTTGCCGGGGTCTACAGGAAGACACACCCATTTGGCCATGGGTCAAAAGCTCGTACCCCCAGTGAACATCCCAATCCCCGCTAAACTAGACTAGCATGGGTGGTGCACCTACCCCAAAATGGCACCATTGGTTTTGACCCACAGCCATTTGTGTCTTAGAATAAAGGGCGCCTGTTCCTTTGGTTTGCCTTTACACCAACATGTGGTCGCTTCTCAAAATAGGGGGGCCCCCTGAATGCTTGGTCCATTTGACTTTCCTTTCAAGCCACCTTAAACAAAGGACGGGGTTTGGGTGCTCGATTCGCCAAGTTAGTAAGTGGTTGGCGACCTAGTAAATATCCCATCTCTAAGTCCCCCATTCAGTGGGGTTAACCTTTGTGTTTTAAGGGGATTTTACCCCAAACGGCTAACCACTTACCAGCTTGGCGAATCGAACATCCAAGTAGGGTAAACAGGATTTGTTCTTTCACCTCGTTTGACTTGCCTGGTGTCCCCTGATCAATACTTCCATTTGCTTAAGACAATGTGTGTGTTATTTTCCCCTGTTGGTTTCAAAGGCAATCTGTCACTGGAAAGCATTTGCTAATTTTTTTCCAGGGGGCGAACAACTGCAAATTGTGGTGTGGAAACTGGAAAAAAACACTGGCCTCTAGGTGTTACCATGGATGGTTTCCCTGGGTTACCTGTGGAAACTACTGGCCTCTGTTTTTCTCTTCTGCGGGGACCATCTCTCATGTTAACCCTTAGTTGGCGGTTTGGATTGGTGGTTTGGATTGGCGGTTTGGATTTGGATTTGGACGGGTCCCTGGCTTTGATAGACACCGCAAAACCACAAAACCACCGATTCGGCAAAACAAACGCCAATTGGTGCGATGGGTAGGGAATGTGGGAATGAACCTAGACATTCCCTGAAGGACGCCGCCGGTTGGATGGTTTAGATTGGTTCCATTCCATTTTTCATTTTTTTGTTCCCTGGCGATCTGCCGATTTCGCTCGCACGCCTAAGGTGTGATGGGCAAGTGGCAAACCCCGTCTCCCCACAAGAACCAGGGGGTCCAAATCTCTAAACCAATCCCAACCAGCAACTCCGGGTAACCTGATTAAATTATGCGTCCCAGATGTGCTTGGGATCCTCAAAACAAACACATGTGAGATTGTATCAAAAGTCCTTGTAGATGACACCTGTTTGGGTTGGCGTTTCTTTCTTTGCGCCTTGATTGTTGTGCGAGGGCATGCAAATACTAAACTTAAATCAAAGTTTGACATAAATCTACAAATACACACACACACAACCTTACAGGTTGAGTACGCACAAACCGAAATGGCTAAAACAACAGGTTACCCAGAGGCTCTTGGGGCTTTCAATGGAAGACCCGACCCCTCCATTAGACACCCCGGAGGTGTTTGGGACCCGGAAGGGAAAAAAAACGGTTGTTTGGAGCCTTTGGGTAATAAATACACCCTCATACAGGTCGATCTCAAAAAAGCGGGTGAATGGAGAGGCACCCTCATTTTACCGGTTGAGCCTTTTTGGGGGTGCCTTAGGGTTGAGGTCGATCTGTTGGAACCTCGATCTGATTTCAGTTGTTCAGTGACCCTGCAAAAAAGGGAAAAAGCTTGCCAGCCACGTCGGTTTCGCTCCGAAACTTCGCGCAGGCCCTGCGGCGCCGGGAGGCCAGCGGCCAGCTGAACCGCCAGGAGGCGTTTTGTGAGAGAGCGAGACGAGAGCGGGGCGCGGGTCGAAAAAATAAGTTCGGGGGGCGGGGGCGGAGGTGTGTCGGATTTTTTTGCGTTTGTTGTCTTTTTTTGTTGCTGTGCTGTGCTTTTCTCCTTTTTTTTTGGGGGGGGGGGGGTGAAGGATCCAAGATGTGTTTTGGTTGAATTATTCAGTCTGTTCTTTTTTGTTTGGGGAGGGGGGGGGGGAGGGGGGGAATTTTTAACTGTCAGATGGCTTCGGTTTTCCGTTTGGTTTTTCTTGTGAAAAGGCACAAAAGGGGTCCCCTCAAAAGAAAGCCACACCCAATGGGTGAAAACGCGGAGGAAATTGAAAAAAAGCGCGGCAATTTGACACTATTGGAAGGGGATACCAGCCTTGCCAGACACTCTTTTTTTGGGCACTATAGCATGGTTGTCGTTGGGAAACAATTTACATTTTGCTTATTGTGGTTTAGTGGTTGAAATCCAATCACTTAACTTAACTGCTTAAAAGTTATTTTTTTGCTCCCCTTCCAACGCCAACCAAGATAGGTTCTAGGAGTATGGCGGATATATACCACTGAAGGGGCATTCCATTTTGCGGATTCGTGGGGTGCTGGTTGAGTGGTTAGTAACCCTTATGCCGGTCCGACCATCCACATGGTGCCGTTGAAGGGGTTTCGGCTTGCCGAGATCAGCAGGGTGCCTGCGACTTTGGCCACGTAATGTTGCCCCCATGCTTAACGGTAGCAAAGGTAGTTAGAATAGCCCAACCAGTGTTTTAAGGGTGGGTTGAACCACAAACTTAACTTTGGTGCATTTTGCTTGGAAGTTAGGCCACTAAATGTGCAGAAAGCAACCGAGTTGATGTCGTTGACCCCATATTCATCAACCCCAGATTATGAAGAGGTGTCAACCTGGGCTTGGTGGTTGGATTCGGACTACTTTTGGAGGGGAACACCCCCACCCCCCGAATTTCATAACCTGGGGTTGACTAATAGGGGGTCAACAGTACTGAAGACTCGAAGCTGGCGTGGCGAACCCTGCTTTCCATGAGCTTTCAATTAATACCTGTACAACGATCACGTTCGATTGCCGTAGTTGCGCTTTGTTCCTTCATGCTGGGAATTTCGGGTTCTGGGCCGACGTTGGGGCTTGGGAATGGTGAGACAAACGCGTTGACATTGTCTGGTCTTCTTTGGGATTTACCAAATCTTTCACAATATCACAATGAGTGCAAACATGAAGAAACTGTTGGCTTGTGACTCTTTAGGAGCAAACTATGGGTTGATCCATTCCTGGCCAATTAATTTCAAGAGTTCTTCGAAACAAGCCGTTCCTTGTAGGCTGTGGATGGTTTTCCTTGGAGCAGTTCCTCAGGTTTTTTTGTGGTGGTTTTTCCGGAAAGGATCATACGAAGGACGCTTCAGGCAACCCTTAACTCAGTTGTTCAGTGGCGCCAATTTGTTTCCCCTTTTTTTTTGGTGGCTGCCCCACAAAAATGGTCTTCCCAAAAAAGGGTTCCCTTTTTTTCCAGGGTCACTGAACAACTGAGTTAATTACTTTATGTTGATCCCATATTATGATTAATTCTCGGTTTTTTCATAGGGGGGTGTCCCTGGGTTTAGTGGGGAATCGGACCACTTTTGAGGGGAACACCGCCCTACTAATAATCTGGGGTTGATGAATCTGGGATCAACATTGATTGGTGGTTGTTCTTGTGGACGGTACATGGGAGACCCCTCCTCAAACCACAAGCCACCAATCCAAACCACCAATCAGAGGGAAGCTGAATGTTACTCCTAAAATCTCGGAAAGAGCTTTGAACCTCCCAACTTATTTCAAGAAATCAATCTTGGATGCCCAACACCTTTGGTCCTTGAAACAATGGAAGCCCACCAAGTACTCGCCTTCAAACAAAACACGGAAGGGCCCCCGGTTTCAAGTCTCCTCTACAACTGGGCAGTCTTTTGGGTTGCGGTCCCATGTTCTCCAGGAGTAAACATTTTGGGCGAAACTGGTCCCATGTTCTCCAGGAGTAAGTGTTTGGCGAGCAAAAAATGCGGGTTCCATGTTCTCCAGGAGTATTTTTTGCGAACATTTAGGTTCCATGTTCTCCAGAAATTGTAAACTGGCGCAAGGCGAAAGGCGAACAAGCCATCGCCGGCGTCGTACTGTGGATGGACGAAATCCATTCTGCACCACCTAAGAAGCCTGGTTTAGGATGATTCCCTTGTAAATACCAACACGCAATGGCTTCAACCGTAATTTCAAAGCTGTGCGAAATGGATTTGGTCCACCCAAAGGACAGATCCGGCCGTCAGGTGGTGGACCTTCCCTCCGCCATCGAGACCTCTCGCGGGAGCTGCCGCGAGTTTTTGTGTGTTGTTTCTTTCTTTCTTTTTTCGCACCACCGGAGGTGGCCGTCCACGTCAAACAAGTTGTATGTCTTCCAAGTTCCGTTCCTTAGTTCCGTTCCTTAGGTTGTCAATTTTGTGGGTTTCTAGGTCCCCCAGTAGTGCCCTTTCTCACTCCTTTTTTGGTTGGGAGGGTTCCCCTACTAAAATAGACGTCCATAGAAAGTTGGTACCCTTATTATAACCTCTCTACTGGAGGCTGGAGGACCTAGAGAAAGTTGTATCTCCTCCAATTTCGGTTCCTTAGGCTGTTAGTTTTGTGGGTTTCGTGGTAGTTGACCTTCAACAAAGTTGCAACTGAAATGAGCCCAGCTGCAGTGGACGGAGCAGGCGGGAAAAAAAAAACAAAAAACAAAAAAACAAAAACGATCGTGGCAGCTTAGTTTGCGTCAATTCTGTGAGCGGGAGGCGTCTATGTAAAACGTGGGCGAGGAAAGCCCAGGGTTGCATGTCTTGACCTTCCAAGAAGTTATATGGGTGCGGCTGAAAAAGAGTGCGAGCTAGGGCTAAACCGGAGGTTTTGGTCTTTGTTTCCATTTCATGTTGACCCAGGATGAATAAACCCGTCCCGCTAGGGGGTGTTCCCTCCCAAAGTGGTCTGAATCCAACCACTAAACGGGGACACCCCCGGTAAAATCAACCAGGGGTTCTGCTTAATCCGGGGTGGCCCAATTACGTTGAAAAGAAAACCGATGAAAGCGACCACGTGACCCGATGGCTTTTTTTCTGGCCCCCGTTAACAGGAAGGCTGAAGGAAAAAGACGAAGTTGGTACCACCTTATTCGAACCTCTCAAATCTGGAGGCTGGAGGACCTGGAAAAAGTGGTATGTCCAATTTCGGTTCCTTGGGCTGTTAGTTTTGTGAAGTGGTAAATTTCGGTTCCTTAGGCTGGTAGTCTTGTGGGTTTCGTGGTTGACCGTCAAATCTGGACCGAGTGAGTTGGTTCCATCTTGAGCCGGCGGTGTCTTCTGGTTCTCAGGCCTCCGGGGTTCCTTGGGGCCGAGCTGACCAAAAGTTGGGCTTGGGGAGGCTGGGAACAGGCATCCGGGTTCCTAAGGCGCTTGGGCCTTTTCTTGAGGCCTTTTTTTTGAGGGTTTGGTTTGAGGCTTTTTCGTTTGCTTTTTTTTGGAGGGTTTCTTTTGAGGGTTTTTGGTTCCTTAAGGCTCTTGGTAGTTCAACCACTTGAGCCACGAAAAGTGCGACTTTGAGCAGCTGGGAACCGCCCGGATTTGCCCAACAGAATATGCGCTTCTCCCTGGTGGTTTTGAAGGGAATCGTGCACTGGAAAAATTGGGGGGACTGAAGCAAATGGAAGGTTTGAACAAATAATGCTGGTTGCCAGTCCTAGGATCCATTGGGATAGATATGATGTTGACCATAATCAACCCCAGTTTGTGCCAAAGGGGGTGCTCGCTTCCAAAAGTGATCCGATTCCCTACTAAACCCATGGAAAAGCACCCCCGTATTGATAAACTGGGGTTGCTTAGTATAGGACATTAATCATGAAAATTATAGGGTTCAAACCACCATTGAAACAATGGTTGGGTTAATATAACCACCTTTGTTTACCATTAAGCATGGGGTCAACATTTCCCTTGGAGCCGAATGGGAGCCAAATGAAGAATTGCCCCAGGAGCTTCTTGGTGGAGTTGGACGGGATGTCGCGGCCACAGCGCGTTTTTGGCCTTTCAGTGCCCCACGCCCCAAATGGGTGTGTTCCTTTTTTGAGGATTACCCATGTTGGGTCGGTTTTAAAGGGAAGCCAAAAGAAAACCTGCCATTTGGCTGTGGGTCAAACATATGTACCCAAAATGGAATCCTGGTAAATGGAAACATGGACCAAAACCTGCGGTCCCCTGGTGGGTTAATTTTGACCCATACCCATTTCGGGGTTCCTCCATTCTTAAGACAAACCCAACTACCCGCGAATGTTTCATTATTTTTGGGGTATGCAGTTCTTTCTTTGACAAGATGATTATGTCACACGGAAGTCAACAGGTAGCCCAACGAAGCAGATGTTTGGAGTAGGAGAGGGCTCGGATTTGTGGTCTGTCCGTGGACCGTTGGACTGACACCTTCTTGGGATATATAGTTAGTATCTTATATGGGTTCCACTGTTGCGGTTAACACTTGTGTTAAAAGTAACAGCCGAAAGCGAAAGGGCTTGAACCCGCACTTGAATTGGAATCTCAAGTGCTGCGCCCTTGCATGATCCGTGTGAATTCAAACCGCTTGCCATTTTGGCGAAACCGTGAGCGCAGGCAACCTTCTCCCGGGCAACCAGGTCTGCACGCACTTCGTGCAACACTCCAGTTGTAGGGGTCGCGCACCAACCTCCGACTTCATGTGCGGCTACCTCCATCCGGAGTTTGTCTCAGGGAGATGGGCTCCCCGGGACAATATCTGCCACCTTGACGCCTTCTGCGACCGCGGCGACCCTTGCCTCCATGTGCACAGCGACTCCACGATGCATGGAGACCTCCTCGCTTGGCTTCGCGCATATGTATATATATATATATATATACACACTGATTTTATGCCCCCATTTACCAGGGGAACCCTTTTCTATTTTGCATCAACAGGTCACCTGTGGGGATAGTTGCAGTTGTCAGTTGCAGCATGTGCTTTTCTTGGATAGTTCTATAATTTGGGGTTTGCATTGAAGCTCGCCACGGGGCAACCCCAGCTTTTTTGGGGTTGCTGCTTGGGGACACACGTTTTGGTGGGTGGATAAAACGAGCTCGGGAATTGATGAGTTCTGAGTCTGCGCACCAAAGCTCCTCCTGCAAATTCACGCGGAAACCCAAAGCGCATCTTTTAGAGGGAGCCAATGGAACCCCAAATGCACATCTTTGGAGGCAGCAACTGTTTTGGTTGCCCGTTAGGTTCCGTGTTGCGCATAGACAACCCAGCTGTCTCGCGCGGCTTGCGGTCGGAATCTTGGAGGAGGAGAGTCAGGAGATGCAAGGCATGGCGGCTCCGGTGGGGGCTGGCGATATCCTGGAGAACAACGACGGCAACCTCGAGCTGGGCGAGGACGGAGATCCAAGCCTTCTGCACAAGGAGGAACAGGTCTGTGAGGACGGAGATCCAAGCCTTCTGCCCAAGGAGGAACAGGTCTTTGAGGACTACGTTCCGGGGTTTGAGGAAGACGGCGTCATTGAATGCAATTCTTCGGAGGGGGAATCCCTTCGGCCGAAACCGGGACCCCCACAGTCACATGCCCGTTTTGGTTGGACAATTCTGCCAAATGCCTATTGCTCAGTTGTCCAAAACCGACCCTTGGGTTTGACTATTGTTCCAAAGGCGAAACCAGGAGAGGGGGGGGGGATGTTGGGGGATGACGTTTGTCAGTTTGCCACCCCTTGCTTCACAGGGTATCTGTGGAAGAATCAGGCTTTCCATGACAAATACCGATGCTGCTTTTAGTCGGGGGAACCAGATCATACCCCATCATATTGTTTAAAAAGGTGGTGCTGGGATGTAAGTGGTTTGTTGGTGTTGGCAAACTTCTGCGTTTGACTCTGACCTGTTTCCCTTTCGAGTGCCTTTTTGCTCTCAAGGTTTCCTTCACACAGGGAGGGTGGCTTTCTGCATTTGGTCAGGGCGCAACAAACCAAAGACCTTTTTGGCCAAGAAAAAACTGAGGTCAGATCTGGGAGATCCGACTCCAACACCGCAACACTTTGTTTTGGAAAACCAGGTGAGTGTTTGAGCCCATTGGTGTTATCCCATTTATCAGGGCCATCTAGTTTTCCAAAAGGACGTTTCTGGTGCGCCCTTTTTCCCCAGCCTTTGCAAACGCTGAGACCCTTCAGTTGAACCTTGCTTAGATAAGTTGGGTTCCAGTTGCTCAGTTCCTGGATTTTCTTTGTAGATTCGCCTGATAAGATGTGTTGTTTGGATCTATCACTGGAAATAGGCACGTCTTTCCAGGGGACGTATTTGCAGATGGAGGGATATCAAGAACAAGCTAGCTATTTTCACCAAGGCTAACAACGGGAAGTGGAAACACATGGGTGACAGAACTCGAGGTTCTAGTCCAGGTACCCTACCTCCTTACAGTTGGGCGAAACAGGTAGCACAATGTCCCATGTCGATGCTGAATCATCCCCAAGTAACTTGCCGACATCCACCGGGAATCGCGCCATCTACTGCCACTCTGGCGTAGACTTTTATCATGGGCCTAGAAGGAATTCGCATACATCCGGCGAAAAGTTGAGCTTTTACGAAGGGATCACGCATAAATTTCCGGCGAAGCGTTTAAAGCTTTTTGGAAGGGATCAAACTAAGACCAGCTAGGTCTGGAAGCATGGAGCCAGTTTACGCCGACGCCCCAGAGGAGCGATTGGCCTCTTTGCCGCGAGGTCAAGTTCAGCCAAAGCAGTGCAGGTGACCAACTTGCCGGAGCCCTCAGTTTTTGACGTCAGACCGGGGCCATGCCTTCCGTGCACCGATTTCCCCCCCCACTTTTTCGGGATGACGTCAAGCCCTGTGGCTGGAAAGGAGCCAGCATGGTTTGCGCAGCAGTCGTTTGGTTGTGTTTTAAGTTTTAAGGGGACCAGGGTCTAGTTGTTGAAACGCGATCGCTTTTTGCACTGACCTTCAAGTATGGCAAGTTGCCTGGTCTTGAGTGAATGGAAAGATCTCGATTTGGCTAGCTCGACCTTTCACCTGCTATCCTGTGCATGACAGTTTCGGAGGATGCCCCCGCCCTTTTGAACGGACCCCCCCAAAACGGAAGTTTGTTTTTGCGTTCCTTTTTGAAAACAGGCACGCCCTCAAAAATGAACGTGCCCTCAACCAAAATGATGGTTTTCATTTGAATCATCAGCTTGAGCCAAGCTATGCTACCAAAAGAAGGTGCAGCTTCACTGAACCACCGTTGCCTTGCCTCAGATAGCTGAGGCTTGCAGCCTTGGAGCACAGACTTTCGTCAACATGAAACCTGTCAGGTCCCCTGCAAAAGGAGAATGGTCCAGGGCAACCAGGACCTTCCTGTCATGTTCCATTTTAGTTGGTGGGAGGATACGAGGGCCCCTGGACAACTGCAACTGCCGCTGAGCAGTGGCCGAGGTTGTGGGCCAGGAGTGGGTTGGCGAAGCCGCCCGTCTGCTGATCAAAACAACTTGGCGGTTCCTAGCCGTCCGGTTCCTGAAGTTTTTTCAGGTTTTTGGCTGCTTTGGTGGCTGGGGTTCCATTTCAGCCACTAGATTTGTTTGTTTAAACTTTTGAACTTTTCCATTTGGAGGGTTTTTCATCCCAGGGGGCCGTAGCCTATGGGCCGGCCCACTTGGGCAACCCGCAAAGGGTTGTGTACTTAACAGAGCCTAACAGAGCCTAAGAGCACGGACAGCCCAGAAGAGCTTGAGGTACGGCACCGTGATGGCGCAGCAGGAGCACTATGTGAACCTGCCGGCGTCCCGAGAGAGCGCAGTTCGGACCGTGCTTTCTCGAATTCACACACACACACAAACAAATGCCTTCCTAAGACATCGCCTTGGGGCATGTTTGCAAGGGGGGTGGCGTGTTTGGGGGTAAGATTTGGCGTCTTTAGGGCTCACAGATATATTAACCAAGTTGTTTACATGTGCTGTGTATTTTACCTAGGGGACCCCCTCAAGCATGGTCGTGATTGTCCTTTCGGTTTCTCTTTTAAGCACACCCCCAAAAAAGGCTCCTAAACAACAACACACCCATCGACCAATGAGGAATGACTTCTGTGATGCTGCGGCTTTTTCAACGTCGTCGCAGCTCGAGTGTGCTCCCACGCGTAGATTTGCAGAAAAGCTTTCGGACCCCGGCGTGGTGATTTGGCTGCTCTCTTGTATAACCTTTCACCGCCACTCACTTCTCCGAGTGGTTGGGCTGAAAATATTTCACGGAACCTGATTGTCAGGTTCTGACAAACGGGTTCCGATTGCACCGAAGGATGTTCCTAGCATCCTAGAACTTTATGCGGTGTTCAAGTTTAGTGGTAAGTACACAACATTTGGACTTGTTTTGGCTCATCCTGTGTGCTTTCCTGTCAACCAGCGGCATTTTGGTTTGGCAAGATCCAAAGTGTGGCGCTGTGCGCTTTACGCTGGCCCAGCCAGGGTAGGACTTTGTAGGCTACCTTATGCGAGAAATGGATGGCCTAGGAGGAGGTGGGGGCCCATCCAAACTTGCAAGAATAGAGCCATCCACAGTATTTTTCAAAGGACATATAGGAAACTTGGGTGACCGGATAAATACTGGGAGAAGCCGCCTACCAACTGGTGCGAAGCGGATTTGGTCCATGCACTGGGGGCGGAGCGGAGCTCCGGGATAAGCCTTGGACAAGGCCCTAAAGCCTTTGATCTACATGGGCCGAAACAATCAGACTTGGGTGTCGTACTGCAACTAGGCCCCCAGTAAGGCCCCCCAGTAGTGCAAGCGTTTGCCCTTTTTTGGGCAAGGGTTCCCCTACTAAAATAGACGACAGAAAAAAAGGGTACCTCTCTACTGCAGGACCTAGGCAAAGTCTACATCGAGTCGCAATCATGAGGCTGGCGTGTAGTTATTCGTCCCCTTATATATTCACTCTCGTCGATAAATAGCCAACGGTTTAACTTCCCCAACAATTCTTCAGACCCGCTAGTTAGCACCCCGTGTAGGAGGGTGACATAGCATGCACACAACATATTCAGTCTAGCCAGGAACGTCGTCCCACTGATAGATGTGCGGTTGTGTGTGTATGTGCTTATGTCTGTCTTTGTCTCTGTGTCTGTGTGTGCCTTTTTTGAGGGTACCTGTTTTGAGGTCACCCTTAGATTGTGGTTTGACCATTTGGTTGGATTTGTGGACTTTAATTTTTTGTTCAACAGATCGGATTTTCCATCGGACCCACAAAAAGTCATTCGCTTTTTGCAGACAGGCGGTTACCGCAGGAAGTTACTGGGTTGTTTGTGCTCACTTGAGTCACAATCAAAACCCGGGCAAGTGAAGGTTAGTAAGGGGCAGTCCCAACCATAAATAGCTGTGGCCGCCTTCTTAAGTCTTTACATGGTTCTGGGTAGACCATGTTAACACCGGGTTTTGATTATGACTCACTTGCAGCATGTGGGTGAGGGCCGCTTTCAGCTTGAGTCTCCCAGGTCGTTGATGCTGCCGGAGAGCGGGGCAGCTCCGCTGCGTTTAGGAGGGGGTGCGCTGTGTTAGGATCTAAGAAACCAACAGGAAATTCTATGGGGTTTCCCCTGATTTCGGTGGGTATTTGGCGTGAACTTCCTGCAGAAGTTCCTGTTATAGGAGTTACTCTACAACCCACGTATTGAGATGCTCACTCTCCGAGTCTCCAAGTTCCTGGAGCTGAATGGAGCTTTTCGTTGGAATACCATTTTAGCACAACAGCAGTTTGTGCCTTTTCTGGCCAGCTGAATGGAAGTGAGCATAAGGGGCGAAACAGCTACTCATCATTCCAATCAGTTCCTCGACCGAATACGTAAACACGTGTTTAAAGCACGCCACACCCCCATTCTAGCTGTTTAGACCTTCAGAGTAGCAGTTACCACACACGCCCACTTACCTTTCTTCCAATCATGGAAGCTGACACGGGGCTTGCGGACGACTTCGGTTCACTTCGGTTCACTGAGAAACCACTGGAGATGTGCGCAGGGCGACTCCCAAACCTTCACGGGAAAACGGCTTGATCCGTGGATCTCTGGTGCTTGTATACATCCAAGTGGGAAACAATCGAAGCAACTGACATGTGATTTGTCAAGGTGTCCCTTCAAACCTTGAGAAGGGCTCTCGCAAAAAACCGCTCAGCACCTTTCCGTAGACGACAGTTGACCCATGCCATTCCCACCGCAACCCCAAGAGTTCATGGTTAATGACTCCAGTTGATAGCCCCGTACCTATTCCAAGAATGATAGAAGTGGACAGGAACCTTCGGTTTTCCAATTTTGGGTTCCAGTTGTGACCCCCAAACTGCGATTTGTGCAACTAACCAAGCACCACGAACCACTCATTGGGCTTCACGCAACCAACCCTTCTTGGATATCCCTAGTTGCAACGGTTTCCGGGTGAACTTTGGGTTAAATGGATGTTACTAGCCACTTTGCCAACTGGACCTTTTTCAAAAGTCACACGCAGAAGCTAGTTTTGGATAAAGCGGGTGGTTTTGGATAAAGCAGATGGTTTTGGGATGTATCCTTCAAGAAATGACCAACCGGCACTAACCACTGAGCCAACTCCTAGGCCACGGGGGGTAACATGTTATGAAGCAGCCATTTGAGGTTGCTTGTTTTTGCCGGCAAATCCTCCCTTTGAGCCAGACCCATTTGGGCGTGCCATTTTGGGTGGGGTCGGCGCGATCCATTTTTTGGGGACCCCCCAAAATGGTGGTTTGCCTCTTAGTTTCCCTTCAAAACCGCAAACAGCCCACTAACATAGCATTCGGAGGGTATCTTCTTCCAGGTTTCTCTTTCCTCTTAAAAAGCCCGCTGTCAGGCTTCACCTTGGGAGGTCGGGTTTCCATTGTTCTAGGGGTACCTCCCCCATTCTTTCCAGGGATCCTTCTTTCTACCAGAAGCCCAAGAAAACGGATCCGGTTGTCAAGAAGAAGGGATGGTTGAGGAGAATGGCAAAGAAATCAACCCCCAGAATCGTCCCCCCCCAAAAAATAAATAAAAATCAGGTGTCACCTGGGGAGGTCGGGTTTCCATGGCCCCCAGTCTCCATCGCCCCGAACGGTTTCGCGCGAAAAATAAACCGAGGTGGAGCCCTCCTTGTTCGACCCCACGGACCGCAGCCCGAACCGGAGCGCCTGCCTGGGACCCCAAGTTGGAGTTTCCAAAGCGAGGTTTTCACCTTTTCACAACCTGAAAGTGGACCTAAACCCCAGGGGTGCTGGATTTTCCCAGGGAAACGCCTGGGTTTAAGTCTACCTTGGGGTAGTCAAAAAACGGAACCCTGGCCCAAAGTTGGCGGTTTCGGGGGGTTTTTCAACTCGGGCTTCGATTCGATCCCTCAACCTGTTTTTTTTCCCCCTCCGGGGTGTCTAATGGAGGGGTCGGGTCTTCCAGGAGGTTCTGGGAAGTCAGAAAATGGGGTAGTTTCCCTTTAAGCTACCACTTAGGGGCTGACTTTGATCATAGTAAAACAATGGGGGCCAGCAAAGCTACTTGGGTGAAGCTACTTGGGCGCCCGATATCGCCATGTTAGCCAGGGGTCAGGGACTTGCGGCATTGGCATCTAGGTCCCCCAGTAGTGCCCTTTTACCCTTTTCTTGGGCTACTAAAATAGACTACAGAAACAAATCGGGTACCCTTACTCTAACCTCTCTACTGGAGGACCTAGGCACGCTTGATTGTTCACCGGCGTTGTACCTTGATCAACTAATGTCGGACTTGGATGTTTGGCCAGGTTAGCAAGTGGTTAGCTACCGTTCGGCTTTAAATTGACTTAGTGAGTTGGGCCGGTTGCAAGTAGGTAGGTTACTGGGCACTTACCAACTTGGCGAATCGAGCACCCAAGTAGACGTTCTGAACGAGAGACCTTACTTGGATGTCCGTTGCTAAGTTAGTAACTGGTTCGTCACTTGGGGAATATATATATATATATAACAAGGTTAGCCCCACTTATATTGGGTGACCCAAAAGTAGGTTGTAACCTAGGTTAACAACAACTTACTAACTTGGTCGAACACCCAAGTAGACTTTTAGCTCTGTTTAGAGTTGGATCTATCACAGATCCCACCAAAAGGTGGACTCGCATGGAATCAAGGCACCAAGAATAGCTGGTTGTTTGAACACGTTTGTTTTAAGCAGGGAGTCCCTCGCTTCGTAGGTGTTTAATAGCCCTCGTAGGTCGCACAAGAAAGGCTTACACGACATGGCCATATGGGTAGGACAGCAGAGCCCTTTTGCGGTGTCGAACGGCTCCGGAGGGGAAGCCAAAAGGGAGAAACATGGTGCCATTGCAAAACAGGAACATGGGTCACATGCTATTCACTCGACTTGTGAGAGTCGCTAGGTCGGTGGTATCAAAATTATTTACAATTTGAATCTAGTTACACACATGCAGTGTTCAAGCTCAGGCTGCCTTGGACGAATCCGTGAGATAGAGTGGTCCTTATTAAGGAAATGGTTTTCCGTTTTCTAAATGTAGATGTCGCGATCGTTTGTTGATAAAGTGGTCGACACCACCAGCATCACCAGAGCTTTAGTTAAACAAATATTTTTCGAACGCAAGCAAGTTGCAAACTGTGCAAACCGTGGACATTTCAGCGGGTGTGAACTAAGTGGAATGGACGGGAGTCGCCTGGAGTTGGACAAAGGGGTCACGTGGCGCGTATACCGTATAAATCTGTGTGTGCGTGTGTGGTGTGTTTGTGGGCATGCTGGTTTTCAGCGGTTGGGTGCTCATCGTACAAAGCACGGCCCATTCTGCAGGACTTGCTTGTCGTGCCGCGCGTCCGTGTTTCAACCATCTCCATTATGTGGGAGCGTCGGCATCAGCGCATCGACTTCAATGCTGCGAGATCAAGCTGAGGCTGCGCACTTGTTTCTCCAAAGTGCTCAGTATGAACCCGCATGATGAGACACTCCTAGGAGGACCCGTTGATCAACGCCTGCCAGCGCACAAGGGAGAGCCGCTTCGAAGTGCTCCACCCACAAGTTGCAGATTTGGACCTGAGGCTGCAGCCCCGTCGGCAGCTGCTAGGACGCTGCTCAGTTTCGTTTGGCAAAGAATGCAGGCAGCTGAACGAGCTCAATGTTTGCAACGCGTGCATTAGTTGTATATTGCCAACGCGTGCACTTATAGACGTGACTTCCGGAGTTGGTTGGCCCTGCGGGCCGGCTCGGTGCCGGCAGAGCTGTCGCAGACCATGCCTTAGGCGTGGGCTTTTGTGCCAGGCAGGAGTTTGCGAGGCAATCCTCCGATTGGTTCGGGGCGTGGAAACGATTCTGTTTTGGAGGGGCTTTGGCTTCAAGAAGGCTGAGGCAGGAATCAAAACGCTGGCACGACAGACAAAGCCGGCCTTCCGGAGGGCCTTCCGGAGGGCGCTCTCGCTGGCTTTGCAAGCCTATAGCTCAAGTTTGCGAACCGCTTCTTCCCGTCAAAGCGTGGAAGCGAAGGAGCGCGGGAGTCGAGCAGGGTGTTCTTGGCGAGGTGGGCCAACCGTAAAGTGGCACGAATGAGGAGGATGAGGGGCGAGACAAAGACAATGAGGATGATGAGGAGGATGATGGGCAGGATCAGGCGGATGCAGTGAAAATGAAGAGCGTCATGAAGAAGCTGAGTGGGGTTTTCACCACGTAGCCAAATGCCACAGGCTGTCAAAAAACGCGTGCTCTTTGCTTTCTGCGCCTCACCATTGTGCAGAATCTTCAACCTTGCGCTGCGTGGCAAGAGTGACTGACAGCAGAAGTTCGATCGCTTTTGCGAAAAGGGTGCGAAGACCATGTAGGAAAGGAAATGCCTCTCCGCTTACTAAACGTGGCCGTCGCGAGTCGTCTTGTTTGTAGACAAAGTTGTCGACACGCCTAGCATCGAAGGTGCTGCCGGCGCTGTAGCGAGCCTGGACCTTCATCCCCCTGAAAAAAAAAACGCAGTTTCCGCCTTTGACTGGATATTCGAGAAATCGTAGCACTTTTTGCTGCAAAAACCTGAAACCCCTGAAGCTCCTAAAGCACACTATTGCACTGCTCGCGGCCTTTGACAGATTAAATTAAAGAAGCTTTGCAGGGGTAAACGACTTAATACAGCCCGCAAGTTTGTCAAAACATGCAGCGGCGGTCCGAAGTTGTGCGGTGCAGAAAAAGCGTACCCATGTTGACCGCAAAACGCCCGCAAATTTCCGCAAATCTCCCGCAAAAACCCGCAAACTCCCGCAAATCAGAAAAGTCGTAGTTTTGATGACCAAGGCGTCCCATGGTGTTCACTGGCACGTTGGCAAGTGCTGCGAGGTGTATTTACTTTGTATGGCCAACGTGCGACTGGAAACTACGCAACTCGTATGTGTTGTTGCCCAAATTGTAGCTAAACCGCTGGAATTCGGTAAATCGCAGGGGTCTCCTAAAACACCCAGAAATTTCCCGGAGTTGGAAGGTCCAGGAGGATGCTTTTCCGGAAGGTTGCAAGAGTGAGCGTCCGTAGGTGTGAAGATGGGAACGGCTCGTTCGGAGCTTGACTTTTTTCGGACAGGACGCGAAGAGCATTCAGTAGCGGAAATGTTATTCTGCCTGATAAAAGTAGAACGCTTGTCAGCAGCCCCAGAACCACCAGCGATTTGGTAAAGCAAATGCTTTCCCACTGGCTAAAAGTAGACGCAACACGCGCTTTAAGCTCGCGGGCAAGCGTTTCCTTTACTAAATCGCTGGTGATGCTGTCAACCGCCTTATGCATAAACCATCACAACATCTACTTTTAGCAAGCTGACAACCATATGCGGTACCAACGCGCTGGTGATGCTAGGGGCGTCGGCCGCTTGATCTATAAACTTTCGCGGCACCTACTTCCAGTGCCCGGAGAACATTTTCTTTGCTACGTCAATGGTGGTGCTGGGCATCGACCGCTTCATCTCGCGGATTCGTCCAAGGCAGATTGAGACGCGTCTGGCTCGAAAAACAACTGCCTCTATGCAACTTGTTTTGTAGAGGACTTGGATGCCGCCGAGCCCAGTAGAAGACAAACGTTTGGTAGGTGAGGCATGGGCCTTGCGAACCATATTTCCAATCTACAAAGGGGACAATGATGAATATTGACCACAAACCACATAACCGAAGCCGGGCCTAGGGCAAACCAGAACTAGATGGCGTCTCAGCACAACCGCGTTTGCAACTGGGCACACCGCCGCAGAGAAGCCACCCAGCAAACCAACCAGCCCAGGTTGGGGACCCTCAAATCTGGCACTTCACCGCGCCCTTCCCAATGCCAATCGCGTTTTCTGTACTGGCTTGAACAATTTCAGGTGGCTGTGCACATTTTCCCTGTTTTTTTGTAGGAGGGGGAAACTCCTGGTTCTTGCACATTGAAAATGGGAAACCATTCTCGAACCTCGAAACCAACCAGGGAAACTGACAGTCGGGTTTCCATGGCAGATGCCTCCTTCCTCAGTCAGGATTTCACATCCTACCCTAAAAAGTGAGTATTGGGTGAGTGCGGGCTAGCTTTTCCATGCCCGTTAATCTCTTCCCCCTATTAATAAATACGCCCCCCCCTATTATAAATAAATCCCCCCAAAAATATAGTTTTTTTTTAATTGGGGTTTTTGGGGTTGGTTTTTTGCTTTTCCAACAATGTGAGGGTTCACGTAGGATTTGGATGAAATGGATTGAATTGTAAGGTCCGCGAGTAAGCGGTTCAATAAGGAAATTTGATGCATCATTCTATTTGTTTTGGGGAATTGAGGAACCCACCTGTTGAAAAGTGAGGCTGGAAGCTTGCCAAAAGTGCCCCCTAATAAGGATTCCAAGACGTTAGTATTGGTTTAGTATTGGCGCAATGGAAAGCCAATTGTGTGGAGTGGAAATCTGGTCCCGGGCCCCGGATTTGCATTTATTATTAATTGGGGTCATTCATTAATTGGGGGAGCGGATTAGGAAACCCTATTTCGTGCTTTGCCTTGTTGAGCTTGTGACCTTTGGTCAGCTTCCCTCCAATTGGTGATTTGGATTGGTGGTTTGGCAATCCAAACCACAAACTCAGGATTACCTTACCCGTGGGGAAACGGAAGATCACGTCATTCCCTGAAACAGGTTAGGCATATTCAGGAATGGTTTTTGGAGGTATGGTTGCTTAAATACCACCAATATACGCTGAAAAGGCAGCTCCTTGTTAAAACGAACCTTTTAGCAGGGGATGGAGGGGCAACCAACACCCCTCTTCCTGAATTTGCCCTTGCCGAGGTGCCAACGCCTGGGGCATTTCCTTGGAGGCCGTGTGTCCAGATGGATGGATGACACTTTGGGATAACCACCCGATATCCTGCCAGAAGTTGGCCACTAAGTGTTGAACATGTTGCATTTGCAGGTCCCAGATATGCGCCAAAATCAAAAATATGTTATTTTTAGTTGGGTGCAAAGCTGAGGTAGCAGTTCACACTGGAGGTGGTGTGTTTGGGGGCTCTATTTTTTCCCAGGGTAGACCATTGTAGGCTTTGATTCCGACACAAATTTATTGTTGTTCCTGTCATTTGCTACCTGAGAGGCGGTGCCGGGTATTTGCAGCTTCTGGGGGTGCCAAGTGCACAACTGACTTAGAACCTGACTAGATTTCTACATGAGTCCTCTAGGTCGCTTATACGGTGAGTTCCTTTTGCGTTGCTCGCTTTTGCTAGGAGAAGCCAAAGCAACAGGTTCCAGCAACTTTGTCGAGGACGACATACTCCGCAAAACGTGGGCATTCCGAGTGGGAACTTGAATTGGGGACCCTTTGGTGGGTCTCATTTACCTTTGGCTTATTCATTGGTGGTCAATTTGTTTTGCTGGCTTTCCGTAGGGATTAAGGGAAGGACTCCTCTCAACCATTCCTTACAATTGACTACAAACTGCTGGTTCCCTCTACTGAGGCAAATTGTTCATAGGGGACCCGCTTTGCTTCAAGCCTTGGCGACAAGCGCAGCGGTTGTATTGAACGGGCAGGAATGCGCTTTCCGCGCAGCCTTCTGGAATGCGGTATGTTGCAGGAGTCCTTTTGCGCCAACTCCACCTTCGAACCAGGATTGGTGGCTTCTCATTGCAAATCGGATCCGGTTACCCGGATGGTCCAGAAGGTTCCCCGGTCCGGGTTCTGGCCGGGCAACTTGTTTCTCCAGGGAAGGCTTCCCGAAGCCCTTTTTCCCACATGGGGCGAGGCTTTGAGGAACCTTCCGCGTGTGCTAGGTCCCCCAGTAATACCCTTTGACCCTTTCTTTGGGGAGGGTTCCCCTACTAAATAGACTACCAAAAAAATCGGGTACCCTTATTCTAACTTCTCTACTGGAGGACCTAGTGTACCCTCTAGGGTTTGATTGAAGACGACCTTTCCTTTGGGGCTTTGCACGCCCCTGGTACACTCTAATCTTGGCTTCCTCCTGGCTCAACCACCCACGACCCCTGTTTTTGTTGTGGGTTTCTCACAGGGGCCGCCCTGTGTGTTGGGACAACAAAAGCCACCATGCTTCCTGCAAACACAGGGGGCTATGCCGTTTTTTAGGCGCTTTCCTTCAAACACCACAAAGCAAGGGTCCTGGAGTCGCCTTCTGACCATAAACACAACAGATGGAAGTCAAACCTACCAGGTGCCTTCAGCTGAGTGGTTTGGAGGCCCGGTTTGGTTGGGTGTCCCATTTCGCCACTAAAAGTCTTCAACTTTCAGCGGATCAGAACACATCCCAGGTAAACCAAGGGGATATTATTAACCTCCAGTGTTTTAGGTGGGCCCCTGAGTACTTGGCTCTTCGGCCAAATTAGTAAGTTGTTAACCTAGATTATAACCCACTGAGAAGTCCCCCGTTCAGTGGGGTTTTAAGCCTGCGATTAATGGGTCTAACGAACCCAAGTGGCGATCCAACCACCCACTAGCTTGGCGAATCGAACATCCAAGTAGTGATTTTTCAGACTCCATCTATAAATCCCAAGCAGCAAATTTCATATCGTGTGCCAGTGGGTCTCTTACAGAGAGTAGGTAACCGCGATGGTTTCTCATTTCGCCCACTCAAAGTTGTCAAATTTTGGCAGTGATCAGAGGACATCCCATATGAACCCCCAGGTTATTTTTAAGGGTGGGCGATTGAGTACTTGGCTGTTCAGCCAAGTTAGTAAGTTGTTAACCTAGGTTATAACCCTCTGACAAGTCCCCCGTTCAGTGGGGTTAAGCCTGCGATTAATGGGTCTAACGAACCCAAGTGGCCACTCATTTTGACCCCATATTAATCCCCCTTCTAAAAGCGATGATCCCCCACTAAGCGAGCATCCAAGTGCCCTCCAGCTGGGTCAACCCCGAAAAAGCAAAAAACACCGCGTTAAACAACAAAAACACTGGGTAAATAATACTAAAATTACACCCCGGAAAAAAATACAGGAAACAAAAACAAAAAAACGAAGGAACACAACAAGGAAAACAAAAGGAAAATAAAAACAAAAAGAACAAACACGCGCCCAGGCCGCCGGGGAGCCGGCGGCCACCGCCTTCGCGCGGGGCAACCTCCTGGCACCGGTGGATCAGCTCGAAGCCCTGAGGGCCGGTGGCCGTTTGATTTGGGGCGACGCGAGAGAGGTCTTCGAATTCTAGGTCCCCCACTAGTGCCCACTCTTACCAACTTTTTTTGGGGGGAGGAACCCCCCCTTACTAAACTAGACTACAGAAAAAAAAGGTACCCTTATTCTAACCTTGCTACTGGAGGACCTAGAATTGGAAAGACGAGGCTCCGGGTGTTTGTCTTGGTCTTCTGCAGGGGCTGTGTTTTTGTGTTTTTTTGAGCCACGTGCTCCAAACCCGGGGATTTATGAAGGCTAGTATGGGACGGTCCCAGCCAGAAATAGCTGCGGATATCCGCCTTCTTAATTCTTGAAGCAAGGGTCTGGGTCAACCTTTTCTATACCGGGTTTTGATTTTGACTGATTTCAAAAAAATAGCCTCACTCCCACGTTGCCATGGCACCTGACAGGGGATCTCTACGAGAACATGATCTTCCAGGTACCCTCTCGCAGGTGGTATGTTAGTGGAGAGGGTGGGTTCCCCAAAAAGAACCAGCCCCAAAAGAATGGGTCGCCCCTCTGAAACAAGAGAGTCACAATTGGAGGCCATGTGCGGTTCGGAGGATGTTTTTCGCCCCCTGGAAATGTGCGTTCATCCTTTCCAGGGGACTCTAGCAAATGGAGGTGGGACCTTGTGAAGGGCTGAGAAATTCGGAATTCCACTGGTTGGCTGCAACGCAATTTCAAGCCAGTTTTAAACATGGTGTCTGGGGTAGACTTAGGATACACTTTAAATTTTACCAGTGACTCAAAGTGAAGCAAACAATAAAATATACATTCTACAACTGGGCCTAACTCTAAACATGTGTCACATTTTGTTGACAGAGGAAAACGAGGAATCGTCTCAAAGGAATTAGAGCTTTCCAACATGGTTGGCCGTTTGTTTCGGTTTCCAGTCAAACCAACTCAAAAAGGAGTTATTAAAGCAAGTACGCGCCCATTTTTCTTATGTTTCCGTGGCCGCCCTGTGAGTTATACAAGCGGCAAATTCATTTTCACAGTAGTTACCAGTCATATGTCATTAAGCACTTTAAATATGAGAGGCCAGCCTGCCGCAAAGCAGCTTGACCAGACCAATGATTCGGCTCACCGAAAGAAAGCGGCTGAACACAAAAACTTGACCTTGTGAAAATAGCCATGCCCACAAAAGGTTGACCTTGTCTTTTTCAAATACCCCCATTTGAACCGATTTATTTTGGTTTCCCTTCACCAACAGAAAAGGGGTACCCTTAAAAAGTGACACGCCTGTTAGTTGATGGAAGTTGTTTGTCAAGATGGATGAAAGGAACGCTTGTCAGATGTGATGAGAATGGAATGAGAAGGTTGTTATTGCTAGTAGACATGAAAGGAGTAATGCGAACATGGTATGAGAACACTTTAATGTCAATATGTAAGAAGGAATGTGGGGATGAAATTGTATTTGTCCAACTGGATGAAACAAAATCGGCATACCTCTTACCTTCCACTGGGGGCGAGTGACTTGGGTCCCCGCACGGGGCCCAGCGCTTCGGTTGGCCTCTGAGGCTGCTGGTGGAGTGCGCCACCCGCGCCACGGAAGCCAACAGCTCGCTGCCCCTTGGCCTCAGATCTGGCGGCGGTTTTCGCCTTGACTTGTAAAAAGGCGTGGTTGGAGCGTTCCAGTCTGGGTGTGGTTTGGGATCGTTTGGGATTTTGTTCCAAAGAGATGTGGTATCTCTGGCTGGGCGTTTTATGTTTGATCGATTTTCGGCGCGAGGACGTCCCGCTGGCTTTGGGATCTTTGCCAAAATTGGTGTTGCTTTCTTTATGGTTTTTAGCCTGGGCCAAAATGTGGAATTGTCCAAGTGGTGCAATTTTTCAATGAGGGTGCAAATTTAAGGAGGGGCCCTCTGGTGGACATCAGAACTCGATGGCTGGATTTTTGTCAACCACTTGGGAGGAGGTTCCCCAAGTTCACAGCCATGTGTTGTGATTTAGGCTGGGCTAAATATGGAACAGAGTCAGCCCATATTTTCTGTGTTCCCCAGGTGTAGGCCCGGTGTTTGGTGCAGGGATTTTTTGTGCGAGTTGCAAGAGATGGGTCTGTTCTTTTGAGGCTCCCATTTTGGGAGTTGGTTTGGGAAGTCAAAGAGAACCCGCCAATCTTGGGGTTCCCCTTCGAGACAAACCAGAATCGACATGTTCAGCTACCCGGGAAACTGGGGACTAATTCGGCTCGGCCATATTGCAAGTAAACCAACCCGACAACACCATGGTAAATTGTGGTAGATTAGTCGGTCCCCAGGGGCCCGTGGTTCCCTTTTAGTACATGATCTATTTAAGCCATCTATGTTTTTTTTGTGGTGGGAGAAAATAAATAACATGTTTTTTTTTGCGTTTCCCTAGTGGTCATTTTATGTGAAGGACCTTTTGATCAACCCCCCTTGTTTTTGTGGAGTTCCTAGGGTCTTCCTTTTGCTTAATCCGAGGTTTCGACTGCGAAGCCCATGTCTGGGCAGATGTGTGTGTGTGTGTGTGTGTGTGTGTGTGTGTGTGTGTGTGTGTGTGTGTGTGTGTGTGTGTGTGTGTGTGTGTGTGTGTGTGTGTGTGTGTGTGTGTGTGTGTGTGTGTGTGTGTGTGTGTGTGTGTGTGTGTGTGTGTGTGTGTGTTGTGTGTGTGTGTGTGTGTGTGTGTGTGTGTGTGTTGTGTGTGTGTGTGTGTGTGTGTGTGTGTGTGTGTGTGTGTGTGTGTGTGTGTTTGTGTTTGTGTTTGTGTTTGTGTTTGTGTTTGTGTTTGTGTTTGTGTTTGTGTTTGTGTTTGTGTTTGTGTTTGTGTTTGTGTTTGTGTTTGTGTTTGTGTTTGTGTTTGTGTTTGTGTTTGTGTTTGTTTGTGTTTGTGTTTGTGTTTGTTTGTGTTTGTGTTTGTGTTTGTGTTTGTGTTTGTGTTTGTGTTTGTGTTTGTGTTTGTGTTTGTGTTTGTGTTTGTGTTTGTGTTTGTGTTTGTGTTTGTGTTTGTGTTTGTGTTTGTGTTTGTGTGTGTGTGTGTTTTTTTTTGTGGCAACCCACAACATGGCGCAACGGTTTTCCTGTTGGTTTCCCTTGACAACCAACCAAAAAGGGGGGTCCCTCAAACCATATGAGCCTGAAAGATTCCTGAATGGTGGCTTTCTTTTCAAAGCCACCACGACTTGGTTTGGACCTGGTACCTAACCCCCCCCTCCCAAAACAATATTGTCAATCCTTGACCAAAACGGCGTAGTTACTGCGGAACCCGGGTTTTCAACCCATAACCCGTAACAAGCATTTGAAATAGGGTGTGGCAAAATTCTACACGATCTTGCTCCAGGTTACTGGGAAATGTGCCATGTTCAAAAACCGTGGGGGGAAGACCCCCTTGAATGCATCTGCTTGTTTTATGGCGAGCTCACCGATCCGGGAATAAAGCAGGCTCGTCATGATGTAACACCCTGATCCAATTCTTAGCTCCGGTCTTTCAAATGCGGAGTGCGGGCAGATTGCCTTAGTCAGGTGCCATGTTAGTGGCTGGGGGAAAAGACTGGACAGATCAATTCAGCGTTCCACTGCCGATTCGAGCAATGGAAGGTTGAAGACCCTTGTCACCAATAGGCTCTAGGTCCTTGGTCCTTGACCCGGAATTCAGGTCCATCCTCACTAGTCCGTACGAGTCTCTTAATGTAGAGCGTGTCTTCTTTTGTTGGGGGATTCACCCAGAAAGGTGGTGTCCTTTTAGTTCCTCGTAAATCGCGTCATCCAAGAAAGGAAGCTAAGCCCGAAACAAAGTTGGAAGCCATTTGTTTTCAACCCTGTTTTCGATCCGTTTGTTTCGCGGATTTCGCGTCCGTGCATGCACGTGGCCAAACAACTGAAAATGAGGAAGATCCCTGGAAAAAAGTGGTGGACATAAGAAGCAACCACCTACAGGAGGTCTACAAAACCCACCCATCGAGTTTGGATGTCCACGGGTTCTGTGCTCAGGTCGGTGCGCTTTCGGGTCACGCCCGCCGCTGCCTTAGATGGGCGAAGGCCCAAAGGGTGGTTTGGTTAGTTGGATGTAGCGTGGTTCGGAGCCAGCCAACCGGTTGCAACTTGGGCTTTTAGATCTTTTAGGTGGTGAAAGGTGGTTGGGGTGCTGGATTTTTTTGGCTTTTTAGAGGGTTTATTGGGGGGGAGGGGAGGTTTGGTAGGCAGATTGAAAACTGGATTTCCAAAGACTGGGATCTCCACTTGGCGGATTCCAGAATTGGGTTTGCATTTCACCAACTAAGAGTTATTCGCTTTTCGCCGGGGATCTGAGGGCAGCCCAGGTCTTAGAGAGTCTCACACGAGAGTCTCGGGTCTTCACTGCCAAAGGTGCCCCGGGGTTTGACCCAACCTCTTCACTGACCAGCCCTTTTTAGTTGATGTATAAAAAGCCGAGCTTCCAACATGGTAAATACCTCCCCTTGTTTTTCAGTCAGGGTTGACATCCTCAAACTAGGAGGCTGCACAAAAACAAGGTCTGCAAAATGGGTGCAGTGAAAAACCGGAGAGCTTGTTTTACCTGGAGTCTCCATGACCCTTTAAGCATTGGGGCCAGGACCCCTTCTGTTGGGTAATGACTACATAGATTTGAAGTTGTACCTGGAGTCTCCGTGGCCCTTTAAACATGGGGCCAGCACATGACCCCGTAGAACCCCATTTTGAAAGGGTCATGGAGACATGACTCCACTTCAAAGGGTTATGGAGACTCCAAGGACTCCAGACAAGTTTTCTCTGACTCCAAGGACTCCAGCACATGACCCCATAGAGCCCCATGTTGAAAGGGTCAGGGAGACTCCAAGGACTCGTATAACCCCATGTTGAAAGGGTCATGGAGACTCCTGGTACCACTTAAATCACTGGAGTCATTACCCAACAGAAAGGGGTCCTGGCCCCCAATTATTTTTTTTTGAAGGAGTACCTGGTTGCTTGCCTGGGCCCAAAAGGTCCTTCTTGCCGAGGCTGTGACTGCCCTCCCTGCGGGCTCCTTGCTCATGGCGCCGCGGAGCCCAATGGAAAGCGCAGAGGGATCTCAGTCAGTTACTACAAGGTCCCCTTAGCGGGGGGTTCATAGAGGTTTATACGGGTCTATTGGGGTTAGAGTTGTTTGCGGGTTTAATGGGGTTGATAGTTGTTTTTTGTTGTTTTTTAGGGTCCCTTAACTCACTGGCCCAAATGACCTTTTGGTCCATTAATTAGTTGTGGCAACTGAGTTCAAGGATACACGCCCCCCCCCCCCCAATCACCTGGCACAGGCAGAACCCTTTTAAGACACCGGTGGTTTTAAGCAAAGTCAATGATGCCTACGCACACCACCTGACTGAAAAAGGATGTAGTTACTATACTGTTGATGGACGAACTCCTGCACTTGTTCGAAGCCCCGGGAGGCCATGGCTGTGCCTGGGCATTTTAGGTGCAGGATTCCCTCCACAGTGGCGGTTAGCCATCCGGTTCCTTAGCTTTTTAGCCTTTCAGTGTTTAGTGGTGGGATTTCCCGTTTAAGCCACTGAAAGCTAGACGCTCTTAGCGCGGGAGCTGAAAACGGACAGCCCAGAGGAACGGGACACGTGTTTGCAACGTCCAAGAGTCCTGCAGGTGTTGGGAGCTTGAGGCGTGGACTTTCTTTCCCTTTCCGAGTCCAAAGGGAGTCAAAGGTGGGTTTCACCCAAGCTATACCCGAAAAAGCCGGTGGGACATTGTTGCTAATGTTGTTGGTGTTTTGAAGGCAAACGGCAACCCGGCCCCCTTCCAATACCTGCATTTTAGGCGCTTTATTCTCGGAAAATCCATGATAAACACCTCCTTTTTAATGTCAGGGCTTGGCAGAGAGGCCAAAAAAGGCAGCCGAGTACCAGATGAATACGCGGGGCCTCCCTCCTCATCCGTTGTATATTTGAGGGTAGACTAAATACGGAACCAGCATATATGTTTCGTTCTGTGTAGTCCCGATTCCGGTATCCTTTAAACGGTCGTTTGGGGATTTGAATGTCGCCTTTTGCACTACCTGGTTTTCAGTCTCCCCCCCCTCCCCCCCCTCCCCCCTACCCCGCCCCGCCCCCCCCCCCCCACCCAATGCTCCCAGCCTTCCACCATACTCCATTCCCTCTCCCCCCACCATACATGATCTATAGCTTGATTTAAAAACAACACACACCAACTACAAATTGAAATTATATGAAATTATATTTAGTAAACATTGTTTTTGTTTTTCCCCCTTTTTTTCCTTTTTGTTTTCTTTCTTTTTTTTTGTTCCTTTTTTTCCCGATTTGTGTTACACTGTTTATTCCCACAGATGTGATTCGCGCCCAATTTGCCGCATGGCAAAGGCTCCGCATCTCGGACCTGGACCTCCGCGAGCCGGCCCTGGCCGACGCGGCGCCTTTCCTGCGTCGGGATGCCTCGATGGTTCGAGACGCCTCGCTTGAACTTCCATTGGCTTAAGAGATGGTTGTTTGATTTTCCCTGGTTTTAAAGGGAATCTAGCACTGCTGGATTTTTGTTTTATCCTTGTTGGTTTTAAAGGGAATCTAGCACTACTGGAAATATATGTGTTTTTTTGTTTTTTTCCCCCGAAAGCTCTACTGCAAATGGACGTGAAGCGGATGCCTCTCGGTGGGGCAGCTCCGGTGGTTTTGGCTAGGTCCCCCAGCTGGTGCCGTTGGGGAGGGTTCCCCTACTAACATAGACGTCCTTAAAAAAAGTTGGTACCCTTATTCTAACCTCTCTACTGGAGGACCTAGTTCATGTTCGTTGTTTTTGGTTTGAAGGGTGGAACCCCTTGAGAATCAGCAGGTATTGCTGAGTTGGTGGATTGGATTCTTCGGCCGGGAGGAGCGCAACGCTTGGGCTGGCTAGGAGGAGCCTGCTGACGCTGGCAGGGGGGGCAAGGACTACGTCCTGCGACTGCAGGGCCGCTTTCACTTTGCATTGCCGCGATCTTGCGGTCTTACGCGAATGATCATAAGGCGGCCGTGTACTCCCCCACAAAAGGCCGAGGACGCCTTCAAGAAGGAGCACCTGCGGCGCCGAGTGGAGCCCATGGTTCCAGACCTAGATGGGAAACCACCAATCATGGGGAAGCCGAAATCAAGCGCGTTCCTTTTTTCAACCTTGTTTAGCTTGTTGTTTCCGAGGTAGGGAACCCTTTTCAAAACATGTGCCCCAAACTAGGTGCCCTTTTAAACCTTTTGTTTGGATGGGGTAAATTTTCAGTGCCGGTGGAGGTGCGCACGACTTGTTGGACGCCTGCTTGGCAAAGCGGGGGAAACAACTTGACCCACGGAGTGAGCAAACTCATCCTATTATTCCTATTAATACGTTAAGAGGGGGGTTCCCCTCCAAAAGTGGCGAACCCCCACCAAAAAGGAACACACCCCGCATCGAAATCACCCAGGGGTTCCCATTGCCTGCCAAGTGCTTGGAAACCTCTCATATTCTCATTCTAGGTCCCCCAGTAAGAAAAAAGGGCACTCCTATTCTCTCCTCTCTACTAGAAAACCTAGCATTGTTCGGTTGATTAGCAAGCCCAGGGTGCATGCCCTACCTGGGTCCCTTGATCTGTCATCTGAGTTACGCACAAAAGAGTCTCCTTTGCAGAGGTTGACTCGGGTCTGTGAAATTCCAACCCAAACCATTTTGAGTCTCATATTTGGGTGAGTGTTGCTTTGGTTTTCCTCAACCTGTCATGTTGTCAGACAAATACGTTCGTTTGGATTTGGATGAGTCCAACCAAGGACACCGCTCATGCTGAGAAACGTGGAGTTCCTCCCCACTTTGTTTGTTTACATCGACCCCAAGAAAGTTATTCTTTGAGAGCGGACATTTCGTTTTGGGGATATCGGATAGGAACCCTCCAAAGGGCAGCAAAACCCACCAGTCTTGGGAAGGAGAGAGGGATCCCGCTTGAAGCGGTCCTCCTCCTGAGCACGTGGTGGGAAAAAGCGGGGTGTCCATGTCAGCTGGAGTAACTGGTCTGCCCGATTCAGAGTGGAGCTCGGCTCAGGCTCTACGAGCTCTGGCGCGGAGCTGGAGCGCAATCTGTGGTCGGTGGCTTTCAGGGAGTGGGCAGCGGGCCCCGATACTTCCGCAAAGTTGGTTCTGAGCATCACCTTTTTGGGCCATGTAAGGTTGGCCTTGGAAGGGGGTGATGTTTTAGGGGGAAATCTATTGGGTATATATGCGTCTTTAGGGATTTGGACCCCTGAAGGGTCGTTTCTTCTGGTTTTCCCTTTGTGAGCGCATACCGATTCACAGCCATCCTGGCCTCATGGGGTTCAATTTGTGAGATTGGTGCTATCTCCGGAAACGTCCTGGCGCGTAATGCTGTGAATTTTGAGACACAGCTAAGGTTTCGTGTTTTACTGGTTCCGTTCCTTCACGGGGACGACTACGATCCCACCGGAGCCAAGAACCGTGAAGTGTGGTGCTATAGTCAATGTGACATGTTTGTCAAAAATGGGGAGGGACCCCGCGAACGATTGGGCGGGGGGGTCCCTTTTCTATTCAATCCCAAAGGGTACCGTCACAAAGCGACACAACCACAAGGGTTATGTGACTGATATCAAGGCTACATACACCCCATGGCGGTGGTGGTTTAGGGTGAAGCCCCGACAACCCTCTTGCAATGTTGAGGGTGCGCATTACTTGGCGAGAAGGGGGCAATGCCTGGCAAAGACGGTGTGGTGCGAGGGCATGATGAAGATACTGGGATGACCTTGGCTGAGAAAAGGTCAGTCATCTGGGCAGAATCCAAACGGTCGGGACAATTCCCAACTTGTTCTATTCACTTTCTACTTGGTTTGTGTCATCCAAGTAGGAACGGCACGTTCTCCATAATCCTCTGTTTTGTTTGGAGGTATGGAGGGTGTGTGTTAGGGGACCCCTCTCCCAAATTTAATGGTGGTGGTCCTTTTGGTTGTCTTTTCAATCAACCCTACCAGGGGTATCATATGCCATAGGTGTCGAATTTGGTTGATTTGGTTCTAAACTAGAGGGCCCTGGTTTACGTGGTGGTTCAATCACCTACCAGGGAAACCCCTCTGTTTTCAACCAAAAAGGAGCCCAACACCTCCAAAGAATCCACCTCAACACGCCCTCAACTTGCTTTCGCGAACTGGCAAACCGGGTCAAAGAGCAACCCAGTTTTGTCAGCAACAGCCCGTGTCGAGACGGAGAGGGGCCTTGCAAGCAAATGTGTTTTGTTTGGGGGGGGGGGCGTCAGACAGTGAGAGTATTTGCCAATGACAACATGCACAGATACATGTTGAACGATGTCAGCTAAAGAAGAGTTGCTTGAGCTTGCAACTCAACGTGTAAGAGCACAATCCACGAGCACGAGCAGTTCCACTGCCTTGAGCCTTTGCCCCGTCAAGGTCCCAAAAAGTTTGGTCCATTTGTTTCTGGCAATGCTGGTCCATGTTTAGTCAAGGTCCTAGCGGGTTGACCGGTTGTTTGGTCGTTTGGGCAACTGAGATCACGTGGGTGTGGCTCAAAATTCAAGAGCTAGTTCCATTTGCCAGGGTGCCATTTTGGGGATTCCATTTTTTGAGCCACAGCCACATGTGTCAGTCGAATCTGGGACCAGCCGAGATCAACCCGGCTCGACAGGAGGCACGCCACTTCCCCAAGTTCGGGTGTCCACCCATGTCGCTCTACTCGAGCCGCAGACTCCGCCAGGCGCCTTCTGCCAACCGAAATGTGTGTCTTGTTTGGACAAATCCCCAGACGTAAAATTGGTTTTCTGGTAGAAAGGGCATGTTTGAGGGGGACGTATACCCCCTTCCCCCCGTTCCGAGTTCGCTGTCAACCCTGACTTGAAAAAGCAACCTATTTGCCACGAAGAGTGAGTTTTTCACAAACAGAACACTTGGTGGCCCCCAGCCGTCCCATTAGCTTTTCAGGCTTTTCGGGTTTAGTGGTAGTTTCCATCTAACCCACTAAAAGTTAAACTTTTAGCAGGGGATCTGAGGGCAGCAACACATAACCCTCAAAAAGCCGCGGTGGGGAATTGGAGTCAGCGCTTGCGCCTCTCCAAAAGCCAGATATGTGGAGGCCCGAGACCCTCATGACACCCTCGCCTGAGGTCATCCTAGGCACATCAAACGTACCCGAGTCCATTTCTAGGTCCCCCAGTAGTGCCCTTTTGCACTTTTTTGGGGGAGGGTTCCCCTAGTAAAATGGACTGCAGAAAAAGAATCGGGTACCCTTATTCTAACCTCTCTACTGGAGGACCTAGATTTCTCTATTTTTTCCAGGCCAATTACCCTATGTTGTAGGTTTGTTGAAAGGGAAGCGAAGAGCAGAGCCGAACTTAGCCCCCCCATGTTTTGGGATGGACGCAACTGGGAAGAGATCAGAAGTGCTGGGGCGAGCGTGGGCAAAGAAGCACTTGGCCTCCTTGCCCAGAGGATCCATCTAGCTTCTATCTATAGGTGCGATATCGGCGTGGAATGATACCTTGTTACGACCTTTGTAAACCATCCAACTCAAGGTTTGCCTGGAAACTCCTGGATTCATTCCCACATTCCCTACTGAGCACCAACAAGTTCATAACCCCCCCTTGCTATTGAGGGGGCGTCCCAGTTTGGTTGGGGAATCCGTTCTGCTAAGGGTACCGTGGTCATTCGTGATTGCAGGTTTATTGATCAGAGGTCAACATTACCATGGTACCAAAAGTCGATATAGGGGTGTGTCAGCTTTTAGGACTCTGTGAAGTTTCCTCCAGAAACCTTTGTGGATAAACCACCCTTGTGCATAGGGGTGGGCCTCGAGATCAAAACAGCTGCGCCCCTCATTTCGTTCGCACTTGTCGGTGCGGTGGCATGGTCTGGAAACCTCGTGCGTTCTGGACTTCTTGAAGTTGGTAGCGGAGCCCGAGATTCGGGCGATCGCGAAGATTCTAAAGCCGCTGCAGGCCCTGGAACTCAACCTGAACCAGAATGCCGGAGGCGGAAGGATCAGGTGGTGGAAAAGGTTCATCATCGCAGGTGAACACTGGACGGGCCGACAACTACGTGCCAATCTTCAATGGCAAGCAGCGCGACTACCGCGAATTCAGGAAGAGATGTGAAATCTACAAGAGAAAGATGGAGCTGGCTGGCAGAGGCCGTGAGACTTCATACAACATCATCACGTTGCTGCAGGGCAAGGCTTGGGACCTCGTGGAGGACCTGGACATCACGTCCCTAGGTGAGGCTGATGGCTATGACAAGATGTTCGCTCGCCTGGACAGCGGATTCAAGTACGACCCCATGACGGAGCTGCCAGACGACTTTGAGAACTTCTTTGTCAAGCTCCAGCGGAGGCCAGAGCAGACCTTGCAGGAGTATTCGGCCGACTTCGCCAGAGCCCATCGGAAGCTGAGGTCATCACACAAAGTGGAGCTGCCGGAGAAGGTGCTGGCCTGGTGGTTCATCAGAAAGAGTGGCATCACGCGGGAACAACGTCAGATGGTGCTCACAACCATGGGCACCGAGAAGATGACCGTGGAGGCCGCCCAGGAAGCCATGTTCTTCATCGTCGGCCAGGACTCCAAGTCAGAGAATCGGGAAGATGGCACCGAGGACCCAGGAAGGAGATCTTCTACGCTGGTGAAAGCTGGGGTCCGGAAGAACCTGAGGATGAAGACTTCCCGAGCAACTACTTGGATGTGCACTTCCTGAGCGAGGACGAGGGCTGGTTGGACTTCGACCAGGACTATTACGACCAACCTGCCGAGGACTACGGTGAGGCGGTGGAGGTCTACGACGTTGACGAGTATGACGATGTGTACTCGGCCTACGTTGATGCGAAGAACAAGATGAATCAGATGAGAACGGCCAGAGGCTTCTTCTCCGTGGTCGCGATGATTGGCGGCGGCGGTGGCAGCTATGGCAAGAAGGATGGCCGCAAGGGTAGTGGAAAGAAGTTCAAGGGCAGACCCAAAGGACCAGGACCAGGAGGAGGAAAGGGCAAGCAGATGCTGAAGCCAGGAGCTCACCTTCTGGAAAGGCCCGTGGACGTGCTGCTCTTGGGAAACAACTATGCCTTCGATGTGGCCAACCTGGACACTGGGCACGGAACTGTCCTCAGAGTGGCAACGGAGAGAAGCGGAAGCGGCTCGATGACGATGCCGAGGACATCAACATGGTCGAGAACGTGGATGCTCAGGTATACAGCTTGGATGATGGAGATTCTGAAGGCGAAGACAGCGCGGTGCAAGATGGCGGTGCAGGTGCTCTCCTCGGATCAAGGCACCAGGTGAAGAAGTACATCAAGCACCTGGTGGAGAAGGGTGTTGACATGGCGGAGGTGGAGGTGTATCCATGCACCAAAGGCTTTCGCTATGGCAATAGCCAGTTGGAGGAGACCAAGACCTGCGTGGTGGTGCCGACCTACATGGGTGGGAAGAAACGCAAGATGCTGGTCTACGTCATTGGTGGAACAGCCCCCATCCTGGTTGGACGCCCCGTGCTAGAGAAGATGGGCATCGCGGTGGACTACGGCAAGAACATGATGAGATGGCCGGATCGTGAATGGCACGCGATAAAAGTGGGACCGAAAGGTGAACACTCGCTGCATCTTGCAGAGGACATCAAGGAACTGAAGGACGCGGAAGTGGCGGAATACCTCATCCCCGAAGGCGCCGAAGGTCATGTGGACTTCAAGAGCAACCTTGGAGTGCAGGCGCTACTGGTGGTTGAGGAGGACAACCTGGAAGAGTCTTACGCGGTTGAGTCTGGGACCGTTCCAATGGACATGGACGACGTCGTGGATGAAGGAGTGTCCGAGGAGCCGAGCCAACAGAATGCTGTTGGGCTTGATGCCGGTGGCTTGGAGTCATCGAAGACCCCCGTGACCGAGAAGGCGACGAACGCGGAATCCAAGAAGGTGAAGTTCGTTGGGGTATGCATGGACGAGAATTCATTATTGAAGATGAGGAAGCTAACTACGCCTATGCTTCGGAAGATGATCAGAGAAGCCGAGGAGGTTGTGTCCAGCAGGAACAAGATATTGCGGATGGCAAGGACATGCGAGAAAGGCAAGCCAATCCGTAGGATCTGGGAGCTCTTCGTTGGCGAAGGCCGCACCAGCAAGTTCCTCGACAAGATGAACGGTGTGGAATCGAGGGTTTTCTCGATTCAGAATGGTTGGAACTTCGAGGACAAGGGCTGCCAGAAGAAGTTCATGGAGCTGGTGAAGCGGGAAGAACCAGACGAGATCCTGATGGCACCGATGTGTCGATTGTGGTCGCCCATGCAAGAGCTATATGCCTGCCGTGGTGAATGGGAGAACCAGCAGTTGGTCAAGAATCGCACCGAGAACCATGACAATGTGCTGATGTTTGTGAGAGAGGTCTACCTGGAGCAGTACCAGAATGCCCGAGAAGCAACGCTGGAACATCCCTGGTTGAGCAGAGCATGGAAGACGAAGGCGTGGCGTGACCTGCCAGGACACATGGCCTACGTGGACCAACGCATGTATGGTCTAAAGACGCCAGATGAGTGGGGTGTGACGGTTCCCTCCAAGAAGCCGACCTGTTTTTGGACGACCAAGAAGTCTTTGGCAGACGGACTTGCGAAATGGTGCAGTGGTGATCATCAGCACCAACCACTTGAAGGACATGCCCCTGGCTATGGATCAAGGACAAAGATGGCGGAGAACTACCCCCGGATGCTTGCGAAAAGGCTGGCAGACCTGATGGCTGTTGCCCCGGTGGTAGATGACGTGATGGCTGGAGAGGATGCTGAAGAGCTCAAGGACGAGAAAGATGTGATCAAAGCCGATGATGAGCAGGCAGATGCTCAGAAGAGAGAGGATCAGTCGATCAAGAAGAATCGACAGCTGCGAGCAGAAGTTGGACCGCAAGCCTTCAACTACGTGAAGCGGCTACACAAGAACCTTGGTCATCCTGCCCCCGATGTGCTTTGTCAAATGCTCAACGAGGTGCAGGCGACCGACACGGTGCTGAAGGCGGCGAAGAACTACCTCTGTCCAAGCTGTGTGGCTCGGACCAAGCCTGGTGGAGCGCCTCCCGCATCTGGACTGACGGCCAAAGAGTTCAACGATCGTATCGTGGTGGACTCAGCGTGGATCAACACCGACACGGGCCGGAAATGTGTGCTGACCATTCTGGATCAAGCAACTAGGTATGTGGCGGTGCGCATCTTGAAGGCCGAGCGTGCGGAGGAGCTCATTAAGGGCATCGAGCGGGCTTGGATCAAACAGTTCGGAGTTCCTCGCTTCCTGAGGACTGATGAGGCGAAAAGGGCTGGGCTAGTCGGATGTTTCGGGACTGGGCCAGCGACAAGAACATTGCCCTGGAGATTGCGCCGGCGGAGGCACACAATTGGCTCGGTGCAGTGGAGAGAAAGCACCAGGTCATTCGGAGAGCACTGGAGCTGTTCATGGAGGACGCCAACAACAAGACGGAGAAAGGGCTGCTACAAGCCTCAATCTATGTCCCGGGCCAGGTGAACGCGATGAGCATGACGCGTGGCTTCACGCCAACTCAGTGGGTGATTGGGAGGAGTCCCAACCAAGTACAATCACTCACCGGCGACCTGTTCACCCCCCGACAGTTGACGCCTTGGATGCAGCTGGTGAGTTTGCCAATGTGCAGAAGAAGCGACTGGCAGCTCAAACGGCGTTTATACGCGCAGACAGCGATGCCAAGCTCAGGCGGGCCATGAACCAGAACTACCGGCAGATCAAGGACACGGTGGTGGTTGGACAGGTGGTCTACTACCGGCGGGAGAAGGGAGCCGGAATCTTGCAGAAGCAGAAGCGGCGTGGACCGGCAAGAGTGGTGGCCATTGAGCAAGATAACAAGGATCGCGATGCCGTGATTTGGCTGGCACATGGGACCTCTCTGCTGAGATGCGCTACGAATCAGGTGCGCCCCCGCGTTGAGGACACCGGGATTCCTTTGATCTCAGACCCCAACGCGGCGCTGAAGGACCTGCAGGAGTTGAGGGCGAGAAGTACCGCGCAGTTCAAGGATGTTTACCATCCTGAGTTGCCGGGAGACGAAGAAGATGGCATCGAGGAGCTCGACGCCGAGTATGAACCTGAAGAACCTGGAGAGCCAGGTGAGTCACCCGAGGTGGATGAGAGCATGTTGCCGGGCATCGTGGTTCCTTTGATCCGGAGCCATGCGAGAAGGGCGAGCGGGTCAGAACCGATGTCTCGTGAGCAAACGCCTCGGCGAGAAGCCAGTGAACCAGAACCAGCACCACCATCTGAAGTCAGTGGAGAAGCAGGTGGACCAGAAGACGGGCGTGAGAGAAAGGAGAGTGACCGACCTGAACCTGAAGGCGTGAGAGAAGAGAAGCAACGCCGTGTCGCAGATCCTTCAGATGTGCCCGTACCCGAAGACATTGCCGATGATGACCTCATCATCGATGACATCACCTTCGTCGATGGCATGGACCCTGATGTCCCGGATGGCTGGGTCATGGTCGACGGTGAGTACGAGCTCTCGGATGTGTGGATGGTCCAGAACTTGCGGAAGACGGAGGCATCAGAGAAAACAATGACAGCTGATGAGAAGGCCCTCATGATGCAGGCTAAGATGGAGGAGCTCGAGAACTACTTCCGCAACAAGGTCTGGAACTTTGCGGAGGTGAACCCGGGCGATGAGTCGCGGATTGTGTCAACACGATGGGTGCTGACATGGAAGGTCACGGAGAATGGTCCGAAGGCAAAGGCACGGCTTGTGTTGCGCGGATACCAGGACCCGGACCTGATTGGGCTGGAGAAATCAGCGCCAACGGCAGGGCGACTTGGAAAGGTCTTCCTCATGCTCTTTGTGCAGAACCTGGACTGGCTGATGTTTGTTGGGGACGTTCGAGCAGCTTGTCTGTCTGGAGCAAGCTTCGACCGGAAGATCCTCGCCAAGCTACCCGCGGACTGTAGTGCTCTACTTGGAGTACGTGGACAAGCCTACATGCGGCTGCTGAAAAGCGCATATGGCCTCGCGGATGCGCCATTGCTGTGGTATCGGGAGGCAAAATCCAGAGTGGAGAAGATTGGCTTCAGGTGCCACAGACTGGACAAATGTTGCTTCATGTACTACGGCAAGGCCGACTACGCACTGAAGGTCATCCTCATCATGCACGTCGATGATGTGATGTGCGCCCAAGCTCGTGAATCGGAAGCAGATGCTGTGGTCGAGGAGGTGCGCAAGAACTTTGACTTTGGCAAGTGGAAGAAATTGTCGGAGAAGAACCCCATCACATACTGCGGATGCCAGATCAGCATTCAACACGGTGAGATCAACCTGGATGCGGAGGAGTACCTCAAACAGGTCAAGCCGATCACTGTGGATAAGAACGGAACCGGTGACATGACGGACCGGGAAGTTTCGAAGTGCCGTGGTTTGCTTGGAGCACTTCAATGGCCAGCAGGACAGGTGTCCCCACATGTTTGTGCTACCACGAGCCTCCTGGCGGGTGAGGTCGCAGCAAGGGCAAGGACCGCAATTACGGAGCTCAACAAGGGGCTGAGGTTTGCCAAGGCGACAGCTGGGGTGCATCTGAAGTTCCCAAGCATGGTGAAGAACCTGGACGAGCTGTGCTTTGTGGCGTTTTCCGACACGGCTTTTGGCATTCGTCGGGACTTTAGCTCCCAAGGTGGCTACATCCTGGTGGCGGCAAACAAGAAGTTGCTGGAGGGTGAGTGCATGCGGCACACAACCCTGGCTTGGAGGTCATTCAAGCTGGATAGGGTGTGCCGGAGTTCGCTTTCCACAGAAAGCCAAGCATGTGCCACGGCGACGGACGAGCTGATGATCACCAAGCTCTTCTACTCCCTCATGCTCGATCCTGACCAAGATCTGAGATCTGGCGAGACGGTGAAGAAGGCGGGTCAGAGTGCGGTGGTGATTGATGCTCGGGCGTTATACGACGCGACCAAGCGGGACACGATCAAGAACGCTGTGGACAAGCGGGCTGCTGTGGAAATCCTGTGCATTAAGGAGGCGCTTGAGTTCACCGGCAGCGAGATCAGGTGGGTGAGCTCAGAGAGACAGCTGGCGGATGGGCTGACAAAGCTGTTCGCAAGGCAGTCACTGGCCGATGCGCTGGGCGGTGGCTACATTCAACTGGTCTTTGACGAGACCTTCACAGCGGCGAAGAAGAAGACCCACAAGGAGCGGAGTCAGCAAAGCCAGGTGGTGCGCGGAAGTCTTCCGCCGTGGCGAACTATGTGAAGGCCATGATCATGGCCAATGCGGCAGAGTGTGCAGAAGGAAAGTCAGCGGAGGACGATGATGACTTTGACTGGCTCATCATCTACGGTGGCATCATGGTGGTGGTTGTGATGAGTGTGCTTATCACCATTTTGGTGATGAAGCTCATCAAGGCAGAGAAGAAGAGCATGCGAGACATGGAGACGCAGACCGAACGGTGGGAGCTTGAGAATGTCAAGAGTGAGAATGCCTTCCTGAGAGGAAGATGCCAGACCCTGGAAAGGCAGGGAGTCGTCACTCGGGCACCTCGCCAAATCGTGATCACGCCGACCGGAGAGAAATTCCATCGGTCGGGATGCGGGCATGTAAAGCAGCGAAGCCGAATCCTGGACGCGTGCAGAGACTGCATTGGCGGCTAGGTTTTCTACCTTTTTGGGCGTGTGAAGTTTCCTCCAGAAACCTTTGTGGATAAACCACCCTTGTGCATAGGGGTGGGCCTCGAGATCAAAACAGCTGCGCCCCTCATTTCGTTCGCACTTGTCAGTGCGGTGGCATGGTCTGGAAACCTCGTGCGTTCTGGACTTCTCGAAGGACTCCTTTAAGCCACCAACCTAAGGGGTCCCGAGCCTCAAACAAAGACACAAACACACATGTTTTGGGCGCTGCAGTGGGTCTTTGGTGGCGGGTTCCAAAGAAGGTTCTTCTCGCTCAGATGACCCGCCCATTTGAGTGGTCAACCAACCTGGTGACACCACGGCCATAGGTGTCCTTTTTGGTCGATTTGGTTGAAAAATAGGTTGGGCGATTCCTGGTTTACCTGGTGGTTCAATCAACTACCAGGGAAACCCATCTGTTTTCCCAAAAAGGACACCTATGACCACGGCGCTTGGCTTCCAGCCGCTTCAGCAGGCAGTGTAAACAGCAAGGCTGCAGCAGCCGAAAACTCCTGCTGAAGTGCCGGAATGGTATGCAGCTTCGACAGATGAGATGTCGTCGCAAAATCCAAGCTGGACATGAAACACGTGATACAACACCGGTACACTTGCATATAAGGCCTTTGTCAATCGGTTCAGCTGGTGGGATTCACCCTGCCGACAACCCACATTTGCAGGACGACTTCTAAGTGGGGTTGTTAACCTCTATCTTTTCGGACTTGTCATCCAAGCACCCTGCTCCAAGTACCTGTATTCCTCAGGTTACAATTAGGTTTCCCATAGGAACGCACTCTTTTTTTTGTGGTCAGGGGTTTACTATCATACCCTATCATGCCCGAAACAGGTGGGTGTTGGGTGTAAGCATGGTTGTTGTTGGGAAACATTGTACATTTTTGCTTATTGTGGTTTAGTGGGAACTCCCAACTTAACTGCTAGCATTTAAATGTTTGCTCCCCTTCCAACGTCAATCAAGTAAGGGGTTTGCTTCTTTGTGACAGGATCTTACCGACTGCGCAGTCTTCTTCAACGACCTACAGGCCACGCACACAGCGACACAAATTGAAAGCTGATGGGCTGGCAGCCACTTCGGAGAGTCAAGCGGGACGCAAATCCGTTTGTTTGTTTGTTTGTTTGGTTTCCTCTTTGTTTCTTATGTAAAAAAACACACACACACACACACCAAAAACATGTTTTGAAAAAAAAAGGAGAAACAAAAACGAACTCACAAAAATAGGCATTTATTCATTTTTGGATCCATGCATGGCTGGTTGTTGTCTTTGGCGCAACCAAATCGCCGTGTCAGGACCTGTTGGGAAACGAGCGGCAGTTCTATTTAACCCACAAAAAGTCAACGTAACAATGGCTTGTTGCGACCCAAACTTATGATTGGCGGGTTATCCCTAAAACAAAAAGCAAACTGTAGTTTGAGGGCGCAGGTTCCATTACACCTACAGGTCGATCCAAGGACCTTTTGCTCTTTCGGGAAGAGCAACCCTGCTTCGCAAATCCCAAGGCGAGCGATCAGGTGACCATGTGTCTTTGACCTCTAGGTGTCAACCCTTGGCTAAAGCAAGGGATCGGCATTTACCCAGCCAGACCAGGTCTTCCCAAAATGCAAACCAATTTACAAAGCAGTATTTGGAGTAGGGGGGTTTGCATGATGGTTTCAGCCATGGCAAGCTACAATGGCGATTGGGTGCTAGCTTCTACTCCAAGTGCTCGCTTTGGGGCATTTGGGAAAGCCATGTGGGTGTGTCTTCTTTTTGGGCTACAATGTGTTGGTAGTTTTAAAAGGGAAGCCAGAAAGACCACCGCCATTTTGGGGGTCCGATTCCTAAATATTCCTAAAACCATCACACCCATACTCTATGTTGTTTCTGGTCATCATACCCTCAGGTTTTGGAGCTTAGACAACCAGCCCCAATGGCAAGTGGGTAGCCCCAAGTAGACATCGTTTGTTGAGTGGGTTAGAGTAAATCCTACTTAGGGGACTTACACCATTTGGGCTTGCACCATTTTACGTGGATCTCCCACCCACTTCCTGGTTGAAATCTCCTGATTTCGCACCATACCCGGCCAAACTGGGAATATTTGTTCACATGGTGCCCTTTCTAGGTCGGTTCGAAAGGAAAACCAAAAAGGGGAAGAGCCCCATTTTTGGTGTCCAACCTTTCGACACATCCCAGCTCGCTTTGCTCGGCGCAGAGGGCGCCACGGAGATCCTGTTCAATGCTTCTGGTGTGAAGGCCTCCGCGGTCAACGAGGCCACGCGAATCGCCGTGTTCTTTGTTTTGGAACAAAAAGGTCCCAATTTGATTTTGAGAGAAACCATGTTCTTTTTGCGGATTTGTTTTTGGGGGGGGGCTAAGAGTCCCCATTTTGATTGGATGTTTGAGAGAAGCATGTTTCTTTTGTTGGGGGGGGAACTAACAGTCCCCATGTTGATTTTTGAGAGACACATGTTGGTTGTTGTTTCTTGGTGGCTCCCAGCCATCCCCTTAGCTTTTGAGTTTTTTGTGTTTAGTGGCAGTTTCCATTTAACCCACTAAGAGTCAAACTTTTAGCGGGGGATCTGAGGGCAGCCATGACAGCCCAGGTTTGTCTTACAGTTGGAATCGCCGTTCGAAAGTCATCGAGCATGGGAATTGTCCACCACAGGCGCCAATTTGTTTTTACGTAGGAATCGGATGAAGGGAAGAGGCCCATAACCTGAGGTGCATTCCTTCCGACTGCTTAAGAATATGTGTTATTTTCCCGTTTTGGTTTTAAAGGAAATCTATCACTACTGGAAATATGTGTTGTTCTTGTTTTTTATGGGGGGGGGACTTAAGCAAATGGAATATTATCAAAGGACATGTTCAGTCTTTTTCGGGCACCGAACACGCAGCAGGGAGGGAACTTATGAATATTGGCAAGCAAAGCGCGTTCGTTTCTGTTTTAGCGGCACCCCACTGCCCTCTTTTTTGAGGGTACTTGTCAACCCCTGACTTCAGACGGAGGTATTTACTCATGGGAATCCCAGTTGGAAGATACCATTGCATCAGCTGCCAAGGTACCTGGATGGCCAAAATGTCGCACCACCTAAGCAACTCTGGAATAGTTCCATTTCCCTGTAAATACCAACAAGCAATGGCTCAATCAACCATGGTTTCAAAGTGATGAATGGACCACATGAATACCAGTTGGGATGGTTGAAACCCAGCTATGAACACGGGATGAACCGAGTACCAACTGGTCCAGGAGACGAGGTTGGCTGAGATTTTGTGTTGTTGGGAGTCCACTGTTGGTTTGGGGGGGCCCAAATTGTCCACGCGAGTCAGAGTGACCACCCAATCTTCCCCTGTCCTCTTGGGGAAACGAGTAAGTAAGCGTGTCGCTCATACGGGCAAGGGACACTATGATCCCTCATGTACTGTAGCAATATGGGCTTCAATTTGGCGCGCGCTAGCCTTAGATCACTCAAAGAGGCATTGCTGGCTGAATCCCCAGGTTGGGGCGTGAAGGTTTTTCGGTGTGGGAGCACAAGTTTTGACCGTTTTGACCCTGGCGCAAAAAAAACGTAACACCCCTTTTTCCCAGTTGCTCAGGGCTCTTTTTCCCTTAGCACTTGGCGGAGAACCCCACAGAGATGAGAGCATTGTTTGCACTTCAAGCAACGGAATGTAGCTTGACGGACAGATGTCAGAAATACTAACATTAGTAGTTGTGTGTATCACAGATGGTAGACAAATTGCAAATGGTTTAAACACAACGTGTAAGTAAATATGCCAAGCAGGTTCCTATGCGTTTTGCTCCCAAGTTAGTGAGTTGTTGGCAACCTGGGTTATAATTATAACCCACCCAGAAGTCCCCCGTTCAGTGGAGTGAACCTTGTTACAAGGGGGTGAAAACCCCCAAGCGGCTCACCACTTACTAACTGGGCCAAACCTTCAACAACTAACCCCACTTAGGGGGACTTCTAGGTGGAGTATCAATTATATATCCCGAACGGCTACCAGGAACTTACTATCTTGGCCAAACATCCAAGGAATCTTGTCTACCAGGGCCGCTGAACATGTTTTGATCCTAGGCCGACTCTTTGGGGGTTTGACCATCGCGCAGGTCTTCGTTCGAGTGCGCAACACGCCGTGGACCGGGTCGCGCGGATTGGCGGATTCGAGTCGGTGGAGTGAATAGTGAGCTTGCATGCATGTTGATTAGTACAGTTCTCCATGAGCGGGGTTCAACCTTCTCAGCTTGCAGCCATTGTAAGTTCGGGTACAACAGGATTCTGAGCAACCCCAGCTGAGCAACCCAGATTCTTCTCCCTTACAATGGGGACGCCGGATTCATAACTTCCCCTGGTTTAATTTTGATCGAAGGGTGTCCCCCTTTTCGTGGGGGACTATTTCTGAAAAACACACACGCCTCACCCTCCTATTAGGGCGGGTTCCACTTGGATCCGGGGCTATTTCTGGCTATTTCTGGCTCAGCTTTGCAGGACCAACCGCTGGCCCAACGTGACATTGGCGGTCTACCGTAGCCGACACCCTTTCCGCCGTGCGCCGAGACTTCCGATCCATCGTCTTCCTTCCGATCCCAGGAGCCTGACGTCACGGATCTCGGTCCCGGATTCATGTTGACCCCGGATTAATGCTGACCCCTGTTTATTCATATGGGGGTGTCTCCGATTTTAGTGGGGATTTAGACCACTTTTGGAGGGGAACACCCCCATATTAATACCTGGAGTCTCCCTAAGGACCCCTTAAAAATGGTTGGTCATTGCCCAAAATTTTTCGGGGCAATGGCCAACCATTTTTAAGGGGTCCTTAGGGAGACTCTAGGTATTAATATGGGGGTGGGGGCCCCTCCAAAGGTGGTGTAAATCCCCACTAAAATCGGAGACACCCCCATATATTAACAAACAGGGGTTTATTAATCCGGGGTCAACATTAGAAGGAAATGGTCGAACCCACCCCGAGCTGGTTTTCGGGGACGGATCCCAGGGGTGTTACCCTCACTCCCACGCTGCCAGATACCCTCCAGGTGCCTTCGGTTTGCGGGAGGCAGGGTTTTTCATTTACCCCCAAGGAACAACCATGGTATGTTGACCCCGGATTAATGAACCCCACCAGATTATTTGAGAGGTGTTGCTTTCCATATCCCCCACTAAACAGGGACACCCCTCGATCAAAATCAACTAGGGGCCTTGTTTTAAGTCCGCGTTCAACATTAAATTAAATGGGGTTTATTGGGTTACCTGGGCAAATCAGGGGTTGGGGAATGGCTTGCATTCCTTAACCCGACAAAGCATTCATCCAATTGTGTGAATGGATCTCACTCGCGTGGTGTGTTTGTATGCCTCGAAGCAGAAACGTCAAGAGTCGTTCGAACATTTTCATGCATACGGAGCTGGATTTGGTGGAGCTTCGAGCAAGCACCGCGGCGCACCTTCCAGCCAGGGTAGGCCTACGGGGACTTACAACCATGCCTACTAACCACTTCCGAAGCATGTTGCCCCTTTTGAGTACAGGGATGCCGCAAGGGCATGGCGTTGACCCAAGATCAGTAAACCCATCCTACTAATAGGGGGTGGGGGCCCCTCCAAAGGTGGTCTGAATCCCCAGTAAACCAGGGATATGTTTTTTTTCCTAGGGGACTTGAGCAAATGGAGGCTTCCGCACTTGCGACTTGAATGCAGCGCAACTTGATTTGGAAGCTACTCTCTGTCCAATCTAAGCTTTGGAGTCTCTTCGGTTGGAAGTTTCACCTGCATCCTTGGACGTTCGGCCAAGTTAGTAAGTAGTTGGCTGCTTGGGGTATACCCCCCCAAGTACAAGGCTGACCCCACTTCATGGTTGTTGGGAAACATTTTTAGCTTATTGCGGTTTAGTGGGAAATCCCCACTTAACTGCTAAAGTTTAAATTTGTGCTCCCCTTCCAACGTCAACCAAGACTTAGGGGACTTATATCGGTTAAAGCGAGGTTACAACCAAGCCACTAACCTTCCATTTGGTTCAGAATACTTTTTATGTTCCCCTGTTGGTTTTTCAGGGAGTCTGTCATTTTTCTGTTTTTTTTTTGTCAGGGGACTTAAGCAAATGGAGGTGACTTGGCCGGAGACCCAAGTCCTCGATTTCCTGGCTTGAGGCCTGATTCCGGCTCCCTTGGTCTTGGCTGAGAGCACCGGCGTTGCTGCCCCAGTGACGCGCGACTCGTCGATCTTCCGGTGCACTGAGCCGTCGATTCGGGGGGTAGCCACGACTCCAAATCCCCACGGTTTTGGCTTTAATTTTGGAAAAGCCGGGTCTTTCATGGAAAAGCACCTGCCTTTTTTAGTCAAGGAGTCCGAGGTAGGCACCAAAGCTCCAACAATGTAGGAGTCGGGGGTGGCTTTTTGCAGGAAGTTTGGCCTATGGGAATTCCTCTCAAGACTTGGGAAGTCTCCACCCAGCCAGTGGATTCACTCTGCCTTGTTTTTTCTTGGTGACTCGTCTCGCGGCCCAAAAAGTGTACACTTTTTGCTGATCACTGTCCAAGTGAGAGGTAGAAGGATACCCCCGTAATCACTCAATACCCACTTTAGCAGGCTAGCTCTTGACAAAACAAGGAGGTATTTTCCAAAACATTGCCCTGAAAAAGCGGGTATTTGGAGTAGGGGGTGTGTTTGAGAAAGCAACACATGTTGCACTTGGGGTGCCTTTTTGGCACCCGTTTTTGTTTTTCTCCTTTCCCAACCTGGCGCAAAGGGTTCAAGAAATTCCTACAACAGTTATAAGAATCAAAGTAGAACCATGGCAAGGTCAATGGGATTCATATGTGTGGCTCATCCTCTTTTCGGAATCGGACCCCCCCAAATGTCGCGTCGGTTTTCCTCTTGGTTTCCCTTGACAACCCTCGAACACAACGGGTCCCCTACCCACACAAAAAGACAGACCCAAATGGAAGGCTTCCTGGATTCTCTTCAACTCAACCCCAAAACGGGGCACCCTCCCACCAATTAACATGGAACCTGACGTTCGGGGTCCCCTCAAAAAGAAAAGTGGTCCAAACCAGGACCCCCCCCCTTTTACGTCAGGGTCCTTCTGTTGAAGAGTTGGAGGGTACAAAACACAGGGTACCACCTCAAAAAAACAAGAAAGACGACATGGGCTTCGGTGTTCCTCGTTTTGTTTCATGTATGGATGGCTTGTCCTTTTTTCGAACAAACGTCGGAACCCCCAAAATGGGCTTCGTCTTGGTTTGCCTTGAAAACCACTTTAAAAATAAATAAGAGGAATAATAAACAGAAGAACAGTGTTCCTCGCTTGGTGTTGTTTGACACCCACCCAGACCAACTTCCATTTGCTTAAGAATATGTTGTATTTTCCCTTGTTGGTTTTCAAGGGAATCTATCACTACTGGACATATTTTCTTTCTTTATTTTTCCGCGGGGGCGAAAAAGCCAATGGAAGCCACCGGGGCCTTGTTCCTTCCTCCCACCCCAAAACAGAGCAGCGGCAGCGAGCGGCGGATCCGGCGGATCGATCCGGGGGATCCGAGGCCTTGGAGCCGCTCCAGCGGCTGGCGGCGGCCTGCGAGCACACCTTGCCGCCCATGGAGGCGGAGGCGGGGAACGCCTGGACGCGACGGATCCGGGCGCATCGCGGGCGTGGCGAGGCCGCGCCTGGCGGAGACGGGGGAGACGTGAGGCTCCGGTGGTTCCCAACGAGCTGTTGTTGTTGTTTTTTCTTGGGGGGGGGAGTTCTGATGTCCCGCGAAAAGCTTTCTTTTTCTTTTTTCTTTTTTTCTTCCGGGGGGGGGGGGGGCGTGTTCTGATGTGAGGGGTACCTCCCCCCCATTTTAACAAAAGGGGTTCGAATCCCAAACCAACGATCCAAACCACCAACTAAGGGTCTACTTGACGGTTTCCAGCCATCCGGTTCCTTAATTAGGCTTTTGGTTGTTTTAGCTGGTCTAGTGGTTGGGTGTTCATATATCCCATTGAAAGTTCTTCGTTTAGTAGGGGATCTGAGAACAGCCCAGTTTGGGGACCCCTAAAAATGATGGTCCTCCTTTTGCTTTTCCTTTTAGCACAAGAACAAGGGGTAGCCTCAAACTCCCACCCCCCACAACCCCTTCCATGGCCTTCCATTTGCTGTAGGCCAAGAATGGCCTTCCATTTGCTGAGGTGAATATTTGTGTTTGTCTCCCCCTGTTGGTTTTAGAGGCAATTTATCACTGGGCATAGGGGACTTGAGCAAATTGAGGTCTTTGCAGAGACCATAACATCATTGCCCAAAAAAGGCCGGGGTGTTTGAAGTAGGGGGAGCTCACAACTCACATCATAGCTGGTTTTTCGTTGACCCCAAAGCTCCCTTAGTAGACCTGTTGGGTTTACAAATGGTAAGCCTACAAGTGGTCGGTCACGCCCGTTTGCTCAGTTGGAGTAAGTCCCGTCGGCCAAAGCAGGGTTTCTCACATGAAGGGGGCGGATGCGTCAATCAAAGATCCGGAGAATCTACGCGCACCCCCGATTGCATTGGACGTGCAGTTGTAAAACGCATCGAGAAGCAACAACCTCGGAAGCTCGCCGCTAAGATGTATATATTTTGTTAATGTTGAAACGCATGTGGAAACATGAACTGTGTTTGAAATGCTTGACCATAATGGCCCCGGCCATTTTGGCTCAAGCTTTGTTCTTGGGTTCTCTGAACCCAACTTGTGTGAAAAAATTGAAAGGTAGCACTTCCGAACTAACCCCGAACCAGCAATGGCCTCCTCGGCAACTTCGGCAACTTCCTTCGAGTTGATTGAGGACCAGGCACTCACCGCGGAGGAGGTGGAAATGGCCAGCCAGGAGGCCCAGGAAGTCCGCACACGCGAGGCGGCTGTGGCGGCCGGCCTGGTGTTGGATGAGCCCGAGGCGCCCCCGTCGGCATCGGCCACCGATGTGATGAACGACCTCTCCAGTGCACTGGAGCGGCTCCGTGTGGCCTTCTCCACACCGACTCCCGGCCTGGGTGCCCCTGGCCCCGCCGAGGACGAGGACAAGGAGATGGGCGATGCGGTCACCACGGAGCGGGCTACTCCACCAACGAAGAGGTTGAAGGGCTTCGTGGCGGCCTCCCAGCAGACCACGGCCCTGGTGAACAAACCGGTCTCCCTGGTGCCGGTGGATGGCCGTCCTGGCTATTTCAAGCTAGTGGACCTCCCAGACCTCTTCCCGGTCCTTCCGGCATCGGCGGCCACGTTGCTGAGGGACGTCACGGTGGAGGAGGCGGTCTCCCTGTTCCACAAGTTTGTCGGTAAGAATCTCACGGAGGACTTGGTGGTTCGCATCCTGGAGGCCTATGTTCCGATGAAGATCCAGATCCGGCAAGAGGAGGTCTGGGCCTCACAGTTCCAGCGGAATAAGGCATGCATTGGCACCCAGCGGATGCACAGACTCGATGCCGGCCACTCGGACTACAAATTCATGTGTAAGGCATGCGGCACGGGGTGGCCGGAGGCAGCCAATCAATGCTGGGTCTGCCCGGGCAAGGAGTTTGTCCCCTTCCAGGCACCCTCGGCTACCTACGAGGCGGACGGCGTCACGTACAACCTGCTCATTGTGGAGGGCAAGCCGACCTGGATCCAGCAGCGGGATGGGGGAAGCCTGGGTGCCGCTGGCCCCGGTGGTACCCGGGCACAGGCAGACCGCAACCTGGTGGACGGCACGATCCTGGGGAGAGCTCCTCCGAAAACGGACACGGCAGAGGAGATCACTATGGCTGACGTGGTCCCGCTTAACAGGCGGGTGGACATCCGGCAGGAGATCCTGTCCATGGAGGCGGACGACGAGGCGTTGAAGGTCCGGGAGCGCCAGGAGGTCAAGGTCAAGGTGCAGCGGTCCCTGCAGGAGGCAGAGGCTCAGAGCTTCCAGCTCTACCACCCCCAGGTGGACCAGGCGATCCGGAAGAAGGAAGAGCTGCATAAGGCCTTGAGGGAGCACCGGGAACCGACCCCGGAGGAGTCCTCGGCCAGGCGGCGGCACAAGGAGTTGGTCACGGATGAGATGCTGGACAATGAGATGGCAAGCCTGGCGCCTCTCCAGGAGGGCATGCAGGCCCTGCCGGCAGAGGAGGTGGCCAACGAGGGAGCCCGGGCCCTCAGGAAGGTCAACCTGGAGCGATTCAAGGCCAAGCTGCGAGACCAGTACCTGGAGGGAAAGGGTGTCGACGCCAGCCAGGCACTGGCTGATGCGATGGGCTCCATTCAGGAGGCGCAGGAGGCGAACAAGCGCACCCAGGACACCAACCAGGCATGGATGCTTAACCACACCCTCCAGCCCTTGGAGGTGTCGGCATGGCCAGATGATCTCAGGCAGGCTCTGGAGAGGGGGCTGTTCTGCCCCTGGAGCTGGATGACCCTGAAGACATCCCCAACGTGGGGGACATCAAGGAGAAGTACGTCCCCTACATCCGGAGGCTCAGAGAGGCACAGAACCCGTGGAACCAGGAGGCGTTGCTGGAGGAGATGCCCGATCTGGCGACACCGGCCCCCTCAAGGGTGCCACTGGCCCCGGGGGGGACCAGTCAAGGCCACCGCAGGACCTGGACTCGGAGGAGGGTAAGCTGCCCCTGCTCCTCTGGGCGATGAAGAGGCACCAAGGGGAGCTACGGATGTTTGGGGGGATCTGGAAGAAGCACTCCAGCGGTGAGATCCCCAAGGGTGCGGACCAGCAATTCAAGCTCTCGCCGGAGGAGCTCCTGGCCCTGGAGCGCAGGACCCACCCACTCACGTGTGAGCGGGACCACATCGACCCGATCATCTACTCGGCCTTGGACATCCGAGCGCAGGTGAACCGGGGTGAGCGCCCGGCGCCGGAGCAGGTGGTGGGGATCTTCTGGGCTAAGGGCGATGGCGTGTTTTGGACAAGGCAGACTCGCACGTGGGACCTGCCGAGCTTGACAGGGGTGTACGCCCATCGATTCACCTTCAAGTACATCTACTCGGCTTGGACCACATTCCCGCTGGTCGTGAAGACGCAGCGACGGGGCCGCAATGCGGAGGGCTCGGCTTCGGACAAGTGGATGGGGAACATCCTCCAGATGCGGAAGGAGGCGGTCCCCTTCCTGGAGAGCCTGGGAATCCCCAAGCCGCGCAGCAAGGCGGAATGGAGCTACATCTTTAAGGAGATGGGGACGTTTCTGGCAGCCAAGAACTTCATTGTCAATTGCCCATTGCCGGTGATGGAGCTCCCAGTGGCCCCCGTCCACGACAGCAAGGCCCTGCGTTTCAGGGCGGTCTGTGACGAGCGAATCACACTTCCGCTGTCATCGTTGAGGGCTTTTGACTCGGTGTACACCAAACTGGTGGCGGGCCTGAGTAAGTCCTCCATGGTGGAGATCAAGGTCAACTGGCGTTGCAACGTGGTCCATGACTGGGTGGAGCCGGTCCCGCAGGAGGCGGCGGGGGCCCTGTACGACCGGCTGGGCTACTCCCAGGACCTGATCAGGCAGCTGGGCTGCCCCCCCCTTGGGTGCCTCTGGCCCCGGGGGCGGGGCGGCCAAGGAATCGGACCCCAAGGCCAAGACTCTGGCGGGAGCGGACACCACGCTCCGCACGCCGGACCAGGGCACCAGGCGGTACCCCCCGATCACCACGTCCACGGTCACGGCGGTCGCGGGCCGGAAGTACATCAACAAGCACTTCCCGAAGGAAACCAAGCACGTGTTCTGGGCCTCGGTGGAGTGCGGCCTGGTCCTGCCCAGCATCAGCGCATGGGAAGTGGTGAAGGAGAAGTTCAAGACTATCGGGGGCTACATGTGCAGGTTCTGCAAGGGCTTCTGGAAGGCGAGCCGTGGGGGGACCAGGCTGCTCCAGATTACGGGCTGGCACAAGGACAAGGCCACATGCCTGCAGCTGGTGATGGACGAGCCCCCGGAGCAACTATATAATCAGTGGATCCGGGACAGGATGGAGTTCTACAAGCGGGTGGAGCCGACGGAGCCCCCCAGGGACGAGCGGCTAGTCCTTGGAGATGCGAGCACCCCGCGCATGCGCTTCAGCTCTTCGAATGGCCTGGGGGATGTCTCCACTGCCCTGTGGTCGGTCATCCTGAGCAACCCAGAGAAGTCAGGGCTGGCGGCCATCCACTCGGTGGCAAAGGAGGCGATCGGGTGAGAGCCGCTAGGTCGTGTCTCACTACCCTTTTGGAGGTGGAGTCGTATGATCTCTCCCCACCGGGACTTGGGTGCCTCTGGCCCCGTCTTGGGTGGGGGGGAGGTGTTGGGGTGTTTCCCTTGTTTTGGGTTCATCATTCACCTTGGTTTCCCCCCTGTTCAACACGCCACGACTGCCGGTTTGCCTCGAACCGGAGGCTGCGCAATTTGGCTTATCGGCCACTGCGGCTGACGCTGGGCTCCCTGAGGTCCCCTTGGGGGTTTTGGGGAATCCCCCGTCGGGTGGGTCTTCCCCCCTCCGTGGTTCTTTTGGGGATTTCCGGGGGGGACTCTTTGGTCTTGGTGGGCTGCATGCCGCCTGCCTGCCCCACTCGCACTCGGCATCAGGAAGGGTTGGTCGTGTTTGCAGTTTGCCGCGGTTGGGTCCCGGCCATTCGATAGGAGGCTCGAACCCTTGTTTTC